GGGGAGGGGAGCTTGGGGGGGATAGGGGAAATGGGGGGTATGGAATCGAGAGGGGTGAGTGGGATGTAGGTGTGGGGGAAGATGAGGGAGAGAGTGGGGTTTGGGGGGAGCTTTGTTAGGCATTGCTATTCTCACCTCCTCCCTCACCTCCTCTTCCTCCTCCTCTTCCTCTTCCTCCTCCTCTTCCTCTTCTTCCTCCACTTCCTCCTCACACCTCTCCCTCCTTCACTCCTTCGCCTCACTTCTCTTCCAGTGGACTCAAGCCTTTGCTCACTCGCTCACATTGAACCAGAATGTACCTTCCCCAGGCAAACCTTCCTCAGTTGTACCTCCCCCACTAGTGGACGGCTGGGGTGACCCCATCGCCCCACCCACCCCGCCATCCCCCTTGGACTCTCCCTCGGCCAGCCACGTGCCGCCACCTGTCCTCGCAGCAGCAGCTGCACTGGCACTGCCCTTGATCGCAGAGTGTGGGGTGAGAGGGGGAGAGAGGCCGGGGAGGGGGGGGTGGAGGGGGAGGGAGAGGAGGAGCGGGAATGCGAAAGAGAGAGGGAATGGGGGTATACCAGTGGAGGAGGGAGATGAGGAAGGGTCCTTCTCGGGACCGTTCAAGTGGGAACAAGATGAACGGATCGAGGAGAAACAGATGGCAGATTGGACCGACGGACTGAGGCAAACATTTCAAGAGGTAATGCACTTGAAACGACAGCCTCTTCTCCTCCCCTTACCCCCGGATCAAGCCCAAGCAGATTCCCTCTCTCTGCTATCCCTGCCGCAGCTGCCGCTGCCAGAGCTACCAGCAGGGTCGGTGATGGATGAAGAGGCGTTGCTGCTGATGCACGCGCAGCACCAGCAGCAATACCAGCAGTTCCAGCAGCATCTAGGTCAGCAGCAGCAGAATTTTGCAGCTGCAGCTCCCACAAACCGAGACTCTTATGATGCTTATGCCGAAGCAGATGCTTATACTGGAGCAGCCAACACCACACCAGCAACAGCAGGAGGAGACGCAGGGGTAGCATCTAGAGGCCCTCCCCCGGTGTTCCTCTCTGCAGTGTCGCTCTCTCTAGCTGCCATGGTGCATTCCTCGCTGTGCTCTGACGTTGCCTTGCCTCTTGGAGCTATCACTGACGTCCTCTCTCCCCTGCTCGCTGCTATCAAAGGGGAGAAGGGAACCGGCTCTGCTGCTTCTCCTGCCACTGCTTCTGCTGGTTTTAAAGCTGCTTCTGCTGTTGAACCTGCTGCTTCTGCCGCTGCTGGTTTTGTTACTGATTCTGCACCATCAGCGGGACTGCTACCCAGCAGTGTGAGGGGAGCAGCAGGCATGGCAGTGGCAGCACTGCTAGGGGCGCCTTTGCTTCTCACCCCCCTCCCAGGCCACCGTACACAGCAGCACCCTCCTTCAGCCTCTGCTATCTCTGCTTCCGCTCCTGCTCCTGTTGCTCCTGCCGCTGCCGCTGGTGCTGGTGCTACAACTAATCCTGCTGCTGCCGGCGCTGCTACCACTGTCACAACCAGTGGCGCCAGGTCAGCAGCAGCCAATCAGATCCTGGTGATTGGCCCACTGCTCTTCTCCCCGAGCGACGCGGTCCAATCGTCCGTCAGGGACGCGCTGCAGTCATTGGTCGAGGCGTACCGGCGCGACTGCCATGTCAGCGTCAAGCGCCAGGCTGGCTGGGCGCTGGCGCTCTGCGTGGAAGCTTCTCGGAAACTCTCGGGCGAAGGGGATGAGGAGGAGGAAGATGAGGATGATGAGGAGGGCGGGGGGTGGGGAGGAGGAGTCGGAGGAGGAGTCGGAGGAGGAGGAGGAGGAGGAGGAGGAGGAGGAGGAGGAGGAGGAGGAGGAGGAGGAGGAGGAGGAGGAGGAGGAGGAGGAGAGGAGGAGGAGGAGGAGGGGTAGGGGGAAGTGGAGGTGGGAGTGGAGGGAGGAGGGGAGGAGGGGGAGAGGAGAAGCAGTGGTTGCTGAATCAATTCCCGGCTGATAGTGTGGTGCGGCTGCTGGCATCTTGGTTGTTGGAGCGGAGTCTACACGTGGGGCAGGAGCGGGCAGCCTGTGGGTGAGTTTTGGGGGGGTGCTATTGGGGAATGAGTGTTGAGGGGGTGCTATGGGGGAATGAGTGTTGAGGGGGTGCTATGGGGGAATGAGTGTTGAGGGGGTGCTATGGGGGAATGAGTGTTGAGGGGGTGCTATGGGGGAATGAGTGTTGAGGGGGTGCTATGGGGGAATGAGTATTGGGGAATTGATTGCTGGGTCAGTTCCCTGCTGTCAGTGTAGTGCACCTGCTGGGCTCTTGGCTGCTGGAGAGAAGTCTACACGTGAGTGTTTTTGGGCCGGGCTATGGGCGAATGAATGTTGCCATGCCACGTGTGCTGTTCACAGTGGGATGCACCTGCTGGGGTCTTGGCTGCTGAAGAGAAGTCTACACGTGAGTGTTTTTGGGGCGGGCTATGGGCGAATGAATGTTGCCATGCCACGTGTGCTGTTCACAGTGGGATGCACCTGCTGGGGTCTTGGCTGCTGAAGAGAAGTCTACACGTGAGTGTGTTTTTGGGGGGGGGGGTCTGCTATGGGCGATGAATGTTGCCATGCCACGTGTGCTGTTCACAGTGGGATGCACCTGCTGGGGCTGCGGGCTGCTGAAGAGAAGTCTACAAGTGGACGAGCTTTTTGAAGCGCCTCAAAAATTGTCTTGGCTGCTGGAGGGAAGTCTGCACGTGGGGGCAGGAGCGGGCAGCCTGTGGGAAGTCTACACGTGAGTGTTCTTGGGCGGGCTATGGGCGAATGAATGTTGTCATGTCACGTGTGCTGCTGACAGTGTGGATTTTTTAGTCGACTCATCACACGCTATGGGCGAATGAGTGTTGTCATGTCACGTGTGCTGCAGCCTGCTGACAGTGTGGTGCGGCTGCTGGCCTCTTGGCTGTTGGAGGGAAGTCTGCACGTGGGGGCAGGAGTGGGTAGCCTGTGGGTGAGGGCTCTGAGGGTAGGCGGGTGTGGTTAGTGGAACACAGACAGTGTATGGATGAGTGATGGGGGGCTGCGAGGAAGTGAGTGAGTGAGTGCGTGTGGGGAATAGAGGGAGAGTGTGGGAGGTCGAAGTCCTTGCACACATCAGAATCATACTGCACTCCTCTAATCCCCTCCCCCCCTCGCGTCCTCATGGGCCCTCCTCGCCCACGCCTTTCGAATCCCCTCTTTAGACTGGCCCTCCATCCCCCACTGTGTTTTGAGTCGACTCAAAACACATTTAGACTGGCCCTCCATCCCCCTGTGTTTTGAGGCTCCTGGACCAAGAATCAACTCTTTAGACTGGCCCTCCATCCATCCCCACTGCTTCCTCCGCCGGGCCGGTTTTTGAGGTGCCTAGAAAATTGTTCACTTGAGAATTCCCAATATACCTTCCGCACCCAAACCCCGCCCTTGCACCCCCCCTCGCCCGTCCCCTCCCATCCTCTCCTCCCATTCTCCCTCCTTTTTACCCAATAACCAGGATACTGCCAGCGTGCCAGCTGTCGCATCCTCATTGGCCCTCCTCTCCAACGCCCCGCGAATCCCCTCTTTAGACTGGGCCTCCATCCTCCACCGCTTCCTCCGCAGAGCCTCCTCCGGGACTATTCCCGCCTCCCATGCTGCCCTGCTGCTCCTCCCTCCCTCCGCTGCTGCTTCAGCAGCGGCAGCAGGGCCACTGGGAGGAGGGTCTGTAGAGGCATCAGTAGCAGGAGGGATTTCAGCAGCAGCAGGAGCAACGGCAGATGCAGACAATCTACGCTGTGCGTGCCTCCACTTCGCCGCCCACCGCGGGATCATCCCCTTCCTCGATGACCTCACCGCTGACGTCAGCAGGCTCGTCCAGCTGGCGCCGGCGCGTGCAGCGAGCGCTGCTGTCGCGACACCTGGCGGCCGTGGTGCGGCTGTTCTCCCAGGAAAGATCCCGGAAGCTTCTGAGGGATGTGATGGGGCTGGTGAGAACGTACATGGCTGCTGCTTCTGGTGCCGCTGCTGCCTCCGCCGCTGCTGCTAGCACTGCTCGTACCGCCGCTGCTGGTGCTGCTGCAGCTGGTGGTGTGGTTGTGCTGCTGCTGCTGCTGCTGCTGCTGCTGCTGCTGCTGCTGCTGCTGATGATGATGGATCAGGCGTAGGATCAGAGGAAGGTAAAGAAGAGGCCACTTCAGAGTGGTTCCGGAAAAAGCCCACGCCAGCAGCAGCCGCACCTGCTTTAGCATCACCAGCAGCCAGCGCAAAAGCAAAAGAAGCGGCGGCAGCAGTGGGTGCAGGGGAGGCTGCAGCAGCAGCTGCTGCTGTGAGGGTCTGGGCTTGGATGGGACTACGGGACATTCTATCCATTTCTTGCTCTCGAGATAGACCAGAGAAGGCAGCGGAAGAAACACAGGCCTCAGCGGGACATTCTAGGGCTGATGCGTCTGTTTCATGGAGGCGTGATGCTGCTGGTGCTGCTGCTGGTGCTGGTGCTGGTGCAAGTGCCGCTGCTGATGCTGATGCATCTGTATCATGGAGGCGAGATGCTGATGGTGCTGCTGCTGGTGCTGCTGCTGGTGCTGCTGCTGATGCTGCTGTAGTGGTGGTGGTGGCAGTAAGTGGTGGGGGTGGGGATGCATATTCCAGTAACAGCATTGGGGTGCAGTTTGGGGGTGGGATGGTGGAGGCAATGGCATGGGCGTGTGTGGGTGAGCTCTTGAGATCCCTCCCCCTGCCACGCCCCGTATGGTTACCCCCAAGTCAAAGCCATAGTCAAAGTCAAAGTCAAAATCAAACTCAAGTTTCTGACTTGAGGGAGGATTCGAGGGCTGCAGTGCGGGCGACGCGGCCAATGGGAGGGCGACAGCTGGCCGCTGGACGAGAGTCCCGCGTGGCGGGCGGCGGTGGACTGTATTGGAGTGATGCGGAGAGAAGACGTGCTGGGGATGCTCAAGATTCCCCACACCATCAGCAGGCGAAGCAGCAGCATCAGCTCAGCAGCAGCGAGCAGCATCACCTGCACCTTTCACCCTCCCCCAGTAGCCACCTCCCCCGCCTCGCCTTCTCCCCAGCAGCAGTCCGTGCAGTCGCCATGCGCCCTGCACCTCCCTGCGAATCAACCCGCGCCACTGTCCCTTGCTGACGTGGCGCCGTGCCGCGTGTTTCTCTGCGAGCACCCACTGCCAGGTCAGCTTGGCGTGAGAACATCATGAGCTGCCACATCATGAACCTCCCTCGTTTGAATAATGTTGGTGTGAAGATCTGCAACAGGCATGCAGCACAGCAAAGGCTGCAGCACAGCAAAGGCATGCCAGCACAGCAACAGGCATGCACCACAGAAAAGGCATGCAGATCAGCAACAGGCATTGCAGCACAGCAAAGGCATGCAGCAAATATTTACCTTATCCTGTAAACACATCTCCCTGAGTTTCCGCCTCTCCATCTGTCCACTCTCTTTCCCCTTCTCCCCACTCTGACCCCTCGCAGCAGCCTACACGTGGCTACTGGTGGAGCTAGCCAGTGCAGTGGCAGCAGCAGCACCCACTCCCTACGTATGTGTGTTTCTTCACCCCCCTTCTTCCCCCCCGTTTTTGCTTTTCCCCCCTTTCACCAGCAACCTACACGTGGCTACTGGTGGAGCTAGCCAGTGCAGTGGCAAGCAGCACTCCTCTCCTCATCTATGGGCTTATCTGACCGCCTCCACTTGCTTTCTCCCCCTTCCTCACAGCAACCTACACGTGGCTACTGGTGGAGCTAGCCAGTGCCGTGGCAGCAGCACCGGAGGAGCATCGCCTGCCGTTCCTCCTCGACACGCTCGACTCCATCCAAGTCGCTCGCCACCCGTGGACGGTACGTCGTTCATCACACTCAGGAGCACAGAGTTCACATGAGCAGTACAGGAGGAGCATCGCTTGCCATTCCTCCTCGACACGCTCGATTCCATCCAAGTCGCTCACCACCCGTGGACGGTACGTCGTTCATCACACTCAGGAGCACAGAGTTCCCATGAGCAGCACCGGAGGAGCATCGCTTGCCATTCCTCCTCGACACGCTCGACTCCATCCAAGTCGCTCGCCACCCGTGGACGGTACGTCGTTCATCACACTCAGGAGCACAGAGTTCACATGAGCAGCACAGGAGGAGCATCGCTTGCCATTCCTCCTCGACACACTCGATTCCATCCAAGTCGCTCGCCACCCGTGGACGGTATGATACTTGTGCAGAAAAAGGTACGCTTCTTCAATTCATAAAACAATGTGCTGTGCTCCTCTGGATGGTGCGTGTTTACCTTTTTGGCACCTCAAAGCTAGACACTCACAGCGAGTGGAGTGGCAGCAAGCACCAGAGGAGCACTCTTTCTATCCACTCTTTCCCCTCCTTTCTATCCCCTCATGCCCCGCTCTTCCTTCCCAAGCAGGCCCTGCAGCTCTTCTCCCTCATGCTCGCACGTCTCTCCCCCGACCGCCTCCTCCTCCCCACCAGCCCCACAGCTGCAGTCTTCCTCCTGCCGCACACCCTCCCTCCTCTCCTCTCCCAGCGCGGCTTAGCAGCTCTGTGGGAGCCATAGTCTCGCGCTTCCAGTCGCTGCTGTCGTGGCTGTCAGATGAAAAGGAGTGCCCTCTTCTGGGAGAATGGCGCTGATTCGAGACTTGGCGGGGACAGTGGTGGTGGTGCCGGCAGCAGCAGTGGTGCCGGCAGCAGCAGAGGTGGCAGCAGCAGCAGTGGTGGCAGCAGCAGCAGTGGCAATAGCAGCGGCGGCAGCAGCAGCAATGAGCGGGTGCATGTGTTGAGGGGAGTGGTGGTGGATGTGCTGAGGGCTCTACGCCACCATCTGCCCTCGCATGCTGTCTCCACCATCTGTCTCGCCAATGTCTTGGTGCACTAGCATAAAGGCTCCATCCATAGGAGGGAGCCAGGGCCTCACGCTCATAGTCACTGCTGCCAGAGGTGGTAGCAGCGCTAGCAACAGCAGCAGCAGCATCAGCACCAACAGCAATGAGCGGGTGCGGGTGCTGAGGGGAGTGGTGGTGGATGTGTTGAGGGGAGTGGTGGTGGATGTGCTGAGGGCTCTACGCCACCATCTGCCCTCGCATGCCATCTCCAGTATCTGTCTCGCCACTGTCTCTTTGCATTGAAATAGGGGCACCATATTAGCAATAGTCTGCCCTCCCAGCTCCGCCTAGCAGGCTCTGTGGGGGCCATGCTCTCGCGCTTTCAGTCGCTGCTGTCGTGGCTGTCAGATGAAAAGGAGTGCCTCTTCTGGGAGGATGGGGCTGATCCGAGAAGAGGCGGTGCCACCATGCTCTCGCGCTTCCAGTCGCTGCTGTCGTGGCTGTCAGATGAAAAGGAGTGCCTCTTTTGGGAGGATGGGGCTGATTTGAGACTTGGCGGGAACAGTGGTGGTGCTGCCGGCAGCAGCAGAGGTGGCAACAGCGGCGGCGGTTATAGCGGCGGTGGTAGCAGCAAGAGCAGCGGCGGCAGCAGCAGCAGCAGTGGCACCTGTGGAAGCAATCAGAGGGTGCGGGTGCTGAGGGAAGTTGTGGTGGATATGTTGAGCTCTGCACCACCATCTGCCCTCACATGCCGTATCCACCCTTTTGTCTCGCCAACGTCTTGTCTCAAAGAACGTTGAGGCTCCTGAGGAGGAGTCCTTGTCTCGCGTGTTTTGTCCTAGCTAGCATCTGCATCGGTGGCAATCAGTGTGTGCGGGTGCTGAGGGGAGTGTGGTGGCGGATGTGTTAAGGGTTCTGCTCACCATCTGCCCTCACCTCTCATGCCATGTCCAGCATTTGCCTGACCAGCGTGTTGATGCAAAGGACTAGAGGCTTTTTAGGAAGACACATACTCTCGCTTTTCCAGGCATTGCTGTAGCTGCAATGGCAGCAGACCAGGCCCCTAGATTCGTTTTGAGGTAGTCTGAGGCCTCAGAGTACACCGCTCTTCCTAGTCTGGCTGTCAGAGTGACCTGATTTTTTAAGTCTGAGATTTCAGACTACACTTGCATTTCTACGCTGAACATACAGAGTCACAGTCAATTTTCCTGTTATAATGAAAACACTAAGTAACCTTCTTACATTTCTTCTTGATAGTCTAATACAGGTTCACGTTCTACTACTGCCTCGTCTACAGGCTCCTTCCCAGCCCACGAGGGCTCCTCTCTGTGCCTAGCAGCAGGTGCTGTGACCGGCCGGCGCTTCTTGTAGCTGCGCCATATCTCTACTACTCCTGGGACATCTAGCTCATAGTCTAGGAGTGAAATACAGAGCAGATCACTCAGCCTACAATCCTTAATGCTGCCCCTCTGCCACGTTTTGATGAGATTCTGTCGGGAGAAACCGCGCTCGCACTCGACCGTGCTGAGAGGCAGCACCGCAATCGCCACCCACAGTCCGACCAGGTTGGGGTACGCCTGCTGCCAGTCGGGTGTCCTGAGCATCGCACAAAGTCCCGTGTGGAACTTGCGCTCGCTCTTGGGGGCTCTGGCAAGGACCGGACACAGTGTGCGCAGCTCCCTCACGGCTTTCTTCTTGTCAATGCCTGCAAGGCAAAACGAGACACGGGTTTAGTAAACGAGCCATAGCCAAAGGGGGAAAGGGGCGGGGTGACACAAAACCATACCAGGTAGTATCTCGTCGGCTTCATCTGCGCGAAACAACGTGACAAGCGACATCAGCCACTCCAGGCACTGTGCCTGCCGTGCGTCCCGGTCCCAGTGAGGTTGCCACATCTCTGGAATAAACAGCCGCACTCCGGAAAGTGAGTCAAGGTCGCCGAGCTTGGACTGGAGCTGCTCGACAACGAGCTCGGCCATGTCGGTGCAGAGCGCAACGCAGGCGTGGTGATGACCAGGCCCACGATAGCTTGGGTTGGTGCGTTCGTGAAGCTTCACCTTGAAGCGGTTCATACTGCCGTCGGACGATGCTCCTTCCACCACCATTTCTGGTGTCCCTCCCGGACCGTGCTTCTCAATGAAGCGGTAAAGCCTCTCGGTCGGCCCCCCCCCGAAGTCGTCTCCACAGTCGACGTACCGAGCCTCCAGGATCGATGTGGTGCGCACAATCTGCGTGTGCACCAGCGCGTAGTCGAGCTGCATCACAAACATACAAAGAGAATTAGTACAATGGGTCTCGGACTTAAACCAATACAATCTACACCCTCAAATTCACTTACTTCTCGCTTCTGAAAAACTGAGGAGAGGACGTTGAGCTGCTCCAGCATGTCCGCGAGGAACCTGATGAGGAACTGGAACCTGTACGACGTGACGAGTTCGTACATGGTCTGGTCCTTCCACTCCGACAACATGACCATGATGGCAGGTAGGACTTGGACGAAGCGGGCAACTGCAGCTCCTCTGGACAGCCACCGCACGTCGTGTATGCCTTGAACCTCGAGGATGGTGGACGTGAACACCTCCTGGAGCTCCATGAAGCGCTGATGCCACGGCCCCGATCGCCCGAGGTACTCTGCGACGGCGCGGATCACGTCGTCGACCATGTTGAAGGTGGGTATCTTCTCCGCTGCGGCCTTGGCAACCAAGGCCTCCCTGCCAAACAAAACCACACATGCACAGTTAGTTTTTCATAAACAAACAGATTTGCCGTTTACACATGGCGTTAAAACACAAACGCACCTGTGAGCGATGCAGTGAAACGAGACCAGGTTGGGGATGAGCAGTCGCAGACGAGCAACCACACCGTTTTGACTCCCCACCATCACAGAGGCGCCATCCGTGCTCACTCCCGAGATACGCCGGAGGTCAACGCCGACTGCCCTGAGGTGGGAAAGCAACAAACTGCACAAAGATGCAGCGTCAGCCCTATCAACCGTTAAATGCGCGACGAACTCAGTGACAACTCGGCCTTCGCGGAGAAACGTGGCAAACACAATCATGTGCTTGCCGCGCCGACGGTCGGTGCTCTCATCGAGCGTTATCCCGATGAAAGGGCTCGAGAGGAGGTGCTCCAGTTGCGTTGTCTGAAGCCATGCCGCAATGGCTTGAGTGAGCTCTCCAAAGCCGTACCTACAGAAGGAAGACAAGGTCGTTAGTGACGGTCAGCAAGGATACAACGTTGTACACACGGGACACACATAAGAATTTACGTACGTGTTATAGTATGTGCCGTATCCCTGCTCGGGAAACCCGGGCACTTTCTTCTTCGCCAGGTAGCGCACGAGCCGGATCCACGAGTCCATGGGCTCGTTGCACTTCCCCATGAAGTACAGCGAGTCGACGAGCGACGACACCTGCAGCAGCTCCATGTCTTGCGCTTTCGGGTGCATGTCGATGCGCTGCTGCCGCCCGTACTTCTGCAGCAAGTCCTCCTGGCGCTGCAGAGCAAATCGGTGCTTCACTGTCCCTTCGTGCTTCTTGAAGGACTGTGTCTGCACGTCTGTAGCTCCCTCGGTACGCCGCCCACACTTGCCATTCAATCCCGCAAACTCCAGGCAAATACTGCACTTGAAAGAAGGGGCACCAGAAGAGGTCTTAGTTAGAACAAGCCAACTGTAATCGGTGGACCACTTCGATTTGAATCTCTCATGCGCTTCCTCGTATTTCAACTCAGGATTATCGGATTTGGGCTTTGAGCTGTCCTGCGTGGGCCTCGGGCTGCCCTGCGTGGGCATGGAGCTGTCCTGCATGGGAGAATCGTCGCTCGCAGGAGTCACAACGGTCGATGGAGGAGGCGGAGTGGCCCAACCAAGGGTGGACTGCCGGTACCGCAGCTTCGACGGTGGCGCGGGACGAGAAGGTGCACCAACAGACGCCTCATGGGGCACCGCCTGTTGCGCAGCGGTCGCTGGTTCAGTGACGGCCTCGTGCAGAGGTGTGGTGTCTCTGGGAATAGGTGGGCGGCTCGAGCTAGGTTGCGACGGTGGCGTTGGAGGTGGATTGTGCTTCGGCAGGACAGACCTAAGAAAATCTAGACCGGTGAGAGGGTCGGATACTGGGCCGGATACTGGGCGACCGACTGCATCATCCTCGTCGTCGGGCCCATCCGCGACAGCCTCTGTAGCTGCCATTGAGCCTGCCGAGCAGAGGTGTAGCGAGCTAGGAGGTGGGAGCCTGAAACAAGGGCTCCTACACTAGTTTGAGTCCAGGCAAATGGAGCGGGCCATGAGAGAGACTGCAAGAACGGTGACCAAGAAGAAGATGAGAAACCCTCGTGTAATAGGACCTCCCATCTCCCAGAAGGTCATTGCATGCACTGCACCTGGGCGTGAATCCTTGGAAGGTGGGGTGATTGGGGTTAATGGATGGAGTCACGTGAGAGAAGCAGCGCGGTGCGAGCCCTGCGTTGGCAACTGGGAAGGTGGGGTGGGGTGGATGGACGTGGTGACGTGAGAGTGGCAGCGCGCTGCGAGCTATGCGCTGGCAACATTGAAGGCGGGGTGTGGTGGATGGTCGTGGTGTACAGCGAAGGTGCAGTGCGTGGCGAGCTATGTGTTGGCAAGGAATCTTGCCAACACTGCCTGCGGCGCAGCCGCGATTGGTCAGAATTGGGTGGGATTACAGCAACGCTGTACCAACGCAACTGTGCGTTGTCGCGCTGGCGAAATCGTGGGTTCCCGCCCGTGATTGACGGGGTTACTGCTCCACGCCGCCAGGCTGGACCCTGCCCCTGTATTATCGGATTCAGAATGCACCCCCGATACAAGTCTGAGGCACAGCCTACACTACTAAAAATAGTCTGAAATTACAGACAAGTATGTTAAAAAAACTCTGAAACATCAGACAGGGCCCCAAAAAAAATTCTTAGAGTGCAGACTAGGTACCAAAAAAAAGTCTGAACGGACTCTGATTCAGACTCTAAAGTCTGATATCTAGGGCCCTGCAGCAGACCTCTTACACCGCCTCTTTGTGATGAACTGGAGAGGAGAGGATTATTCATTTGTTCAAATGTTGAAGCAATGCTTTAGTGTGTTCAGATGTAGAAGACATGTGTGTTCAAAAATGTTGAAGCTATGCTTGTGGAGAGAACCAGAAACCCGTGACACACTCAGAACAGGATACACCATGCTGGTGTGTAGTGGCTGAATGCTGGAACAATGTGAAGTCTCAAGTAATCTTCCAGGCACGGTAACTTGCTGTCTCAGAACGCCCAGCTGCCGATTCAAGCACGACGGTACTCTCATTATTTCTGGTGGAACTACCTTAGGTTCTCAAGACCACCAGTCGCTCCCAGTGGTCTCTCCATGCACCCCCAAATTCACCCACCACCATGTTTCTGTCAGAATGGACAGTTTCCATGGAAAAATCAAGGTCCTTGTATCCCGTACCATAGCAGAGTGATACTTGAAAATCAGATCACCAGTTGTGCCACAGGTGGGCATCAGCACCTTCATCAAACCCACTTGACGAGGCCAGTGCCTGCAACTCAAGCCTCTTGCTGTACTTGGCTCGCCGTCTCTCGTCGTACTCCTCCCACCCCTCAATCTGGCAAGCATAAATGATGGATGGATGACAAAAAAACGAAGGCGTTAAAAAAGTAAGAGAGCATGAGAAGCAATAAAACTCGTACTCATCATATCCCACTCTTCTCAATTTGCCATGTGCAAATGGTGTAAAAGACATTTGTGGCACCTCAAAAGGGAGACTGTAAAAACCGTATAGCGCACCCTCGACATCGAATGAAATGCGCTGGTGTATATCACATCACACAGTAGGGCAATCGCAATTGAAAGAGATTCCATAAAATGAGAAACGTGAGAAGCTCTTTGCAACTCAGGAGATGATCCTGAACCCTGAAGCTTCCAAGGTTGAAATACCTCGCGCAATTGGTCAGTGATAATCAGCTTTCCATGCAGGGAGAGAGTGAACAACTCCGTACACCCTGTGAGGATGAGAGAATGGCTATATGAACCCTCTGAGGGGACCAAGGGTAGGACATACCTCGCGCAGTTGGTCAATGGTGATTTGGTTCCCATGCAGGGAGAGAGTGAAGAGCTCCGTGCACCCTGTTAGCACCTCTGAGGGAAAATTCTTGATTGCATTGTTGCTCAGCAGCAGAATCTGCACGTCAGAAAAATGACACAGTAGGCAAATACAAACGATTCGTTAACCATCGAACATTATCCGCACCCCACCTTCTCTCTCCCCCCTCACCACGCTCCGTTTACTCACCCCACCTCTCCTCCAATCCAACCCAACCATTTCATAGCCTCAGAGGTAGCAACTTACCTTCAGATTGGTGAGTCTACCCAGAGCAGCTGGCACGTGGCAGATGAAGTTTGCAGAGAAATTGGCCTGCAGGTCAGCATTGGTGTCACAAACCACAGTGAGGCTAAGATAAACATTTATACGTGAAGCAACAGGAAAAGGCAGAAACGGGAAGTGGTTAAAAATAGCTTATTCTGGGCAAGGGATCAACAGCACCTCTGCAAGAGACGTGCATTCTGCCATGGAAGATGGGATGATCCCCAACCTGCAAAAGAAGACAGACGAGAGAATGCCAAATTCGCTTCAGTAGTTACTTTAAGAAGAGGCAAGCTGCAAAATAATCCCTGAGCAGTCCAGATAACAAGTGGATGACTAAAAAAAGAGAAAGGTGTCACCTTGACACCTGGACACCAATGTATGCCGCCACCTGGCAACTATCACCTGTTATGAGCAGCATCAATCCACTCTAGGTTCTTAAGCTGGCCAATCTCTGGCGGCAGGGAGGAGAGGGCGTTGTGGCTGAGAGCAAGGCGCTTCAGAGAGGAGAGCTGGCCGATGATGGACGGAATGAGCCCTATTCTGCAACACATAACCAGGAATATAGGAGGAGATCGTTCAATAAGGGCCAGAGGGTTGCCAATGTTGCACGAAACCACCCGTATGCTGCAACAGAGTCAGGGCTTCGATCAAACCAAGGTGGCAGGGGCAGGAAGGTGGCAGGGGGCAGGTGGAGGGGGTGCATGACTCAGATATGAGGGATTAGCGAAGAGGCGTTGCAAGGGGGCGCCAGCTGGTAGTATAATAAAAATCAAGTGCTCTGCACCCCTTATCCCGAACAGATTTTGGTCGAACAGGCGATTAGACGAAACCCTAAAATTAGTCTGATGAACCCAGTCAGCCTGAAACTTGGAGAACACTTACTGGTTGTGGTCGAGCGCGAGAGCCATGAGGTTCGGGAGGCGAGTCAGGGCTTCCCAGGCAATGGTGTTTTCTGTCAGCGAGTTGTGGCTCAGACGTAGCCTCTGCAACCAACCAACCATCACCATCAGGCCGGCATCCCCCGTTTAATTGAGCACTTGTTACCGAACAAACACAACAAATACAGTCAGCGTATGATTAGGTTTGCATAAATCATATACTGATTCTACAGAAACATCACCATAAGCACCAAAAGTGGAGCAAATCAGTGGAAGAACATATTAGTTTCTCATTAGGACAAGGCATATGCATGTCTGACCTGGAGGTTGGTCAAAGCTGTTACAGCTGGCGGGAAGATCCTCAGGCTGTTGCCACCCAGATCCAGAACACGTAGAGCGGGACCCGCAACCCACACAGCCCCCGGAACAACCTGAAACCAGGGAGAGAAAGGGGTCAGATCGAATCGTGGAAGATGAATAAGGAAAAACAAAACTTTAATCTAGAGGGAGAGGAGTAAGATTGGCTTGGAGCGACCCATGTCTACCCAGTGAGGAGTATAGTTTACTCAGTAACAACATAGACCCAACAAACGCGATTCTTGAGGAAAATGCGCGATTGTCTCCGCGTGTGCGAGAGCGAATGCGAGGGTGGGTGCGAACGGGAATGCGAATGCGAATGAGTGCCAGTGTGAGCGCACATGCGAGTGCGAATTCCGCATACGCTAGCATGAGCGAGCGCGAGTCAGTGCCGCGAGCGCGGGTGCGTGCGTGCGTGCGCGCGCGCATGAGACCGCACGTGCATGCGCGATTGCGGCACTGACAGCGTGGTGCATGTGCGTGAGCGCGTGCGCGCTTGTGCAACGGGTGTGCGTGCGCGTGCGTGTTTGGGTAGGTGGGTAAAAATGGGAATACCCGCTGTCCGTGTGTTGGGGGTTGGATGGAGCGGGGGGGAAGGGGGAGGAGAGATGTGGAAGACACGAGGGGGAATGTACAAGGCTGCTAACCGGACCGCGCGCGTACCTGCAAGTTACTATCTCTTAAAGACACGATTCCTGTCTGCACCCACATCCGTTGTCTGGCCTTCTCTTGCCCCAGAGCGACCGGCGATGGCGCTGCAACCGACCGTTGCAGTCCTCTGCCGTATCTGTGGCTTGCTGATTGTCCGAGAGTGTAATGGTTGCCACCAGCCTGGAAAAGCGGAACGCCATTTCACGCAATACAACCACGCGACGCATTCTTAATTCAAGATTCGCGGACGTACTGAATCGTAGCGACGTAAGTAACGAGGTACAATAACGAGGCAAGGTGGCGAGGTACGGTGGCGAGGTAAGTGGATAGGTATGATACCGAAGTAAGTCACTCACCCCTTGATGCACTCCAGCCGTTGCCATGAGCATAATCTTCGCATTGTTGGTAATCTTCGCCTCCTCAAACGACATATCAGGGGTCAAAATCTTCCCTGCAAATATCGCGACAGAGTTAGTTAGACGTCAGCGCATTCATAAACCTCGCAATAGCCAATCTGACCGTGAAAGACGCACCTTTGTATATAAGCTTCTGACCCCTGGAATGCACATTTGTTAACCCTTCCAATGTCTCCATTAACTCTTTGACAATGCATCCCGGCGACATCATCAGTTGATGCGTCTGCTGACCATGTTTCACAACCAATCTTAACTTCTCCTCCGCGGCATCTACCGCGGCAGGCTCGGGTTCTGGATCACCTCCAGCCATTATCGACCTCCCAAGCCTGTCATGCACTCGGAAAACCGCCAAAATAGATTCCTCCGAGGAAAAAAAGAAACTACGTCCTTACACTTCAAACGCCACTGTAAACAAGAATTAAAACGGCTCTGACGTCACGCTGCAACACTAACAGAAAACGTCCATCATAAGCTAGCGAAGTCCCTAAAGTCACGGAGAGATGCAACTACTACGCGATTCCTACATACCACTGACGAAGCAAGCAGTTAGGTTGGTGAAGCTTGCCTCCAAGAACAGACTGGAAAGAGGCCCTTGGGAACATCGATGGGGAGGGGAGACTAGAGGGCGTTGTTCGGCGAAACCCTGGAGCAACGGGGCTAGTGTGGTTGTGAGGAGGAGGGTTACGAGTCCTCGTTTACAGTTCGTGTACATATGTCCAGCCTGGTAACAAACGATTGAAAGTGGTGGAGCTATAATACTGTTCGAAAGTTCACAGACTGAACAGGAGGTGAGCCGTGACAGGCCGTGAGCCTCAGGCTTCATGTTTGGACTAACGCGTTTGCCCGATCAAAATCAAATCATTACACAGTGACAAAAAGTCAGCAAATGGTTAGAATATTGAGTGAGATGGACCTTATCAGTTAAATAGGTTAGACAGTAGAACCTAACGTTCTTGGCAAATCGGCTGGGATTCAAGCTGTGACATGTTTTTCCTCATTTCACACGTCACATGAATCATGGACATCAGGAATACCATTTTGTGAACTGACTCAATGGGAACACTTAAACAAATAATGGACAGCATGCATGGACATGGCACACTTGACCAGATACTCCACATTCCTAGCATACTGGACCCCATGCACCTACATGACAGACTCCAGTACTCAAACAGTGGCCCTGGCCGACCTAACACCTAAGCTTTCTGACAGTGAAGCACTGACGAGGACTAGACCAAAGCAGCAGACTGTCATACTGCAATGCACATGACATCACGACTTGACAACTCGACAAACCCTAAGTGTAAGCTGTCATGACAACACCAAGACCTGAAGTTTTCCAGACCCGCACGACCGTGATGTCAGAACGGGCACCCAAACCCATCCACCCTATCAACTCGAAGCGGCTGTGATGGCTGCAATCCTGCTCTGCGCCCATTCTGCTGTTTCCTTAATGGATTCGTCTGAGTTCAAGCACTCCTCAATGAACTCCCGGTGGAAGCGGTGGGTGGCAAAAAGCTGAGCAGCAGCGACTCCGAGAGTGTCAGCCAAATCTCCCAAAACACCAACCGCAGCCTTGGTCACAATCTCATCCCTGCATTGTCAAACACCCAGATAAGGTCAAAATATATTTCAGTCAGCAGCAAGTCATAATTGGTGACAGTGGACATCCAAGCACACTCCTCGCCACCCAACACCTAGCCTCCCATCCCAAAAAGAAGGCACATTCAACAGCATGCAACAGCTCCCTCACGCTTGGCACCAGTCCAAGAGTTAACTCACACACATAGGCATCATACCGGCCTCATACACCCAGAGACCTGGTTATTGGTTAAAAGATCCCTTGTACACCCCAAGCCCTCACTCAAACACCCCCCGTACATCAATTCACTTGAAGTTTTGCCATGAGATGGCTCTTGCTCGTTCCAATCACAGCCCATTTCCGAAAAACTCAGTGTGTCATCACATGCCAGTCCAATCCCTACCCCCAGGAGACGCACCTTTGCTTGGCCACGTACACATTCTCAATGGACACCATAAAGAGCCATGAATTGTGTGTCATTTTCAACCACCCCACCCATCACAAATTACCCGTTCCCCAGGCGACGCACCTTAGTTCGTTCAAATGTACCCTTTTTCAATGAACACCACTAAGACTCATCCATCGTGTGTTATTTCCAAACACCCCAGCCATCAAGTATGTCTCTCTACCCACCCTTCCCCACCCCATCTCCCCAAACGACGCACCTTTGCTTGTCCAGGTACACATTCTCGATGAACAGCAGGATGTGCTCCGCGTACGGCGCCATGAGCTCCGGCTTCGTCGCCTTGAACCCCTGGAAAATCCCTGAGTACGCCTCAAAGATCCCCGCGCGCAGCTGGTTGTTGTACTCCACCACCTCGTCCCACACGTCATTCATCCCCTGCTGCGCCGACAGCTCCGCCGCGCTCTGCAGCATCGGCATCGCGTAAGCAAGATACTTAGCAAAGTGTTCCCCAATAGCCAGCGCAATGTCCCCAAAGCAGGAGAAGATAGGCGGCTTCACGCTGCGGTGGAGCTGGTCCGAGGAGAGGTCTTTGAGCAGCTGCGTCATGATGCCGTCGCAGTAGGGTAACACGGCTTCGTCCAGCGCTCTGCAGATGTCGCCCACCACGCCTACAGTTACTGCGCACACCTGGTACTCCTCGAAGTTCTGCAGACCCATCTCCAGGTAGCGGTAGAACTCGGGCATGTACTTGCCAAAGTCGGGGCCTGCAGCACAACCACGCGGCATTCAACAATCATGCAGCAGCAACGCAGAAGAAAAACGACATCAGCTTCCCTTCAGAAATTTCCAACCCCATTCCCGTCAAAACCAAGGCCAAATGACACGGAATCTAAGCACCGGCATTCAATTCATAACGGAGCGTGAGTGATTCAGGTCCTAGTGATGAAGTCATACCTGTGGAGTACGCAAGGGCTCCAATGGCGAGCATGGCCTCTTCGTGCACCGTGGCATTGCGGCAGGCGAAGACTCTGAGGAAGAGAGCCATCATCTGATCGGCGTACTGTGTCACTCCCGTCTTGGTCGTGTCGTTACCTCCCAGCTTCTGAATGATCACCTGTTTTGGCAAGGAAAACGGAACAGCAGAAACATGGAGTCAACTTCTTGCACTAGGAAAACCTAATCTGTCCAGCAAAAGCGTGAAACAGAGTCAAACTGAGAGCACACGCAAGAAAACGCCAGAAAGGCGAGCAGCTTTTACCTGGAGCACGCCGCACAGCAGCGCTTGGAGCTCGCTCTGCTTCTCGCGGTCGTCCGTGGAGATAATCTGCATGTCCATGGTCCGCGCCAGCTTCTCCATGATCACCGGCGTCAGCTGCGCCGTCGTCGCCGCCGTGTCATCCCCGGAGCACCGCACGATCTCGTTCAGCGTCTCGTACGCCGACGATCTCAGCCGCGAGTCCGACGCGTCCTCCCTGTCGGCCGTAGCCAGCAGCGCCGTGATGAGCGGCTGGAAATACGGAGTCATGGACAGCGCTCCCTCGCTGCCTTCCGACCCTTGCGCGAGGAAGTAGATCGCTCCGCACACCTTCTCGGCCACATTCGGAACGTCCTTGAGGCTCTCGATCAGGACAGCCAGGATGGCTGGGAGATTCGTCGCATTAATAATCGGGTTCTCTGGTGAAGATCCGTGCACGATCTCAAAGATCCGGCCGAGAGTCCACGCTGTTGTGTCTTTCACATGCGCATTCTCGTCCTTCATCGCATTCAGCATGAATCCCAGCGCGCTGTTCACCAGAGGTACCAGCTGCTCCGTATCAGGACCCTCGAGGATAGATCCAAACGCGTACGTCGCAGCTTCCCTGTTTCTCCATTCCGGCTTGCTGATGTTCTCCTGGACGTACGGCATGACTAGCGGAACGATATCATTCCCGACCGTTCTGGCGACCAGACCCAAGCAGGTACCTCCAGCCATGGCCAGATTCCAAGCCGTTTCATCCGAATCCTGACCCTCCTCTTGTTTCGTCAGGGTCTCCAGCAGCATAGGAACGAGCGCCGGAAGAGCCTGCTTAATAAAATTGAAATTCGTGACCTCAGAGTCCGCCGTGTACTCTTCCTGTAGCTCGATCTCCTCGTCACAGATCGACGACCATAACTCCACGGCTTGAAGCGCAACGGGTTCCTGGTCTTCTCTCGTCGCCTTGGCCGTGATCTGGAAAATGTCGTTCATGTACGGCGCGAGCTTCGAGTAGTAGGTCGACGAGATGGCCACCAGGCACTCAAATGCAGCTTGCCGAACCCTCACGTCAGGACACAGCGACGCTTCACAGATGACCGTCATAATGTAGTTCCGCTCCACCTCGTTTTCGAAGTTGGTTTGCGCGAATTCAAGAGCGTTGGAGAGTGCTCTTGTAGCAGCCAGCCTGATATCGTTGTTCGGCTCCGTCTTGTTCATCCCTTGCACAACAGCAGTCAACACACTGTTGACCTGCTCTTGAGCCAGAGAGTCAGTCCCGGCGATCTCCTCACAAACGAATCCCAGAGCTTCAAGAGTGCTCTCTTTCAGGTGATCTGGCTGCGGTTGGGTTGGCGACCCCATGTTACCGAGCAAGCCTACGACGAGTTCAGGCCACTCATTCCGTGGAAGCTCAATGGCAGCGATCTTAGCAATAACCTGAGCCGATGTATGGCGAGCATCTTGGACTGGTGATCCAAGGGTTGCGAGAAGAGCGGCCTTGATCTGTCCCTTGATAGCAGCATCTAGAGCAATCCAACGTTGAATAAACTCGGTCTTCCTAGTAGACTCCTTCGCGTCGAGAGAGTTCTTCAGAATGAGACCAGCAAGCCGCCGAGAATCTGTCTGCTTTTCCGGATTCGCAAGCTCCAGGGACAAGGAAACTAGGTATGCCGGAAAGTTGGAATCCTGAAGCTGCTTCAAGTTTTCCTCCGCCAACCTTCTGACATTTCCATCAGGAGACTGAGCATTTAAAAGAACCTGCGTAATATCCATACTGTAAGGAAGAAACACCAATCAAGAGCTTTAGCACTTCAGGTTGGAAACAAAAACGGCTGCGCGGAAAGAGACTGACAACTACGCGGATCAGGTCTATCCTCCTAAGAACTAGCCTCTATCTTGCACGTCCTGTAATCTAGGGCTAATTCGTCTGGAGGAAGGGACAACACAACAGAGACTCCAGGTAGAAGTACCAGGCTATTGTGACACTGCTAAAATATGGTTTCAAGCAAAGCTTGTGGGGGTCATTGCCTGACCTTGGTTCCAAGTTCCAGAATCCCAGATCCGAGGCGTCCTGACTCCTGGGAAGAAAAGGAGGGAACTGAACTGATGGAAGATGCTAGAAACGGGAGCGACAGGGGACTCTGTTGCGTTGCGATAGCGACGCCCCTGAAGATCGTACGGCTCGTAACCATGGCTCGTGCAAACCATGTGCGATTGAATGGATCCCAGATGACCTTCGAATTCGCCTGCTTCTGCGACTACATGTGGGGTGATTCCCTGCGCGGCGATGTTGTGGATGTCCGCAAGAGATTCGCAACCTCTTTGCGAAGAGTGTGCGATGCGAGTGGAAGAAGCAACGAAGAATTTGAAGCCAGGATACAGGAAGCGGCAAATCAGCGGTTATTTACCCCCTGACAGGCGCCGCGTGAACTACTAATCTCACGTTCTGCTTTTTTGCTGCGCTAAGACTTTTGGGGCTTTGTTCTTTGCTTTCAGAAAGCGAGGTGAAAGTCCAGTGAGGATCTATACACTGGGCTGTTGAAGATATGAAGCTGGAAAATCAAAGCATATCTTGTTGCGAAATGTACACCAGATCTCTAAAACAAATCCACCCTTTGGTCTGCAAAATTTAGTGACATTACACTATATTCACCCAGCAGCTGGTCGTTTGCTTGATCTTATATTATCACTAATTGAACAATCTAGTGGCAAAATTTGACATGTCCTTATACACTCCTGTACCGTATTACGACACCACCTTATGATTGAAGGACACATACAAGATATGCTAGGAGTATAATAGGTGGACATGGCAAAACCTAACTGGTCCAGGTGGCTAACTACCTAAAGGTACCTACGCTTTCCTCATTACCTAGAACCGCTTTCCAGTGCTTCGCACTGGCCCTCAACTCCCAAAAAATCTAACAAACGAGGCCATGTCTCAGGAATCCCACCCGTGATTTCGAATTCCATCAAGAGGCCTCTTTCATTGTAGAAGTCCTCCACAGGTTTGCTCTGCACGGGGAACATGCCAGAAGGTGGATTCAGTTTAGAAACAGAAAACCCAAGACATATGCAGGGCCTAAACGTCTGACGGAGCCTCACCAGTTCTTCATAAACCTTCAGACGAGCCAGAACTGTTTCCTCTGTGTCATCCGCCCTTTGGACAAGCTTGCCTTCACAACCAGCTGGTGCTGGCAGTGGAGGCATGAAAATGGCTGGCTTTCCATCTTGTGCGGGAATGTCAATGTTAGCAACATTGTAATTACCGCCACAGTCTGAACATAATCTACGCCCCAGCATCTTCTGAACCAGGACTTCCTCCCGAAGGGTCAGGTTCACAGCCAGGTCAATCTGTGTCATGGACTCCAATACCTCCTGCACGGGGAAAAGGATGAAATGATAAGGACCGTGTACAGGACCCATCAACAGCGGAGAAACGGCTTATCACCACCCTACCAGAACCAGAACAGGGGGCAGATGAGGGCGACAAACTCCAATCACAGAAAGATTAACGGCCGTCGTGCTTACAGCCTATTAGCATGCGGATCACGACGTATTGGACTCCCAAGCCCCAGTGAAACTTACTGCTTGTACGGCTGTGCGAGGAAATCCGTCCAGAATGAAACCACCTTCGCCCGTGACAACACCCTGCTCTAGCCGTTTTGATAGAAGATCGAAGATAATATCATCAGAAAGGAGCTGACCGCGATTCATCACTTCTTGCATCTGCCATCGAGAATATCACGTGCCGTGGGCTCAGTACATTGTCAATTAGCTGAAAATAAGTTTCCGTCGACGGCCTCCCACACTTGCCTTGATCGCGATCGGCGATCCGTTCTTCAACTCCTCGCGAACCAGATCGCCTGTAGAGATGTGAGCAATATTAAGGTACTTGCTCAGTCTGCTCGCGTATGTACCTTTTCCTGCTCCGGGTGAACCCAAAAAGACCCATTGTATTCTTCTGTCGACACCGCTCAGAGCATGTTGAGGTTCTGCAGCCAGCCGCCGCGCAGCTGGTGCGACTTCTCGCGAAAGATTGGAAAACTGCCTCCAAAACACAGCTGCTTGAGATCCTATGACCGATCCAGCCGCCTGAGCTAATCTTCGGCCCGCCAGGGCCATACTTGCTCTTCTCACAACGCACTCAGATCGCGCTGCGCGCGTCAGCTAGAACAAGTTGTGCGAGTCAAGTATTCTGATCGGCGAGGTCGGCGAGGAGGCGACAGGATCTCTCGACTCACTCACGATGAAACAACTTTTAGAGCGAGAACAAACTAGAAATGGAGCCTGTCGCTGCTGTCTAGCTGTTGGCGGGTACCACGCCAGGAAAGCAGAGCCACCAACACTACACTAGACCAGTGCCCAGCTTGAGGTCGACCTTCTCGACTACTGTGTAGTTTTGATCTTGTCGCTGCCCAAGAGCCCAGCTGCATGTTCTGTGCTAGTCAGCTGTTCCCATGTCAGCAGCACCAAAAGCTGGGCAGAACAAATTTTCTTGTCCTGAAAATCCCAGCACCTGCCTTTTCTTGCCATCCGACCGCGACTCGATGACTGGTGGTGTTCAATTACCTGTCACCTCCGTTCCCAGTGTGGTGGAAGTGTGCCCATGATGACGTGGAAGAGGGTTCAGGGGTCTCTCAGTTCCAGCCATAAAAACGGCAGTCAGTGGACGTCGGCGTGTGGAGGCTCCCCGAAATTCCAGAATCTACGCTCCGTGACTTGACACACGTGTAAGACATCCACCTCAAGAGGAACAATGGACGGCTCTCTCTCTCCGACAGTTGTTGGAAAGTGGAGATGGGTAACGTTTGTCCAATGCGAAGACATGCGAAAGGTACAATCACGCCCAGATGTTACACCTTGGAAATGACGGGGAAAGGTCAAATGCTGCTGTGATCGGCTTGCACATTTACTAGTCTTCTGATGTTGATGTTGGCTGTTATTTCAGAGACTAATTCCCGAGCGACATTAGGATTACCATGGCGTGTGGTGCCGTTTGCCAGTATAGACTTCCAAATGTATTTCCCTCGACATGCCTGGAAAGTTCAATAACCAAGTTGAGAGTCTCATCCCCCAAGGAAATTAAATTGTCGAAGGGTTTGCGTTCTTCGCGCTCCACTTCATGGAGCAGAGCCGAGCTTGCCTCGTCACCATGTACTGTACGAGTGGAGGAGGCTGTGTCATCAACCGAACTCAGAGCTGCTGCGTCTTTGCGTTCGTTTTGCTTCTTCACTTGTCCCCCTGACCGTTCATCAGAATTCGTGGAGGTACGGAAAATTGCAGGTGCCTTCCGCTACTTCCCCACTTTTATCCCTCCCTTTCTCTCCGCATAACTGGACGTAACCTATTTTATGGTTCCTTTTGCAGCGACATTTGTTCATGAAAGCCATGGAGGAGGCGCAATGCTTGGAAGATAAAGTTGCTGGACTCCTTCCAGGCTTCAACCGGGTCTCATGTTTGGTAGCGACCGTACCTGAAGCCAGCGCCGCAATCTTGCAACCTGGTCAAGAGCCTGTAAGGTCGTTGGTTTTCAGTAATAATTCCTGCATTTATTAACGTTGACCGACTGACTGTTCTTGTTTCCTTCGTATACAGCGTGCATCTCTGCAAGTCGCTCAAGGATGGGTTGTTGGAACTTTGGACCTGAATTTAGGGCTTCGCTTGCCTGGTGAAAATCTTGGCGGAAAGTACCCTGATAAGGTACTCACTAATCAGAACTCCTGTGGTCATGGCAGAAGGCGAATATTAGGTCCGTCTTACTCGTGATCTGTTTGTAACCATATGGCATTTCTATGTGCTCAGGGCTTGCACATAGAGTCAAGACGAGCCTATCTATCTAATGTTTGCGTGGCGCCAGCTGCCAGAAGACTTGGAGTTGCTTACAGATTGATGCAATCAGCAAAAGATCTTGCACGGAGTTGGGGTGAGTCATTGCTGTTTGCTCAACTGTGTCTCTGCTTCCCTCTGTAATCTGTTTCAGCAGACTTACACTCGCCTTACCTGGCCTGCAGGTGTGGAGCATATGTATGTTCATGTAGTCAAGAACAACGACCCTGCACGACTGTTGTATCTCAAATCTGGATATGAAGTGGAGCAGGAAGAGAAGGCAAATGTTGCCAGATCCATGGGTCGCCCTGCAAGGCTGTTGTTGCACCTTGATATACGCTGATATGGTATACTCTATGCTCCAACCAGCAGACAGCACACCAACGCGTACTCAGCTTCTGGATGGCTATCCGGTGCAACAGTTTGAGCTGGTTTCCACTTTGAGCAGTCACAAAGTTTTTATATGAAGTGTGGGCCAATCTTGAGTGCTCCTCAAACATCTCCACCTATCCCTTGTTCTATGCGGTTGGAAAGTAGGTAGATACTATCGGTAACATTATGGTTGAAGAAAGGAATTGTACAGGATGCACTCGAGCATTTGAAAAACCTGCTAGTACAGTAATTCAACGACCTAATGCCTCACTTAACAAAACGTAACATGATGCTTTCAGGGAACTTGCTACTGACAATGGTCGTGCCAGCAATTCACATCTTCCAAGTGTAGTACTCGTATAATCACGTCTTCATGGCTGTGCGCTTGTGTCATCACTCTCTCCGCTTGATGAAATATGTCCATGGAGCGCTTGCTCTGGAGCCCCATGCGACCAAAACGACTCCACATCTGAAGTCCTCATAAACGCAGGGCTGACAGCATCCGCTGCAACCCCACAATTCAAGTACGCCTCCATGTCGATTCCTGAAACCCCGAACCCAAACGGGGAGCTCACAGGACCCTGCAGGCTTGCATCCCCTGAAGCTCCAAACAATCCACCAGTGGTAACCGCACCTTCGCCTCCCGACCCCACACCTCCTGCTCCCAACCCACCCCCTCTATCCGGGTATCCATAGGGAGCTGGAGAAGCAGACCTGGAAGGGGGGCCTAGAACAGCATCCCCCGGCGAAGAAGCAGACAGTGAAGTAGTAGGAAAGAGAGAAAACCCCCCAAAAGGAGAAGAGAAGAGCTCAGTGGAGGGGCGACGGGGAAGGCCGTCAGCCTCAGGAGTTCCAGAGATGGTAGAGGAGAAAAGATACTGGTCACGAGGAGGGGACAGAGCATCCCTGGTTCTGGCAGGTGGTGCAATCACGCGCGGGGAGCGAGGAGAGGAGGGCGAGCCGTGGAGGAGTGAAGGCCCGAGGATTCCCGAGGAGTGGGGTACAGAGGAGGTGGTGGGTGGAGGAGGAGAGGCGGTCAGAAAGCCTCGGTCTGAAAAGAAGAGGCTTGATGGGTGGGAGATGCCTGTTGGGTGTGGGGATGTCCCAAACGATGCAAGGTGGTCGAAATGGTTACCCCACAGATCGTACACAGCTGCTTCGTCATCACCTGCTCCTGCCAGCCCACCACCTGAAGAACCTTCCAACCGCACCCCACCCCTTGAAGCTGCAGCAACCCCCGTGCCTCCACCACCACCAGCACAAGCAGCAGCAGCAGCAGGACTGCCACCAAACGCCACAGCTCCGGGCAACCCATCCTCCCTGCTACCACTCCTGGCAAACGAGCCCACTGCCAGATCCGCAGCAGCTGCTAGCTCCCCCCTGCTGCCACCGCTCCCCCCACTGCTACTCCCCCCACCAAGAAAACTCCCCACTCGGCTGCCCGGGCTCAGCAACCCTGGAACCTTCCAGGAGTCTGCAGCGGCAGAACCAGCACCGCTGCCACCGCCGCCACCACTACTGGTGCTGCTGCCGCTGCCGATGGCGACAGGGGTGGAGGAGGGGGGAAGGCGCCGATGCACCAGGATAGGGTCGGAACAGGTGTTGACAAAGGAAGGGGTCTTGGGAATAGATGCCATCCTGCTCGCTCCTCCTCCTCCGCCTCCTCCCCCTCCTCCCCCACCTCCTATCCCCCCTAGTCCTGCAGGCAGAGGTGAAGAGAAGGAAGCAGATATCTGAACGTGCCAGCTGTGCACAACGCCTTCGCCAACTGCTGTTGGCCGTGCTGCTGGTGGCACTGCTGCCGCTGCTGCTGCTTCTGCAGGAGGAGAAAAGGGGTCCGGTGGTGGTGGGGAGCGGGAGAAGGAACGAGCAACTTGCCTGCCAGAAGGTAATCCAGCCGAGCCAGCTGAACCACCAGAAGCAGCCGACTTGCCCCGTCCAACAGCCAAACCTGCTTTCTCTGGGGTAACCCTCATGCCAGCTGCACCAGCTGCTGCTACAGACCCACGGCCCACAAGCTTCTGCTGCTGCTGCTGCTGCTGCTGCTGCTGCTGCTGCTGCTGAAGCTTCTGCTGCGTTGCCTGCTGCTCCTTCTCCTTCTGCTGCTGCTGAAGCAGTGCCCGAGCAGCAGTCTTCCCAATAGCCACAGGCTTCACACCAGCTAGAGCAAGATCGTTTGCCGAAGCAGCACTGATCCCAGCACCTGCGGCATCTCTTTTGCTACTGCTACCAGTGCTTTGACCAGCTGATGGGGCCGGAGAGGGCTGTCTGGGAGCACAAGGAGGAGAGACCACAGCAGATTCCCTGATTCCCTGGTGGTGGGAAGTGGTGAGAATTCCTGACACTTCTTTCAACTTCCCTCCGCCTCCTTCCCTCTCCTTCTCTCCAGGCCCCTGCTTCTTCCCACCACCACCCTCCTTTGTGGGACTCTCTACAGGAGAGCGAACCACCAGAGATCCAGACACAGCAACGGCCGACACAGGGACCAGCTTCGGCTGATCCTTGCCTCTCTCCTTCCCTTCCTTCCTTCCCTTCCCTTCTCCTGCCTGCTTCCCTCCAGTCCTGGTCGAATCCTCACTACCGGAAAACTTACCGAGCTCTGCACCCTTCTTCTTGTCAGCCCCAGCAGGTTTTTCTGCTGCGACCACAGAAGCAGCAGCAGCAGCAGCAGCAGCAGCAGCAGCAGTGCTCGCAGGAGGAGAACCAGCAGCAGCAGGGGCACTAGGAGCAGGTGACGGCTCCCGTGCTGCTGCCTGGCCCTTCTTCTTCTTCTTCCCCGTCTCCACAGCACCTTGCTTCTCCTCTGCAACCTTCCTGTCAACCGCCCCTAGCTTCTCCCCCACCCCTTGCTTCTCAACCACTCCCACCTTCTTCTCCTCCTTCCCACCCTCCTGATTCTTCTCCTCCTTCCCATGCTCTCCCTTATTCTCTCTGGCCGCCTCTGTACTGCCTTTCGATCCCTTCTCCTTCACCTCTTCAGTCTCTGCAGCCTTCTCCTTCTCCTTGAGTTTCCCCTTCTTTCCTTCCTCCTTCTGAGTCTTCTTTCCCTTCTCCTTCTCACTCTCCTCCTCCTTGCGTCCCTGCTCGTTCTCCTTTGACTTACCTGATTCCTTCTCACAATGAGCCTCCATCTCCGCCTGTTTCTTCTCCCTTTCCTTCTCCCGCTCCTTCTCCTTCTCCTTCTCCTTCTCCTTCTCCTTCCCCTTCTCCTTCTCCTTCTCCTTCTCCAACTCCCTTTCTCTCATCTTCTCCTCCTTCCCCTTCTTCCCACGCTGCTTCTTCTCCTCCCCTTTACCAACCCCCTCCTTCCCCCCTTTACCACCACCCCCCTTGCTACACGCACTGGGGTTCCAAGTCGCCCCACTTCCCTCCTTCCCAGCCTTATCGCCCCCAGTACCCCCTTCCATCACAGCAGGAGCAGCAGCAGCCAGATTGTCAGTTCCAGCAGCGCCACCACTAGCAGCAACAGCATCAGCCTCTTTTTGGCTGCTCTTACCCCTACCTGAAGGAACAGAAGCGGATTTCACAAACACTCGAGCCGCATCGGGTAACCCGGTCCCAAATGACTCCCCTCCCACTCCACCTGCAACAGCTACGCCTCCCCCAGTTGAACCTGCTGCAGGCGCAAACGCCCCTGCTGTTCCTAAGTCTGCGCTCTTCCGTGCTGCCTGACCAGCTGCACCTGCCACCGCTGTCACAGTTGCCTCTCCTGCAACCAGCATCGCACTCTTCCCTGCCCCACGATCAACACCCACCTGCTGCTGCTGCTGCTCCGGCTGTTGCTGGGATGCCATCTGACCTGCTGCAGACTCGGGCTTCTGGCCCGTATGTTTCTTCCCTTGCTCCACTGCCTGGGGAGCATTCAGCACCAGCCTTGACGCCTGCTGACTTGGTAAACCCACATGCTGCTTTTGCTGCTGCTGCTGCTCCTGCTGCTGCTGTTGCTCCATATGCTGCTTCCGCACTGCCAGCACCGTTTCTAGTCCAAGCCCAATCTCAGCATCAGTAACGCCATCATCCTCCCCATCCGCCCCATCTGTAACCTTCTCCACTCGGGTTACCACCCAGGACGCCCCAGAATCCCCCATAGGGCCGTCATGCCCCTTCCCAACAGGCATCCCCACAACGCCACTCACCCCTCCACCCGCTTCTCCTCCCTGCCCTCTCCCTGCAGAAATCGGCGCCACCGAGACTCGAACCCTGACCACTCGCGCTCGCGTCTCCGCATCTGCTGGAAAACTCCTGCCTCCCACCCCGCCAACCCCCACTCCCCCAACCAACCCCACACCTCCCGCTCCCCCTGCGCCTCCCCCTCCGCCCGACGCCCCTCCCCCTCCCCCGCCAGCAGCGGAGCCATGAAGCTGATTCGCCAGCAGCAGCGCATTCTGCTTCTTCTGCAGTCTCCTAGTCAGCGCTGCCGCCGCAGCAGCAGAGAACCCGGGGAACCACGGGGAGGGGAACAGCGTAAGCTGAGACACAGCCGCCCGCACCAGCAGCCCAAACATGGCTACTAGCATCGAAGCCACCACAGCTTTCATGACTGAATCCATAGGATGCCTCGGCTCCGCGTCTATAGCAATCACTGCAAGGTTCCTCGGAATGTACCCTCGGATTGGCAGCTCGTGCGCACCAGCGGATGACTCTATATGGAGGACGGCACGAACTATAGTCGAGGTGAGATCCGGTGTAAAAGAGAGGAGCAGAGGCGTGGATTGGCCAGGGGCGAGAGTGAAGGGCTCGCATGGATGGATGGAGAATCCACGGAGGGAACACACGACCTTGCTCTTGCTCGCGTGCAGGCTCATACTCAAGATTTTCAAGGGTAAATCGCCCCGGTTAACCAGCTTGAACTTCCGCTCGGCCACTACCGGCCATTTCACCCTCCCTACGCTGCTCTCCACTTCAGTCACATAAAACCTCGGATAGGCCCCCCCTGCCGCTCCCACCAGCCTCCTCCCCCGCCGCTCCTTTACAAGCACATGCTCTTCAGTCACATTCACCATCAGCAGCATTTCCGGCCCTCTGCTCCCAATCACATGCAGCACCCCCGACCCCCCTTCCCCCACCATCCTCACCTCTTCCAACAACGTCAGATTATTCCGCACATAGACTGATCCGTTATACACACACCCAGCAGCATCCGGCCGGAAAACCACCGGCCCCAGCCGCCCCTCCCACCCGGGCGGCAGAATCAAATCCGTCACTGCATCCGGCGCCAAGGTAAAACCCGCCCCACCCTCCTCTCTCTCCTTCGTTACACCCAACCCAAGCCAAGGTGCTCCAAAACCCAGCCAGGGAACGCTCAAGTGAGAGGCTAAGTTGAGGGTCCAGGGGAGGATACCAGCTGCGGCTAACCAGCGGGTTGGGAGGAGAGGGGAGGGCGGAGCGGAGTTAGGGTTGGGTACAGGGCAGAAGGGCGGACCCTTTGGCTCTCCTCCCGAGCAGCCAGTTTTACTGCTGCTAGCGCCGCCGCCGCCGCCGCCGCCGCTGCTGCTACTGCGGCTGCTGCTGGTTGTGGCACCAGTGTTGCTGTTGCTGCTTCTGCCATTCCCACCCTTGCTGCCACTGCTGCTGCTCCCAGCACCGCTCTTGCTGCTGCTGCCACTACCGCCGCTGCCCCCACTAGCGTCATTACCCCCACTGCCAACACCCTTACCTGCACTTCCGCCCCTACCGTTGCCGTTCCCACCGTTCCCATTCCCACAAACCCTAAATCCCGACCCTTCACCCATCACCAGGCGCACGCGCACAGGGTAATCACTCGGATTCTGCACCAAAACCATCTCCCCTGCTGCTGTTCCCACCTGCACCCGACCGTACTGCAAACCTGACGAAGCTTCTGACACCACTCGAGGCTTCGCCAGTACCCCTTTCACCTCCACAGCCTCCGATTCCATCACTTCCGTTTCAAGAACTAAAGTCGATACAATCACATTCTCGCCTGCACGGACCACGCGCGTCCACTCGTCCAGCCTCCCCTGTGCCGTTTCCCGTTCCTCTATAGTCACATCTTCACCCCACGGGTCCCTCCCCTCGCTATTATCACCGCCTGCACTTCCCCTCCCGCCGTCCTGCAGTCTCTCTAGCATTCGCCCCCAGCTCTCGCTCCCGTTAGAAGCACATCCGCTTGCAGTCACGAAGGTTTCCCGCAACGGCATGGAAAACACAAGATCGCCCAACTCCGTTCCATTAGATGGCCCCAGCACAGAAGCCTTAAGATCAGCGGAAACCCTAGAATCGGAAACCCTAATTCCGGTCACGGCAAGGGGATGCGGGAAGGTGCTGTTTGCCGAGAGCTTTATCCGATGGGCCTTTCCTGGAAAGAGAGACGGGAACACGAGCGGAAGCTTCGGGGAAACCGCAATCTCGCCTCGGAAAGACGCGAATTTGAGATCAAGCTTCAGTAGTTGGTGCTTCGTTTCAAGCACCAGCAGCTCCAAACCTGCTCCTTCCGTTACAGGAGCGAACTCTACAGTCACTTCTGCCGTATGGAACTCTGGAATGCTGAACAATCCGCAATTCTCGCACTCTAAAACCACCTCTTGGCCTGCACGTGGGCTTTTGAGGACCAACGACGGCTTTGCAGTAGCAGCTGTAACCGTACTCCCACTGCTGACGGTGCCACTGCCAGTGTTACCACTACGACTCTCGCTGCTGTTGCTGCCGCTGCTCCTCGTTCCTTTCTTCGCACCTCCTCCCCCTCCTGCCCCTCCTGCTCCTGCTGCTGCCCCTAAGCCACCAGCCCCTGTCCCCCCTTCCTCAGATGACCTAGCAAGCGTCTGCAGGTGTAACCTAATCGGGAGGTGGAACACTTGATGCTGAGAGGATGGGAGAGCAGATGACATGGCCACAGGCACAGGGGCGCGCTCTGCCTCCCTCTCCTCCATGTGGATAACGTCGCTGACGTGGACAGTGACGTGGCGGGAGGAGCACGACGCGGACATGATGGCGACCGGAAACGGGCCCGGATTGGCCAGGCGAAACGATATGTTTCGTCTTGAACCGGGGAGAATCAAGCCGAAGTCCAAAACCCCGCGACTGTTTCCCTGCAGCTGCTCCCCCTGCTGCTGCTGTTGTTCCTCCTCACCCTCGTACCGACCATCAGAATGCGTGCCTGCGTCTCCCCCAACGCGAAACCCCGCCTCCTCTTCCTCTTCCTCTTCCTCTTCCTCTTCCTCCTCACCCAATAACCTTGTGCCAACACCCCCCATTATCGCCCCATCCTGGGTACTAGAGCGGGGGGAGGGGGGAGAGCGGGAAGCACTCATGCTGCTATCTGCGGCTGCTGCTGCAACTGCTGCTCCTCCTCCTGCTGCTGCTGATGCTGCTGCTCCTGCTGTCAACGGAACGTCCAAATCCAATAGCCCAGGCAGCACGTGCAAAGGCACAACCATATCACTCACATTCGTCGCTATAGTGAAGTTCACTATAGTGAGCGACAGCGGCAATTTCTCCGGATTCAGCTGCAAAAGAAACGGTTTGCTGGAGCCGCCAGGGGGGAGCAGAGAGGACGGGAAATCCTTGGCCTGAATGCAGTCGTGCGAGAAGAACGCATCGTATACGAGCACCGGGCAGGAAAACTTATTTCGCAGGACCAGCTCCTTGGTCACCGCAGATCGAACAAACCCAATGTTTTCTCCCCAGGGCTGCCCAGACAATTCTCCCTCCTGCTGCTTCTCTTTCCCCGGTGCTGCTGCGAAAAAAAAGACGGTGTTTTCGACAGGCTCCACTGTCACGCTACCAATGACTATCCGCGCTTTAAACGGCACCTCTACAAGCGACGGACTTGACTGCGCCGTCTGCACCACTACACGTCCCCTACGTGTAAAACCCTCAATTTCCGGTCCTACCTCTCCCCCCCCTCCCCCTCCCCCTCCCCCTCCTGCTTTCCCGTTTAAACCGGCCGACAAGCTATAGCCTGCGTATTTCAGCTCTGCAACTTGCACAACCTTCCCGGGCGGCAGCTGCTGTCCTTTGCGGAAACGGGCAGCTTGCAAATGTTCGTCTCTGACCGCGAGACGGACGTCGTCTACGGCCGCCATGGTGCTGCCCACGTTCCCCAATTCCACGTGGCGGATCACCGTGTCCCGCGCTGACGTCAGCGTGCCGAAGTCGATCTCATCCGCCATTGAGACGACGCCACCTGGCGACGTCGTCAGGTCGATCGGCAGAAGCAGGTACTCGCAGTCGCAATCCGCGTGCGCCTCGACTTTAAGAAAAATACTTAGCGACAGCCTCCCCACATCTCCGTGAACCGCCTCTATCACTAAGACCTCCTCTGTTCCCCCTGGCTTCACTATAATATCACTCCCTATAGCGTCACGCAGGTACGACCACGTGTCGTCTTCCATTCCCAGCTCCACTCCTCCCACCGTAATCTTCACCTCGCTTCTAGAACCCGGCGGAAGCTCCATTGGGCCGTCTTCCCCCGATATAAACACATCCACTTTGGATTGTACGTCGGTGATTGTAACGGGCCACGGCATTGTGTTCTGCATCCAAACGGGGTGTATAATCCGCTGTCCAGGCAACGTTCTTAAACTCGTTCTCGGTTCCAAACTAAACGGGGACGGAAGACCATAACCGAACAGCGGGATGACGATCGGCCCTGCGCTAGTCTCTACCGTCAGATTCCCGTCAATAGTTCCAAGTGCCCGGGGCAGGAAAAAAAGACTGATGAAACTAGCCGACCGAGGCTTGATAACGAACTCGTCGAAACTTGCCATGTAGCTCGCCATATAGAAATCGAAGGAGCTGCTTGTAGCGGATTCGATAACCAGCTCTCTATGACGAGACAGATTGATGATCCATAGCGTATGCGGTGTAGTCGTACAAGCGTATCGAGCACCCCACGACAGCAGCGTAGGGAACGTCCTAACCCCTCCCGGAAGTTCCCATAGCGACGGCGTGTTTAAATCCGCTTCGAACATCGCCAGCGCACCTTCCGGCGCATTCGGCGGCAGGCTGATGTCACCTAGCCTAGGGTAGCTAAAGTCACTTTGTCTCGCCGATGCCCCTCCGGAATTCTCAACAGGAGTGGGCGCTGCAGGTCCTGCGGCTTTCTGTCGGTTTTTTATTTTCCCTTTCGCTCGCGGGGGCTTCTTGTCTCTTGTACCGGCATCTGCATTAGGTAAGTCTCTCGGACTCGTGTCTGTGCTATGTGGTGTTTGCGGGTCTAAGGCGGAATCCGGGGAATGGGCGCCTCCTAATGGTTGCAATGGCGGTGGCGGTGACGATTGTCGTATGTGTAAGCCGTCCGTTCGCGACTCTTTTCGCAAATCTCCGCCAGCCTTCGCGGCGAATGTCGCGGAGGCAGAGCCGGAGAAGGCGAGGCTGTTGATGCTCGGCCGAGCTGTTTTGGACGAATCTCGTGCGTACGTCGCTGCTTCGGAAAGCGATATCTGACGGTCATTATCGGCCCGGAGCGCACCGGTCAGAAAGACGAATATCACAAACAGAAAAAACTGACTAAATCGAGAAACAGGTCCAACGGATGAAGCGCCGGAATGCACGGAGGACCTGCCGTGGTGTTCACGCATTAAGAAAAGGAACATTGTATGAGGTAAGAAAGGCACAACGATATATAGCATGAGGAAACTACAGAGCGAGACGGCTGAGGCATTGAAAAGTGACGGAAAAGGTAACGGAAAGGGAGCTGGATCGGCGGAATTCAAGCCTTACCTGTAACGAAGCATCGCCATTTGAATGCGGTTGGATCCTAAAACAAGAAAAAGACGGATGTATCCAGGTTTGATGAACACTAGGAACAACACTAAGAACTAGACTAGCCCTTAGCTCAGATACAAGCAGTTTCAAACAACGTCAACTACAGCCGTGGATTCAACAGTGACTAGATTCTAGGGCAAAGAGGATATGGCGGCCAAAGACACTGAACCTAGAGGGAGAAGAGGAAAGGAGAGGAGAGGAGAGGAGACGAGGAGAGAGGAGGGGTTGCGGAGAGAGGAGGGGTTGCGGAGAGAGGAGGGGTTGCGGAGAGAGGAGGGGTTGCGGAGAGACAGTCCTGGAGGAAAGGCGGAGTGCGGAGAAATGGGGGGGGGGGGGGGAAGAAGGGAAGAGGGAGTGGGGTGGTGGGACAGCGGGTGGGGGGTGTGGGAATGTGGTGGTGGGGTGGGGTGTTCGGTTGAAAGGACGCTTGGGGAAGGTGGGGCTGATGTGTGGTGCGGTGTTGCTGGTGTGGCGTGTTTGTAGTGTGCGCTTGCCCTGGCCGCACGCCACGATAAGAAATCTCGCGGAGCCCGAGGGGAGCCCAGGCCAGGGGGTGTGCTGTGCAGTAAGATGGGTATGGGTATTTCTGGGCAGGCTGAAGCGTTTGGGCAGGCTAGGTTTCTGGAAGGTCGTCCTGAAGCGTAGCGGGAATCGTTCTGCACCCTCGATGTGGTATATTGAGGTCAGAGCCTATCGGACGAACACGAGCGACGCATGCTGGAGCCTCATGAACTTCGAGTTTCATATACAGTACAAGTACAGTGTTTGGGATAGGGTCTTCTGGTGTTACGAGTTGCTTCACCATTGGATTAAAATGAATGGCCTACGAGAGCCGTCGATGCCTCATTGTGTCTCCCACGTTCGTCATGATTGCGATTGATGGGCCTTCAAGCCGAAACTCACGGATCTCCTCTGACCAAAGCCAATTTGCAGCAACACAGCCATGAACTACAGCGCGTCAGATTCAGGATGTACTGTACAGTTATATTGTAAATAATGTTGTAGTGTATAACCTCTCAAATAATAACTCCTCAAAGAAGTTAGAGAATGTGTACTCACGCCACAAGCTCGGAGCTGCATACGATTTCCCGCCCTGCTTGCCATTTCGCCATTCCTGCTGACGATGTTTGATTTGAATTCGCCAGACAAGCCCGCCAAATCGCCGAGCTTCAAGAACTGCCAGAGCCTGCAAACTGCGTCCCACAAGTGTGAACCGAAGCTCGCTTCGTACCAGACCAAAGCTTCAAACCCCTACTGGCAACGCCAGATGATGTTTCAGGTCCGGAAGGCTGGTTCGGAAATCGTACCGCCATGGCTTGGTTTTCGATTCCTCCAGATTCAAACCTCAAAGAACCTCGAGATTCCCAGCTCATCTGACGGTTTTCCATTTCTTCAGGGACGTCGAGTGGTATTTCTTACCATAGACCAGCTTCTCCTCCAGCTCTAACTTCAGCTTCAGTTCCAGATCAGCAATGCAAATCATTCATTTTTACCAAAACATTTTTCGTCAGCAGTTACACTTCGCTGTCTTCGTTCTGCAGTTTCATTCCTGCCTTCTCCCAGAGTCGCTAACCTGAAAAATGGCGCGTCCCGGAGATAGCATAGAGAAATGGTTAGCAGCTGCGCAAGAAAAGCAATCTCCCAGTCAGAATGGGCCAACAGAGCGGCCAACGGTAGCCACGGCAAGCTCGCTGCGTAGTAACTTATCGTCTACTTTCAACCGAACCTCGTCCAATCCCGAACCTGCATCCGCTGGCGGAGCAAACTCTGGGAAGGATTTGAAAAGTTCGAGCTCATTGACCCAGCAGCTGGAATCACGTTCGGTATTGCCACCCGCCCCATCTTCCGAACCGAGAACCCGAACCTACGGAAGCAGGCTCGGGGGGGACTTTTCGCCTGCAGACAACTCCTCCTATAGTTCGAGCATCAGGGAAAATATCACCTTCGCTAGAGGGACAGACTCTGCTCGCGGTGACGTGGCACCTGCAGACCGCTTTACTCAGCCAACCCGTACCGACGTGGCACCTCAGTCCAGCACGGGTGGATCATACGTGGCATCCAGCAACCAGGGCTATGGCAATGGCGGCGCGGCTCCTGGCGGAAAAGCCAACCAGTCAATCTCCAACGGCAGCGTCGGTTTAGGAGGCGGTGGTGGCAGCGGCGGCGGCGGCGGCGGTGGTGGCAATGGGATTGGCAGAAGTCCGTCTGGTACTTATTTCTCCGCTACTGCTCTTTCGAACCGCTCTCAGGGCAACGGCAGTCCTCGCAACTCTAGCGAGAACGAGAAGCTGTACGAGGCTTATAACGAGTTGCACCGCTTAGCGCAGCACTTTCAGAAGCCGTTCGATGCGCCAGCTGTGCTGATCGTGGGGCATCAGACGGACGGAAAGAGCGCGCTGGTCGAAGCGCTGATGGGGTTCCAGTTTAACCACGTGGGCGGGGGGACGAAGACGCGCCGTCCGATCACGCTGCAGATGAAGTACAATCCAGCGTGCGTGGAGCCGCGGTGCTACTTAGTTCTGGATAAGGATCATACGAGCGAACAGGAGAAGACTCTGCAGCAGCTACAGGTACTGTTAGGATTTATTTTCGTGCTTTTTCTCGAACCGTTCATATGTTGATTGGAGTTTATCTGCATTCGATTAATATCCCGACAACAAAAGCACGTTGGCTCAATATTGACCCTAAACTGAAATGTGTTTCATGCGCTATCGTGACTGTAACGGTGCAGGCCTATATCGAGTCCGAGAACCAGCGGCTGGAGAAGGACATGGGGCGATTCTCGGACCGAGAGGTGGTGGTGCGCGTGGAGTACAAGTACTGCCCCAACCTCACCATCATTGACACTCCCGGGCTCATTTCCGCCGCTCCCTCAGTCACACACACGGCGCTGCAGGTGCGTCAAAACGCGGGCATCGGTTCGGTAGTTGGTAGGTTCTCAGGGCGGGGAAGAGCATGGGATTGCGTGGCTTGGTTGGGACCGAGAGGTGGTGGTGCGCGTGGAGTACAAGTACTGCCCAACCTCACCATCATTGATACGCCTGGACTCATCTCCGCCGCTCCATCCGTCGCACACACGGCGCTGCAGGTGGGTGCGATGGTGGGTGGGTGTGGGCAACTAGGGGGTAGGTAGAGAGGTGGTGGTGCGCGTGGAGTACAAGTACTGCCCCAGCCTCACCATCATCGATACGCCTGGACTCATCTCCGCCGCGCCCTCGGTCACACACACGGCCTTACAGGTGCGTCAATATATGTATGTATGCTCGCATATAATGCGAATGTCAGTTGGTGGGCTGCTATGGAGGTATCAGTTGGTGGGCTGCTATGGAGGCAGGGAGGGAGGTGGTGGTGTGCGTGGAGTACAAGTACTGCCCCAACCTCACCATCACCTCACCATCACCTCACCGTCACCTCACCATCACCTCACCATCACCTCACCATCACCTCACCATCACCTCACCATCACCTCACCATCACCTCACCATCACCTCACCATCACCTCAACGTCACCTCACCATCACCTCACCATCACCTCACCATCACCTCACCATCACCTCACCATCACCTCACCATCACCTCACCATCACCTCACCATCACCTCACCATCACCTCACCATCACCTCACCATCACCTCACCATCACCTCACCGTCACCTCACCATCACCTCACCATCACCTCACCATCACCTCACCATCACCTCACCATCACCTCACCATCACCTCACCATCACCTCACCATCATTGGCGCTTCATCCGTCACGCACGCGGCCTTGCAGGTGCGTGAAAGTGCGTGCCTAGGCTCAATGTTTGATGGTAGCTGGTGGGCTCGTACGTGCGACTGGAGCAGCGTCACCACACGGCGGATCGTCATGACGGTCGACCCAGACCTCTCACGAACATCTCCCGAACCACCTCTCGTTTTCCCAACCTGCTTTCCTTTCCTTTCCTCTGTCGAAGATTCTGCTCCCAACCCCTCCATCCTTCACCCCTGCAGGAACAAGCCCGCATTGTCGAGGCGTTAGTCCTAGCGAAGATGAAGCAGCAGGAGTTTGTGATACTGTGTCTCGAAGACAGCAGCGACTGGAGCAACGCCACCACGCGGAGGATTGTGATGAAGGTCGACCCGGACCTCTCCCGAACCACCTCACTTTTTCCCAACCTGCTTTCCTTTCCTTTCCCTGTCGGGGTTTCCGCTCCTATCCCCCCCATCCTTCACCCCTGCAGGAGCAAGCGCGGATTGTCGAGGCGTTAGTCCTAGCGAAGATGAAGCAGCAGGAGTTTGTGATACTGTGTCTCGAAGACAGCAGCGACTGGAGCAACGCCACCACGCGGAGGATTGTGATGAAGGTCGACCCGGACCTCTCCCGAACCATCCTCGTGTCCACGAAGCTCGACACGCGCATCCCGCAGTTTTCCCGGGCAGCCGACGTGGAAATGTTTCTCAACCCACCGCTGCCGGATATTTCCGCGTCGCGGCTGGCCACGCGGCCGTTCTTCACGTCTGTGCCGTCCGGGCGAGTGGGGTCCGGGTCTGATGCGGTGTTCATGACAGATGATGACTTCAGAGATGTGAGTAAATGAATGGGCCTTTGAGTCGACTCAAAAGCAGTATGCAAGTGAGGTCCTGGACGGATGCATTCTTCACGTCGGTGCCGTCGGTCGGGGCGCGTGGGGTCCGGGTCCGATGCTATTTTCATGACAGATGACGATTTCAGAGATGTGAGTTGGGGGAAGGGGGACTAGAGGAGAGGGGTAGGGGAAAGGTTGTGGTGAAATTGGGGGCCATGGGGAGGAGTGGTTTTGTGGGTCAGATGCGGTGTTTATGAGTAATGATGATTTCAGAGATGTGAGTCGGGGGAGAGGGGAGGGGGCGGAAGGGAAGGGGGAGGAGGGGAAGGAAGGCAGAGGGAGCAGGGGAAGGCCAGTGGGGTCCGGGGCGAATGTGGTTTTCAAGACAGATGATGATTTCAGAGATGTGAGTGGGGCTAGGTGGGTGGTTGGGGGGAGGAGGAAGGGAGAGAAGGTAAATGGATGCGATCTGGGGCGGATGCGCGTACAGAGATGTGAGTTGAGGGAAGGGGGCGAGAAGGGGAGGGATGAGGGGATGTGGGTTAGAAGCAGTTTCTCAACCCGGCACTCTCGGATGTCTCCAATGTTTCCAATGTTTCCACGTCACAGCTGGCTCTCTCCAATGTTTCCACGTCACAGCTGGCTCTCTCCAATGTATCCACGTCACAGCTGGCTCTCTCCAATGTTTCCACGTCGTTGACTCTGACATGAAAGTGGCTGGTTGACTTGGTTGACTTGGTTGACTTGGTTGACTTGCGTTGTCCTGCAGGCTGTTGCTCGGAGAGAGATGAGCGACCTTGCAGCGCTAGAGGACAAAATGGGCCGGCCTCTTTCGGACGACGAACGAGCACGGGTGGGGGTTAGCCGGCTTCGGCTGTTTTTGGAGCAGATGCTGCAGCAACGGTAATCAATCCTTCCTTTACTTCTCCCATTCACTTCTCTTCTCTCCACCCCTTCCTCATGTAACCCCTTCCTCATGTAACCTCTTCCTCCTCGTCCCCACTTCCTCTCTTCTTGGAGCAGATGCTGCAGCAATGGTAAGCAACAACTTCCGCCTTACCATAATTTCCCCCACTCCCACTCTATGCTTGCTTTCCCCTCACTCTCATCTAGAAGCAGTAGCTGTCTGTAGCGATAGTACGCAGTCGATTTCTTGTTCCCACTCCATCCCTTCCCTGCTTTCCCCCCTCTCCCCCCTTTCTTTTCACCATTCTCCGTATCCCGCCCTCCTGCTCCCCCAACGCCCTGCTCGTCCTCTGCACTGCACTTCAGCCTGTAGATGCAGTATGAAATTATGGTAAGCCCATAATGAGTCAGGGTGACGTCAATCCTCCCCTGCTTCTGCCCTTGCCCCCACCTCCCCATCCAGGTACCTCGAGAGTGTACCGTATATAGTGCCGCTGCTTGATAAGGAATACAAGTCTGTCTCCACCAAGCTCTCTGCCACCTCTGCGGAGCTACAGTAAGCAACAATACCTCTTCAACGTCCTGAACCTCTCCTTTGCTGTCCACTCCACGTGTTGTGAGGCGCTTTCTGCTCTTATCTTCTTTCTCCGTTTTCTCATGGGGCCTACAAAGACCCCTAAGCATCATCCCCTGTTTCGAGGTGACTTTTGAGTCGACTCAAAAGTTCATTTCTTTGGGGCCTACAAAGACCCCTAAGCATCATCCCCTGTTTCTCCCTCCTCTCTCCGTTTGGGCGTCAGGAACCTGAGCGACGGCGAGTTGAAAGAGAAGAGCCGAAACTTCCGCGACAACTTTGTCCGGAAGGTACGTGGGGGGGTATGAGGCCTTAGGGGTCCGTCTGAGGGGTGCGTGCATGGCCTCTGACCAGGTCGTTTTTTGAGACGTCTCAAAAATCGTTCGGAAGGTACGTGTGGGGGTATGAGGCCTTAGAAGTCCGTCTGAGGGGTGCGTGCATGGCCTCTGACCAGGTCGTATGTGCTGATTGGTGCTAAATCTCGTTTCTAAAAGAAAAAATGAAAAGAAAAACTCTTTTGTTACAGCATTCTGCACCTCTGTAACACCTCGAACACCTGTAAACCCCACCCCGCTCCACCCTGCTTCGCCTCTCGCCCTTTCAGCTCACGGTTCCGCTCCGTGGCTCCATTGCTGCTCCGCCGGACAAGTTTGTAACCCCCTGTAACACATGTGAACCCCACCCCACCCTACCTCACCCCACTGCCTTCGCCTCTCGCCCTTTCAGCTCACGGTTCTGCTCCGTGGCTCCATTGCTGCTCCGCCGGACAAATTCGGTGAGTTGAATCACGTGGTCAGAGGACATGCCGAATGAGGCCTCCGCCCCTCTCAGATTCTAATCTTAGTCACCCTTCTTCATGAACCATGCCTCTTCTACCCTCCCAACCTCCTCTCCCCTCCTCCGCTTGCCCACTTCTAGTCCGCTGACTTTTGAGTCGACTCAAAGTCACTCCGCTTACCCACTTCTAGTCCGCTGCTGCCCACCAGGCGAGACACACTGCAGTTAAAAGTAGCAGCTTCCGCACATGTCTCCCACCCTCACCGCTCGTTTGCCCCTCTGCCCCTTCACTCTCTGTGCTTTGCACGGTACTCCCAACCCAATCGCCCTCTGCTGCCCACCAGGCGAGACTCTGCAGGAAGAGAGGGCGCGTGGAGGGATCTTTGTAGGGTCAGACGGCCAGCAGTTTCCACAGAGGCACATGCCGGTGAGCCTCCCTATTGTCACATAGCCTCCCTCTCGTTGTTGTCACGAATTGCTTTGGCAAAAAAAATCTTTCCAAAGGCACATGCTGGTGAGCCTTGGTTGCTGCTGTCACAGAGACTTGCACATTCTGTGAGGAGGAGAATGATCCTTTCCCTTGTCCCCTAATGACGTGATCAAAGCTGAGTTCTGAGACGCCTCAAAACTCAACTTTTATCAAGAAGAACGTTCCTTTCCCTCATTCTCTAATGAATTTCCTCTTCAGAAGAGGATGGCTCAAGGCAGGTACAATGCTCCATGTTGTAAACCCCCCTTCCTTTCCCTCTCTGCACCCGCCTCTCCTCCTTCCACCAGAGCGCAAGCATGCGTCTCTTTGGAGGGGCACAGTACCACTGCGCAATGGCAGGGTTCGAGGCTTTGTTTCATTGCCACAGTACCACTGGCTGGGCAATGTCCCTTGCTTCTCTCTCTCTTGTCGCCTCAGTACCACATGTATTTCCCCCATCCCCCCCCCACCCCACCCCTACCAGAACGCCAGCATGCGTCTCTTTGGAGGGGCGCAGTACCACCGGGCGATGGCCGAGTTCCGGTTTGTGGTGGGTGCAGTGCGGTGCCCTGCGATATCAAGGGAGGAGATTGTGAATGCGTGCGGTGTGGAGGATGTGCATGACGGCACCAACTACTTCAGGTACGTTCCTGCATATATTTACATTGGGATCCATCTTAGCTATTTGGGGTCCGTTTAGGGTCCGTTTGGGGTCCGTTTGGGGTCCGTTTAGGGTCCGTTTGGGGTCCGTATGGGGTCCACTTGGGGTCCGTTAAGGGTTTACCCTCTTTGGGTTATCATGGCATAGCTGATTCGTGAAACTGTCTCCCCTGGTACTGCCTCATCACAAGATACCGAGTTGCCTTCCTTCAACTCGTCGCAGCTGTTGACATGTGTTTTTTAGTCGCCAGCGACCTGACAAGAGTGAGTTTTTTTTAATGCCTTTCGTCAACTCGTCACAGCTGTTGACATGTGTTTACTAGTCGCAAGCGCCTGAAAGACGTGGCTGCCATCTCTGGGAAGGACTTTGTCTGCCTCGTGACAGGATTTTGAAGTGAATCGACATTTGAGAATTCTCTAAAATCATTCCTCGTTCATCCCTGCTGTCACCTCGAGACTTTTCTTTACTCCTCCCTGCTCTTTCTCATTCCTTTCTCGTACCCTGCAGGACAGCGTGTGTGATCGCTGTTGCCAAGGCATGGGACGTGTTCGAGCCGTTCCTTCGACAGGTATGGCTGTGGGGACACTTTAGACTTGGCATGGGACGTGTTCAATAATCAAGTGAGTTAGCCGTCTGGGTTACTTGATGAGTCATGTAGGTCACAAGCATGATCATGTAAATCACAAAGAACAAATCCGCAAAGTGCAACTTCTTCGAGAATTCTCAAAAAACATACACTGCAACAGTTGTCACTATCCTCCCTTCCCTCCTCTCTCAGCTCGGGTTCCGTCTATCCCACATTGTGGGGCGACTGCTCCCTATCGTGCTGTAATTTGACACCACTCAAAACTCGTCCCTCCTCCCTTTCCTCCTCCCTTCCCTCCTCCCTTTCCTCATCCCTTCCCTCCCCTCTCAGCTCGGGTTCCGTCTATCCCACATTGTGGGACGACTGCTCCCCATCGTGCTGTTCCTACTCAAGGTGAGCCCCAGTGCTTGTCGAAATAAGATATTCCTAGTCACCTGCTCCTCACTCCTTCCCTCACACAGGAAGCATGCCAAAAGATTGCAGAGCGTGTTTTTTTAGAATTCTCAAAAGATTGCTCCTGGTCTTTTGAGTCGACTCAAAAGCATGCCAAAAGATTGCTCCTGGTCTTTTGAGTCGACTCAAAAGCATGCCAAAAGATTGCTCCTGGTCTTTTGAGTCGACTCAAAAGCATGCCAAAAGATTGCTCCTGGTCTTTTGAGTCGACTCAAAAGCATGCCAAAAGATTGCTCCTGGTCTTTTGAGTCGACTCAAAAGCATGCCAAAAGATTGCTCCTGGTCTTTTGAGTCGACTCAAAAGCATGCCAAAAGATTGCTCCTGGTCTTTTGAGTCGACTCAAAAGCATGCCAAAAGATTGCTCCTGGTCTTTTGAGTCGACTCAAAAGCATGCCAAAAGATTGCTCCTGGTCTTTTGAGTCGACTCAAAAGCATGCCAAAAGATTGCTCCTGGTCTTTTGAGTCGACTCAAAAGCATGCCAAAAGATTGCTCCTGGTCTTTTGGCACACCAGGAGTTCCTAGTCACACTGACAGGCACCTGCTCCCCATTCCTTCCCTTATTCCCTCCCTAATCACACAGGAAGCATGCCAAAAGATTGCTCACACTGACAGGCACCTGCTCCCCATTCCTTCCCTTATTCCCTCCCTAATCACACAGGAAGCATGCCAAAAGATTGCTCACACTGACAGGCACCTGCTCCCCATTCCTTCCCTTATTCCCTCCCTAATCACACAGGAAGCATGCCAAAAGATTGCTCACACTGACAGGCACCTGCTCCCCATTCCTTCCCTTATTCCCTCCCTAATCACACAGGAAGCATGCCAAAAGATTGCTCACACTGACAGGCACCTGCTCCCCATTCCTTCCCTTATTCCCTCCCTAATCACACAGGAAGCATGCCAAAAGATTGCTCACACTGACAGGCACCTGCTCCCCATTCCTTCCCTTATTCCCTCCCTAATCACACAGGAAGCATGCCAAAAGATTGCTCACACTGACAGGCACCTGCTCCCCATTCCTTCCCTTATTCCCTCCCTAATCACACAGGAAGCATGCCAAAAGATTGCTCACACTGACAGGCACCTGCTCCCCATTCCTTCCCTTATTCCCTCCCTAATCACACAGGAAGCATGCCAAAAGATTGCTCACACTGACAGGCACCTGCTCCCCATTCCTTCCCTTATTCCCTCCCTAAACACACAGGAAGCATGCCAAAAGATTGCTCACACTGACAGGCACCTGCTCCCCATTCCTTCCCTTATTCCCTCCCTAATCACACAGGAAGCATGCCAAAAGATTGCTCACACTGACAGGCACCTGCTCCCCATTCCTTCCCTTATTCCCTCCCTAATCACACAGGAAGCATGCCAAAAGATTGCTCACACTGACAGGCACCTGCTCCCCATTCCTTCCCTTATTCCCTCCCTAATCACACAGGAAGCATGCCAAAAGATTGCTCACACTGACAGGCACCTGCTCCCCATTCCTTCCCTTATTCCCTCCCTAATCACACAGGAAGCATGCCAAAAGATTGCTCACACTGACAGGCACCTGCTCCCCATTCCTTCCCTTATTCCCTCCCTAATCACACAGGAAGCATGCCAAAAGATTGCTCACACTGACAGGCACCTGCTCCCCATTCCTTCCCTTATTCCCTCCCTAATCACACAGGAAGCATGCCAAAAGATTGCTCACACTGACAGGCACCTGCTCCCCATTCCTTCCCTTATTCCCTCCCTAATCACACAGGAAGCATGCCAAAAGATTGCTCACACTGACAGGCACCTGCTCCCCATTCCTTCCCTCATTCCCTCTCTCTGACTCTACCCCACCTCCTCCCGCTCGCCTTCTTTCCGTCCCCACATGATTGAGGGACAACGAGCTCATGCTGTTGTATGAAATGTTCATAGAGCGAAAGGAGGAGTGATACCACGAGTTGACTCGCACACACAAATCACCTCCGTGTCCCTGTCCCCTTCCCATCTCCCCTTGACATCTGTCCTTCACATCTCCCCTTGACATCTGCCCTTCCCATCTCCCCTTCCCATCTCCCCTTCCCATCTCCCCTTGACATCTGCCCTTCCCATCTCCCCTTGACATCTGCCCTTCCCATCTCCCCTTCCCATCTCCCCTTCCCATCTCCCCTTGACATCTGCCCTTCCCATCTCCCCTTCCCATCTCCCCTTCCCATCTCCCCTTCCCATCTCCCCTTGACATCTCCCCTTGACATCTCCCCTTGACATCTCCCCTTCCCAATCCCCCTACTCAGAGAGACAACGAGCCCATGCTGGTGCATGAGACGTTCATACAGCGAGTGCAGGAGTCGTACCACAAGTTGACTCACACATACAAAACGGCTCTATCTGTCTGTCACCTTCCCATCCCCCCTTTCCATCTCTTCCCATCCCCTCAATGCAGAGGGACAACGAGCCGATGCTGGTGCATGAGACGTTCATAGAGCGAGTGCAGGAGCCATACCACAAGTTGAATCGCATACACACACACATTACCTCCCTTCCCATCCCCACTCCTCAGAGGGACAATGAGCCGATGCTGGTGCATGAAACGTTCATAGAGCGAGTGCAGGAGTCGTACCACAAGTTCGTCGATGCAACAGAGCGCTCCTGCATTGACAAGTGAGTGAGAGGGAGAAGGTGCCACAGTCTAGGGGAGGCTGGGCAGGTTGGGGGACTGGCAGTGAGCAGTGGGGGAGGGTGCAGGAGTCGTACCACAAGTTCGTGGATGCAACAGAGCGCTCCTGCATTGACAAGTGAGTGAGAGGGAGAAGGTGCCACAGTCTAGGGGAGGCTGGGCAGGTTGGGGGACTGGCAGTGAGCAGTGGGGGAGGGTGCAGGAGTCGTACCACAAGTTCGTGGATGCAACAGAGCGCTCCTGCATTGACAAGTGAGTGCTCGCTGAGTGCTCCTCCATTCGACAATCACGACTCCCCTCATATCACAAGTTTGTGGTCTGATTCCACGATCACTACTCCCGTCTTCTTTCAAGAACCACTGCCTTTAACACGTGGCCACTCCGCAGCACACATGTTTCAGTCAGCCTCCTCTGCTTGCAATTCCGTGTCTTTCTGCCCTTTGTCTCGCTCCACCCGCCCTCTGCTGCGTGCCCTCAGGTGCATGGAGGATCTCACAAGCACTACTCGCTTCGTCACATGGTCTCTGCATAACAGGGTAGGCCATCTCCCTCCATTCCCTCTCACAACCCTCCTCTCTCCTAGTTTCGCACAGCAAATGTAATGAATATTTCTTCTGCCACGCACACCAGTGTCCCTCTCGTCCTCACTGCCCCTTTCCATTCTTCCGGCCTTTGCAGTCTCGCTCCGCCCTGCATTCCTTCTTTGACTCGGCCATGCCCAACCACGACTCCTCCCTCCTTCCTGCTCCCTCCTAACGCTCACTCCTTGCTCATACTTCCTCACTTGTTCCCCTTCTTCCAAACCCTTCCCCCCTCCCCTTTGCAGTCTCGCTCCGCCCTGCGTTCCTTCTTCGACTCGGCCATGCCCAACCACGACTCTCCCCTCGTCTCTGCTCCCTCCTTATGCTCATCCTTCCTTCACTTGTTTTTTCTTCCACCCCGCTTCCTCCCATACAGTCTCGATCTGCACTGCGATCCTTCTTTGATTCAGCCATGCCCAACCACGACTCCTCCCTCCTCGCTGCTGTCGGCGCCTTCGAAGCATCCACGCCCATGCCGGTCCCAGCAGCCACAAGCAGACAGAACTCGCCGCCCTTTGGCCCGACCGACTACCAGTCCAGTCCAAGCGACGACGGCCGGGGCGACAGAGGGGCAGTAGGGGGAACCAACCGAGCCAGCGGCAATGGTACCACTGCTGGTGGTACCGCTAGTGGCGGTGCTGGTGGTGCTGGTTCTACTGCTGGTGGTGCCGCTGGTGCAGCAACAGGAGGCAGCGGCACAGGAGGAGGGAGGCTGGCGGATCTCCTCGAATCCACCCTCTGGACCCGCCGGCTCGCGCCGTCCTCAGAAGACATAGTGAACGCGCTGGTGATGCAGATTTTCGAGGGCATCCGGGACCACTTTGTGATGTCTGCAGAGCTCAAGTTCAATTGTTTCTTTCTGATGCCGTTAATGGACCGGTTTCCTGCACGGCTGAGGGAGGACCTGGAGGCGGTGGCAGGGGGTGGGCTGGATGCGGTGTTTGATATCTCGAGAGTGCGCGGGCAGCTGGAGAGGAGCCGCGGGGAGCTGGATGAAGAGCTGAGGCGGGTGAGTTGGAAGTTGAAGTGGGGGTTATGAAATCGGTTATCGGTGGTCATGGATGGGGAAGGAGGGACTAGCTGGCATGAGAGAGGGTACGGATGTCACGTGCTTGTCCTGGTCTCAGCATCATCACGCGGAGCGTTCGTTTCTGTTTCTAGACTCAATCTCTTGGTCCCTTCGTCCGTTGTTTTCCATGAATGCCCTTTCTTCCAGGTGCATGCACTTCAGGCCAAGTTCGCCAGTATTCACCACAGCCTGAGCGTGATGCCATCCCATGCCATGTCAGCACCAACGGGGTCTCTTTTCAGCTCACAGACTGGAGCGTCGCCGTTGCCCTCCTTTGGGTCGTCAGACGCAGCTCTCCCGCCCTCACGGCATTTTGCCGACTCGCTCTCATCGATGTTGGACGCGCAGAGCCTGGGGTTTCCAGGCGCAAGAAAAGGTTTAGATAGCGGCCGTGAATATATTATCAGAAAAGCATGAAGCCAGTGTCTGCGTGTGTACCTTCTCTCGTGCTAGATCCATGTGTAGAGCCATCATTCTGCCTTGGTGTGCTATGGTCTCATACTGGTGCTGGTTTCCTTGTGAGTTGTGTTATGAGTGTTTTTGAGTGAATGTAATTCGTGAAAGCTTGTCACGAAGGACTCTCTAGCGAGCTTTTTTTCTTCTAGGCTCGAATTTCAGTAACCTCGTTCTGCACGACGACGCAGGCAGGGATATGTCCCCAACCCAGCATCTCTGTATGAACCATAGAGATATGCTCGGTTTGTTGCGGTTCATAGAGGTCAAGTTTTGAAATCGTGTTGAATCGTCGAGAACCCGATTGAACTGCGTGAGCGGATACCAAGCAAGCACACAACTCAGCTTAGGAGGAATTTGAATTCGACAGGCAGCAGCGTCTGCTGTATTGTCTCCATGGTTGCATCGCCTCGCCTATTTCGTTCTTGGTAATTGCAATCTCAGGGCTTTTCCTCAGCCGACTTAGGTGTCACATCGCAACGTGAGACGGTCCTTTTTTAGGAGATTTTTCGGATAACGTTCACGACAGGATGGGAGCCGAGCAGTCGACGGAAGGAACTGACCGGCTAAAAAGGTCCGTCAAGGTCCGTCGTGGCTGCGGGAACCTTCCGATTTTGCGATATTCCCGGCTGCATATGCAAGAGGACGTAATCAACTGTATTCAAATTCTGCTTGTATTCAGGTCTATAAAGAAGAGCATCAGGGATGTTATTAGCCGTGAAAACCTACATGAATTGGTTCTATTTTACCCCTATTCGGTCACTTATAATTGAATGTGTTGGGATTTCCCTGTTCTTGTTGCTCCTGGCTGCTGTACTCGCTTCGGGGGACTGGGTCGAGCTGCAGACATCGTTATTCCTGCTGCATCATTCATTTAATTTGCCATGTGCTTTCTTGTCGCTCCTGCCTGCACCCCCTGCTGCCAGGCAAGTTCTACTCGCCTTGAGAGTGGGACGAGCTGCAGTAAAATCTAGCCCTGACCCATGCCTTGGGATTGCCGTGTGCTTGCCTGTCCATCCTGTCTGCACCCCCTGCTGCCAGGCAGGCTGTACTCTCCTCGGGAGTGGGACGAGCTGCAGCGCTTGTTTGTGTCACTCGCGGCACAGTCACGCAGCAACGGGCAACATGTCATAGCGAGTGTGTTCCAGGTATGGCTTCATGGGTACCCAACTGCACTGCTCTGCACCACTCTCCACCAATCTCCTCGGCTTTGGTCAGCTGTCAGAAGAATCAATTTCCATCTGGGTTCACTTATGTGCCATGTGTGTCCCATCTGTATCCCTCCACATCCTATCTGCCCTACAGGCTACAGGCATACTGCAGAATCCACGGCAGTCTAGGAGCTCGCCTCTTTCAGACTGCAACCAAAGCGCGACTCCACCTGTCTCACTGTCCCATTTTGCTTCTGTCGCATCTGTCCTCCAGGCATACTACGGCATTCATGGCAGTCTTGGAGGTCGCCTCTTTGAGATTGCCACGCAGGGGAACAAGGATGGTCTCATGCGCTTCCTGGAGTTTGCAGCTATCAAGGTTTGCTCTCGCCTTTCACCTTATGTAATGTTCGGTTATTTTGTTGCATTTTGGCATAATGCAAAGGTTTAAGGTCCTACAGTGATTGGTCTGATGAGATTGGGATTTACCAAATGACATTCAGTTTTACTTATAGCATTTGCTTTCACCTAATGTTTCTAAGGGGCCATCTCTCGCCTCTGGTTCACTTCTTTCACAATGTCTTTGTTCTGGACAGGACATGGACGGCCAAGGTGGCATTGCCATTTATTACCCTCTGTACTCTCAAGGTCCCATCCAGTTATTGCTTCCCTTCCATCAGATTGTATTTGACAAGGGTTGTTGAGATGACACTGACAACTATGGCCATCTCTTCCCTCCAAATCTTATTCGAATCTTGTCCCCCATCCATCAGGCTGTGTTTGACAAGGGTTCACCTGATGAAATTGACCGCATGTGCTTTCAATTCATGGACGTTCTCAAGTCTGGGAAAGTCGACAGGTACACTGACTCCAAATTTTTCGAGTCTGGTTTATGATCAAGTCATTGACGTTCTATGAGTAAGAGAAATTAGCGATGTAAACTTTCTCAATGCAGAGTTGGCCTGTAGTGTGTTTCTAATTCTGGAGTTGCATTGTCCTGCATGTGTCGAATGCTGTTAGCTAGCCAGTGCATCCAGTCTCTGTCTGACTTTTGAGTCGACTCAGAAGTCATGCTGTTAGCTAGCCAGTGCATCCAGTCTCTGTCTGTGTTCCACCTTCCCCATTCCCATCTGCATCCTTCACACCGCAGGCGAGAGGTTGAAGAGGTGATTCGCAGTGCTCTCACCACTGTCTTCGGCCCCCAGCACTCCCTTACACTTGCCATCATCCAAGCCTTCGTCTCCCCTGCCTTCCCATCTATTCCTACATCTAGTACGTGGACTTCTTTCAGTCACTCCTCCCTCGCTTCCACCGCTCTCCATCCCTCTTCTGCTCGGTCTTCCACAGCTGCTGCACCGCTTGCTGCATCAGCAACGGCAACAGCAGCACCATCGGAGGGAGCAGGGGGACAGCAGCAGCCAGAGGGGAAAGAAGTAGGGAGGCCAGAGCAAGAAGGGGAGGGCGTAGGTAGGGATGGTAGTGCGGGTGCCAGTGTTGCTGCTGCTGATACCAGAGTTTATGATGATGGTGCCAGTGTTGCTGCTGATGATGGAAGGGAGTCGTCATATTAGGATGCAGTTCGATGGTGGACTGCAGTCCCTGCTGTCAAGAAGTTTCTCCGGAGCCTCCTCACCCCTCCAGATCTTCGTGAGTCTTTGCGGATTGATTTTATTTTGTTTGCTGTTAACTCGGTTGCATAGGAGAAAACTTTCTGGGCGCATCAAAAGTATTCAGACCAACGTGAATAATGCTCTGTGGAGATATTTTTTTGTTCATTTGCTGTTAACCCGATAGCATAGGAGAACATTGTCACGGAACGCTGAAGTGGAGGTGTATTTTGAAAATTTCCAGAATGTTTTTTACCAAAAAATAATTCTTCTCTAACGGAGTTATCATTCTGTAACCGAGTGATCATTTGTTGTAGATTTTTTAGTGAGTGTCCCACTGGTGCTTTTAGCAAATGCTTCACTTTCTTGCCGCTTCTCCCCTCTGTTTGTCTTTTCCAGGTCCGCCGCTACCAACTCTCATTGCGCCACCTGTCACCGCCAGTGGCTGCCACATCAGCGAAGAAGCTGGGGAGCAGCAGCATGAGAGCAGGGAGGACACGTGGCTGCTGCAGAAGGAGCTGACGTGGCACATAGCTGGTGCACTACAGGAGAAAGAGTGTCGGGAGTGGTGTTTGTTGTACAGCAGCAAACTGCATGGCCTGAGCTTCAACTCTTTTCTGGGGAAGGTAGGACTGATCACAATAATATGATAGCCTGCATTGCCGTTCTTGTGTTAAAATGAAGGAAGAAGAAAGAAGTGGGTGGTGGCAGCATCAAATGCTACCATCTCTCATATAGTGTTCAGCATCCAACCGGTTTCAGACGTTTCAGAATGCAGCTCTCCTTGTCCACTCACCCTTCCCTATCCTCCTCAGGTGTCATCTGTACCGCATCCAACCGTTCTTGTGGTCCGAGACTCATCTGGGGCCGTCTTTGGGGCCTTTGCTTCCAAGCCGTGGGAGCGAGGCAGTGCTTTCTACGGTGACATGAGCTCCATCCTCTTCTCCTTCCTCCCCACTGCTGCTGTTTTCAAGGCAGCTGGCACCAGCACTAACATTCAGTGGGTACATGACATTGTGTCAAAAGTTGAGTTGCTGTGGATGGAGGTGTGGTAGTGAATGCCATGTTTCTTCCTCTATTCTCCACTTTTTCTCCTTGTTGCCGATGACTTTCTTACAGTCCAACTTTTGGACTGACTCAAATCGTTGGACTGATGTTCTACCTGTCCTTTCCCGCCCCACTTCTTTTGAATCGCAGTGTGCGTCAGGCTTCGCAACCGAATCCATTCCCAATGGCATCGGTTTGGGCGGCCAACCGGGTCATTTCGACCTTTTCCTCACAACCCAGCCTCTCCTTTCCTGCCCTCGTTCATTTCCATTGCATTGTGCGTCAGGCTTTGCCTCCGAATCCATTCCCAATGGCATCGGTCTGGGCGGCCAACCGGGTCATTTTGCCCTTTTCCTCTCGTCGGATTTCGACTCAGGTCACTCTCGCCCCAGCACCACATTCAACTCCTCTTCACTCTCTTCAACACCAAACTTCAACATAGATGCTGTGGAGTGTTGGGCTGTTATCAGTGCTTCTCTTTCCGATAGGATTTCTGCTGGCGATGGGGGGATAGGAGCCGTTGGATCGTCACGGTCTGGAGTGGGGAGTGGGAGATCGGACGATGCTGATGGTAGTGGGAGAGGGACGGTGTTGGATAGGTTTGGGAAGGAGCGTGCGATGCTGGGCATGATTGGAATAGCAACGGCTAGTGAGAACATAGGCAGGGACAAACCGGATAGCGAGGGGTGAATGCATATGAAGTCGGCAGTGGCAGGTGTGGGCGAAGGAGAGAGGGTTTGGGGGTGGAGGATGTGTGGGGGGGGAGGGGAGAGGGGTGAGAGGCCCTCAGATTGGTTTGAGGGTATGCTGATGGATCAGCGTGCCCCGGCCAACGAGGTGTCCAAATCAGCGTTCACGGTTTTTTTTATACTGATTTTGCCAGTGTAAAAATCATAAGTAAACTGAACCAACAGTGTAATAACAAAAAACTATAGCTGAAACCCCAGTACAAGGTGTGTGGTGTTGTTGCTGTGATAGGTTCCAGCGAGGCTAAACACTTCGGCGCGCACCTGATATCTGTGCCGTGTGTGTGGGTGGGGTCTCAGGAATCACGGGAAGGTACACGCGGTCAACTCCGTTTCAGTGTGACTCACGTCACTATACTGATTCGTCAGTGTTACTTGTAAAGAAACACGCAAAATGGTCAGTGTGACAAGGTAGGATATACTGAAATTTCAGTGCAAAATTGAAGCATATGCTGAATTTTCAGGGAAAACGAAAATCACAGCTACAAAATCAGCGTAATCAGCGTGTTTTACGCTGATATCTGAGGGCCTGGGTGAGAGGAAGTTGTTCTGCCAGAGGCGATTTGGGCCTGGTAATGTGCCGTATTTGCAGCTATGTGGAACCAACGAGTTGAGTTTCCTATTGTCAAGTAGCGAGTGGGATAGTAGAATACTGTAGGTAACTCATACACCATTGGGGAGGATTTTGCCATGTTGGGCGCTATGAGGTCTTCTGCTGCTGAGAACATTGGGACGCCTTTGTCGGGTTTTTCTTTGTTGGGATGTTCCCACACGCGGTACCAGGAATACTACACTCTATTCGCGATAATTTCACACCCCTTAAATGCACACCCTGGGGGTACATACCCGGGATACAAACTTTCTTGCAGGATAGTTCGCTGCGAAATGGAATAGCTGGTGAGCGTTCCGAAACCCAGTCGCGAATAGACGTAAGCATTAACTTCAGTCGTGCCTACCCAACCCCGCCCTCACTCGGAACACATGGTGTAGTTTCAAGAGAAACTGCATCTCGCTGTCGACTGATAGTCCCTGAGTTTCAGGGTGTCCGTCGTATCGAGCCTGAATTGGTATGGGGCACCTTCAAAAAAGCAGGCAGGGGGTGTGCAATTATCGCGAATAGGGTGTATTAAAGTACCAGGAACACTGGTGAAGTTGCAGGTAAAATCTGATGAGTAAAAGGGGAGAATATGTCACAAGTAACCATCATGGGACTCGATAACGTGAATGGTAAAAAAGTAACGCGTACGGTCACTGTATCGGGTTTGCTGACGGGTTTGGTAAGTGGGGTCACGGATTCAGTCACTAACAACAGGTAAAAAATCACGCGAATGGTCACACATGTAACTCCCGCAAAAAATTCCTGAAACTCTACAAAATTCCCGCTCGCGCTCAACCAATCATCTAACTTCAAAAAAACTAAAACCCAATCGGAATCGGATGCGGTTTGGGAAAGGATCAACCCTAAACACCTGGCAAATTGTGTTTAGGGTTGATTCATCCGAGAATGCATCCAGGTTCGTTTTGGGTATTATATTTTTTGGGCGGGAGTTTCATCTGTGACCATTCACGTTATTTTTTACCACTTGATAGTGACTGCCTCCGTGAAACGTTTTATCAGTCCCGTGAAAACACCCCCCGCAGTGACCGTATCCTTTTTTTTTTTAACCAAAAGTGTTATCGAGTCCCATGATGGTTACGAATGGCATATTTTCCCGAGTAAAAGAGGAGCTGGTGAAATTATAGCGAATTCCACACTTCTTTGAGTAGTTCATTTTTCGTCGTGTCTTTTTGGTCGCAATGTTTCAATGGAAGTCGGGGAATGCTGGAGCCTTTTGCGACCGACTCCACGTGGCTGCTGCAGACGCGATGCGTCGAGGATTTGGATGACCAATCCAGCAGGGTCCAGCCGAGTTGCAGATGCGTAACCATCATTTTTCGCGACCATCACCCGGGTGGGCAGGAAGTCAGTTGCTTCGTTGGATTCCTTCGCGGCAGCACCACGGTGTTGACACATCCAACTCCTGTGATTCTGGCGAAAATTGCCGTGCTGCGCTGTAACAGAACAACGGGGCAGCAACCGTGCGTTGCTGGCATCGCAGGCGATCTCTTTGTTTGCCGAAAGAAGTTAACTGGGGACTGCGAAAAGTAACGATGGCAGGCGATGGTTTTGTTGCCCCTGCGATCGTCCCATTCCCCCAAATCCCACCCTTCCCAATCCCACCCTTCCCCCCCATCTCATCAATCTCTCTCAACACCCTTCCCCATCACCAAAAAACACCGACTTTCCCCATCACCTAAAGCTGCTCGAGTACATATATCCCGAAGACGCGACATTTGTTTCAAGCTAGATAGCGCTAACTAGACAACATCAGTCAGCCTGCGGTTGAATCTGACGCATTTCGCGGCTACGATCTTGCGTAAACAGCTATTCATTTTAACATCCTCTGTTGCAATAGGATAGGTAGAAGAACCCTGTCCCTCAGAGAAACTGCCTCTGAGTTGCTAAAGATCTTAGTTCGAAAACCGATAGCTGAGTTTCAAGCGCCGGACAACCCTTACGTCATGGCCTTCACACGTTCCCTACAGTTTATATTCCTTTCATTAATTCTCTCGGCCATTTACGCTCGGTGCGCTCACGGATTCTTTAATCGTCACCGTGTCGTCATTCCGCCTGCCCACCGGCAGCACGCCCGCTTCAGAGACCTCAAGATCGGCCGCTCGAAACTCCCGCTAAGCCCGTTCGAATCTCAAGGGGAAATCCCAGCCTCCGAAATTCATCTTAAAAGCTCGAATGGCGGGGAGGTGTTTCCAGCGGACAGCGGGGCACTACTGGGTGCGAAAAAGCGTATCGAAGCCGAGGCGCGCGCGAAGCGCACCTACGGGAGCTTCCTGCATCGTATGTCCATTCTCGGCGCGGACCCGGAGAAGGAGTATCACCGCTTCTCGAACCGCACGGAAACCATGAAGGAGAATAACTACCAGATAAACTACTACGGCGGAGCCGTGCTCACACAGCCGATTAATCTCTACATCATCTACTACGGCACGTGGTATCAGTCGGAAGTGAACATCGTGGAGAATTTCATCAAGTCGATTTCTTCAACTTCCTACACCTCGGTGAGTTCGCCGTGTGCCTCGGAAAAACACTCCGTGCCTTCCACTCCTTCCCCCCTCTGTATCATAGTACTGTAACTGTGCCCTGTGATGCTGACTTGGCCCCCTGCCACTCCCCCCTGTTGTCACACTTAGTTCCTGTGCCTTCCCTCGTCCCCGCCGTGTCACCTTCAGAAATTCGCGACAGTGCGCGGATGGTGGAAGATGATCTCATCGCGCTACTACCAGATATCCAACGGCAAATACTACTACATCACTCCCAAGGTACTAACTCCAAAGTTTTGTGGCACCAACGTGAGGCAGTTTGGTCCCACATGGTCTGGTGGTCGGGTCCTTACGGTAGAGGGAGAAGCGATGGGGTTTTGTGGACCTTAGTCTCCGCTCCGCTACCTGCCTCCCTCCCTGACAACATTTCTACTGGCACTGCTCTGCATGGAAATTTCATCTCTTTACATCCCTTAGTCCCTCTGCTCTGCTCCTGTTGCTTTGAACTCGTGCAGGTGAATTTGGCCGGCACAGCCTACGATAAATACACAAGCTCGAGCATCATTGGAGGTAAGGTAGCATTCAGCATTGGATGCTGTGGCAGCACGGCCATGTGACCACCATCATAGGCACACTGGACGTGATCATATACGTAGTGAAGACACGTTTTTTGCCTTACCTGATTCTAATGAATGTTGGATCCCCTTGGCATGCACGCCCTGCTGATTGCCAATTGCAGCTATCGAGAGGCAGATAATGACCACCAAGCGCTTCCCCTTGGACCCTAATGGGATCTACATGGTGCTCACCAGTGCCGATGTTACGGTTACCATTGGCGGGGATGGCTTCTGTGACAGATACTGTGGACTCCGTACAGCGTTTACGGGGATCAAGAACGGAGTCAGCAAGCTGTATCAGTACATTCACGTCGGTAATCCTATTCGCCAGTGCGCTGACTCTTCCTGCGTTCTTGGACAGAGCGAGTACTACTAGTAAGTGTGTGATGACTTCTCTGCTGCCCCTTCATCCCATGGCCACTTCCTCACTCTTCCTCTCCCATCCCGCTGCATGGGCTGCTCAAATGTGTCCTTCCTCAATTCGTAGTCTTACCAATTACTATTTCTTGTTGCCGCTGTCCTCTTGCTTGCCAGCAAAACGCCAAATGGAAACTGGGGCGTGGACAGCATGATAGCAACAATTGGCCACGAGCTGGCAGAAGCAGCCACCGAGCCTGACTTGGAAAAAGGTTGGCATGACAAGACAGGAATGGAGGTTGGCGACAAGTGCTCAGCTGACCTGGGTGCAAAAGTTTGGGTGGCTAATAAGGATACGAAGAATAGCTATCTGTTCAACACTGCGGGGTTGAATGGGGTTAGATTCTTGCAGGAGGCAATCTGGAATTACTCACCCAAGAGTTGCGTAGTGCAGTGAGGACGGGAGGATGGCGGTTGGGTGAAAGAGCTGTACCTTCAGCACTTATGTACATAATGGTGAGTAGTTGTGCTAATGGAGAAATGAAGGGCGGTGAATGTGTTTTTGCAACATGCTCCTTGTACTGGCTTCAAAAAGCAGTTGCAAGATGCATAGGGAGATATGTGTTTAAAAGTCTGTCAATTTAAGAGAGCTTTCGAACAATAAAGACGGCTTACAGGATAACCGGCCTAAAAAAAAAGGTCTCCCTCAGAAGTTCTTACAGTTTGCTAAGAAAGGCGTCAGAATGCTGCTCGAGAATTGTGTCAGCTACATGTCTGATAACCCCAGCACCTTCAAAGTGCAACCACTCCATTTTCACCTGCAAATAGACAAAGCAAAGCAGGTTAGGACTACGTCTCGTACGCATCAGCAGGGCGAAGGGCAGGGAGAAAGAAAAATTGTCAGTGAGTTACATGGATGTAGTTGTGGGCGAAAAATGGCAAAAAAGCCTCCACAAAGTTCACGTCCACCTTCCTCCACGAGACTTGTTGCAATCCGGCAATCATATACTCTGTACAGTCAATTCCACGTTTTGTTGGTGCATCAGCTTTTGGAGCATGAAACACAGCCAACACGCCCCTCGAGCAAACAATTACCGTGATAAAGCTCGAAGTCATTCGATGGGTCAGTAGTGAACGAGTGTGGATCAGGCAAGTTAGTGCCTTCAACAGCAGGAGAATTCTGGACGAGCACGATGTGGCGATAAAGCGGACTGATTGCTGCTTTCGGAATCTGCAAAAGAAAAGAGCTTGTCAGGGTACTCAGCTCCAAAAATTGTCCCTATTTTTACTCCTAGAAACCAATCCCACCAAGACACACATACCACGGGAAGCTCAGCTGCTCTGCGAATAGAAGAGGTCTGCCAGCCAACCATGCGGTCGTAGCCAGCATTTGCGTAAAGCAGCCTCAACCTAAACGTTTTAAGCGCTGACCTGAGGAAAATGCAGGGTGCAACTCAGCAACTTCACCTCCATAATTTTTGTCTCATTTGCACAAGCACGGCTGGAATAAACTCACAGAAATGGTTTGCCTGGGCTATCAGCGGCCATTTCAACAAGAATAGGGAGCTTCTTATCTTTCATTGAACCATCACCAAGAAAAAGCTGGCGTCCTGTTTCCCCAGTGATGAATGGAGCTACAGACGGAGCGAGTTTCTCCAGAGCATTCAAACCAAGAAGGAACGGAAGCTGCAATGGAGATTGCAGTAAATAGCATCAGATTTGTATCAAGCAACATACATCGTCACGAAAACACGACAAGTGGAGCGTACCTGACCCTTTCCAGACACTCCCAAGTGTGGGGTAGCCAATGTGATGAAACAGACTGGCTCCAAACCAGCAATCGTTCCAGGTTGCTGGTTAGAGCCACCAAGACTAGATTTCTCGCTGCACATATTACGGACACACAAGAATATGAAATTCCAAAGAGATGCGACGATAGGTCCACGTTAATTTGAGTCACGAACGGAACTAAGCGACTGACCTGTTATGCGGCTCGTGCAGCAAGGCAATCGCGTACCGAACAAACAAGCCACCTAAGGAATGGGCCACGAATGTTATTCTTTGTAGACTGGGATTCTTTTTAACGAGAGTCCTGACCTGTTCGGGCATTATACATTTCAGAAGATGTTAACCAGCTTGCAAATGCGTTGCTGACAGCGAAAGCGTGATCGATTGCTCACCTCATTGGCCAGTCGTTCTCCGGCCGTAATGACGCCTTGGAAGGTGAGCAGAAACTCGTTAGACGAGCTCGCTGGAATTTCAGAGATATCGCGAAATTAGGTTTCGAGTTGGTTTGAAATTTGCTCTCGAACAACTAAGGCGACGACTTTTACTGACCATAGATAAGAAATCGCTTGCCCAGTCGTTTCTTCAGCTCCCCGCTAAGGTAATCCCAATCACGTACTCTGAAAGTTCATGTCATGTAATGACCGTACGAGTTGGACTCAGATCTCAAATCGACGAGACATGGCGGAATTAACGGCGATAGTTTGTGAGACCTACGTGGACACGATGCCGTGAACAAGAATGACTGCATGAACTGGCTCCTCCTCACCGCGCCTCGACACCTCGCTTGCTGACTGTTTCGAAAACCGAGGGCTCTTTGAAGAGCTCGATATCTCGTCGACAACGTCCATGCTTCCTGTCTCTTGCCCTTGAGCTTTTACTACCTGCTTCCGGTCTTTAATACCTAGCCAACCACTATTCTGCCTGCATTGGGAATTTGCCGTGCATCTTAGTAAGCAGTGCTGTGCTCCGGACAAAAGGGACACTCTCAGTAAGCAGTGCTGTGCTCCAGTAGAACGAGGCAGGCTCAGTAAGCAGTGAGCTCCAGTCAAACGAGGCACGGACCAGCACAAATTCAACATCCTGAAAATACCCTAACCGAAGGGCCTAAGTAGGCTCGCACGCCGCTAGCCCGAGACCATCGCGACACGCTCAAATGCAAACTGATCTTCGCTGAAAAGAACTGAACTGAACCGCCCTCGGCGCGCAGTGCCTAAGGCTCAAGGCAACGGTGTCGGTGCTATTCGCTTCTGCGTCAGAACGCAATTCCACTTTTATTGATATTGCCCCAGAGGGAGTCTTGGGATGGGTGATGTGCTGGCAAGCAGGTGATGTAGGGGCGGAACTCGTGTCATAACCAGCCCAAGGTGACGCGAGAAGAGAGGACCTTCAGGTGATTCGTGAGCAGTGTGGGGACCACAGAGTGTTGGCTTCGTTACCGAAAGGTTACTTCGGAATTCTACACGACTTTGAGAGCACACCTTATTCTCTAAATTACTTCACAAACCACACTCTGTGTTGGACCATATTAATAATTTATCAGCGATATTAACGGCATTTACACGAGCACTGAGGCAACAACATTCACAAAATCACCAAGGCCTTTTGGCTCTAGCTTGGCTGGAATTGCTGCCACTATTTACGGGAGTGTCTGCGCACTAAGCATCACGCTGCTCATACAAAGCTTGGCCAAGTTCTCCCGTCTCTGTTCTAGGCTTTTGATGTATTGAATAGCCATGCTAATTAAGGTGCACGTGTCCATCTTGGTGAACGACGCCCGCCTCTGCTGGCAAAACGTGGACGGAATAACGTTTTCGAGTTTGTTGAACCCAGCCCTGAAAAAGAAAAGTACAAATGTGGAAGACGATTAGCCATTTATTCGAACAGGCAACAAACACCGAGTCGCGACTTTATATGAGAAAAAACCACACTTGGCTTGATTTGTCAAGATGTTAAAAAAGAGAAAGAAAAAATCGCAGACTTACAAGATGCGGTGGCGGCGATTCTTCTCGCGCATACTTCTCGGCTGGATATTGCCGGAACTATTTCCACTCCCTTGAGAACCACGGTTAGGCGTAACGAGATGATCTGGGTTCGGCGGCGTCGGAGCAGCAGCTGTGTCGCGACAATCCGCTAAAACAGCCCGCTGCGCAGACGTTTCGTTACACCGCGAGGAAATTACTTCTATCTTGAATTGCGGAAACGCTTCTGTGGTGGTTCCGGCGACACACGACGGCACGACGGCTTGGCTCGCTGGAACAGGGTTTCCTGCCGCAATAAGCGCCTCTTTAAGCATGTGCTGGATGATAACAGCATTGTCTAATTTCGAGTCGAGACATCTCGACTTCTTGGGGCTATGGCGGTTGACGTCTTCGTCCATGCAACGTTTTTTCCCAGCTGTCGCTGTTTTTCCGTCGCTCGATTCGCACACAGCCTTCGCTGCAACGGAAATCTCTGTTGACGCTGTCATGGCCGCTTTGCCGCTCGATGATCTCGCGTGAGAAACAGGAGGCACGTCGCAGGGACTATTTTTACACGCGGGTTGCCAACGGAAGTTTTCGTACCACGGCTCGAAGTCAACGAGTTCGGGAAGGAAGCTTGCAAGAGCTTGTGACATCGTAAGAAAGGGGCTGTGGAACTGAGCTGGAAAACTTGGGGATTGATCCAGAACGTGGCTGAATGCTATGGTGCTGGGGCTCCTTTTTGTAGAAAATCAGCAGCCGCTGCTGTGACAGTGGCTTGCAGGATAACTGGGGCACTTGCAGGAAGGGGAAGGGGGAGGGGAAGAAGAGGGGGGAGGAGCGAAGGGGCGGGCCAGAGGGGTGGGGGTGGGGGAGTGTGTGTGCGAGGAGGAGACTGGAATTTGGGCTTGAGGGCGCGGGTTGACTGGGAAGGAAAGATCCGCCAGACCGGCAATTCTTCCAAGCTCGTGTGACGTGACGAGGAGTCATGCATGACATGAACCAAGTACTGTACAGTAACCCACCCAACCCAACCCCCAACCTCCGGTGCTGCTCACCCCCTAGGGAAATCACATCGGCGGGCAAGAGCAGGATAAAGGGGGACTGGAATCAGATGCATTTAGACACGATCGAAAGGAGGAGGGAGATTGGAGGTGATCTCTTGTAGCTTTTACAAAATTCGAACAAAACCGGCTCGGCTGGCGACAGGATGCTGGTTCACGTGCTACTGTAGCAGGAGAACCGATTTTTATGACAGCGCGGACCAAGGAAGTCTCTGATTCGTTGGACTGCGAGGGCATGCTTGTGCTGGATTGGGCTGAGTCGTCCTCCATAGGATGATGTGGACACAATCTAGCATCTTCTGGCTCTCACATCTCCTCTGGCGAAACAAATGGCAGGGATTTGCCGGTGCTTGTGTCCGTATCCGAAAAGGAATCACGTGAAAATATAATATTCAATGCCCACATCAGAGGTGTAAATCGCCGTTACACAAACTCGAAGGGCCAAATGAAAACCCTGAGATATCTTCTTGTTTGCAGCACCCGTTATTCATATGGCGCTGGTACTATAGCTTTTGTAATACATAACACTGAGGCTATCTTAAAAATGCCGATGGGGATTGTCTACACGTGTGCACAACCTTCCCACCAGGTAAAATCTCGGTATGGTAATAAAAATGAAGGGAATTGATCCATGATTCTATATAGATCTCTAGGTCAATATGAGTCAATGTAATGCCCTGCCTTTATCATATTGTTATTTACAGCCACTATGACAAGATTTTTTTGAAGGCTTTTGCTGTCTCAAAATATTAGCACCTTATAATCGATCCTTGAGCTATTGTAATATTTGGTAATTTTTTGTAAGAATTAGTGTGGCTTTATGTCAAATAGGAAAACAATGGCCTCCTGCTAGTGAAAGTGTAGATGGTAAGGTTCACAGCGAACTGCTACTATCTGGGACTGTCTATACATATCATTGCTACTAGACTGGAGGCTTACCACCATTACACTGGCGCCACTCCCTCGTCAGTGTCACATTCCGGCCCTCTCGTACTCAACTCCCCAGCCCCTTCCGCCACTTGCCCCAGCTCTCCGCATGCCTTGCCCCAACTCCTCTGCCACCATCCCTCCGCCTCTCCCCATCCCTCCCCTTTTACCTCACTTGTCCCCATTTCCCCGGTGTTCCTTCTGTCCCCGTTTTCCCCACTTCCCCCCCAACCCCTCAACTCCATGCTCTTTCTAGTCTGCCCTAATCCGCTGCGATACCTCCTTTTTCCCCTCCTCTTCCATCTCCCAATCCCCGCTGCGAAGTAGCAGCAGTTTAGCAGCAGCAGCAGAACAGAGTGCCTGCGAGGCGATTAAGGCCAAAGCGCGTCAAGATGGTGCAGCCGCTTGTGAAGCCGAAGATCGTGAAGAAGAAGACTAACAAGTTCTGGCGGCCCCAATCCGACAGGAAAAAATGCGTGCCCGTGAGTCATTTTTATCGGCGGGTGATGCGGACACCCTTTGCTTACGCTTCGACTTTCCAGTAGTGCACCACAGATTCAGGAACCGAAGCAACATGTTTATTTCGCTAGACTAACCGATTGAACCCGACAAGTGGAGTATTTCAGACCAGGATTTCAGACCAGGACGATCGAAGCTGCTCGTATGCTCGATTTGACGCGGGCCGTCTAGCTCGTACTCGTGGCAGAACGGGGTTCGTCACATGTCGCTTTCTTGTGCCGTGCTCGGGCAGCTGCGTCGAAATTATGGAAGCGAGCCTCGTCTAGATTTGGCTAGGAAAGCTTGCACTGTTACGAAGTGTCGTGCCTCGTTTGGGGGTTCGAAAGGTGTTTCTTATGGGTGCCGTGCTCAGGCCGCTGCTTCGAAGTTATGAAAGCGATCCTCGTCTAGATTTGCGGGAGAAGCCTGCACGCTTAAGACGTTGCCGCTGGGGGGATGCATTGTCAGGAGCAGTGCGATTTGATCACCCGTGGTCCAGGATTTGGAGCTTGAAAGAGGGTGCTGGTAGTGTAGCTTCGGAGGGTTGCGACGTTGTATTTGTATATGCGAAGTTGTTTTAGTTGTATTAGTAGCTCCCTACTAGCGAATCAGAGCAGCTCGCGGCCCGTTGGATGTCGAGCAGCGCTTGGACGGGTTTCATATATTTTACACGCAGGCTGACGCTCAGAAACCCGTGTGGTTTTCAGATTTTGCCGTAAGGAAGAAGCCAGTAGACTAGTAGTAGATTCTTATCGACGAGTTAGGCGGTACGGACGCGAGTCTGCCAATGCTGTGATAGATTTGACGAGTTGATCGGTTTACGCCGATCACTTATATCCTGTGCCAGTATTCCAGCTGTCTCGGCTCCTGCGAGCCTTTTGCTGACTCAGTATCCAGTTACCATATCTGCCGTGACAGTGTTCTAGGAAAGTATAGTAACCTCACCATTTCGTTCCTCCTTCCCCTTTTCATCAGCCTTCATCATTTCCCACATCATCCCTTCCCTCCGGCGTGCCCTCCCGTCATGATTCCCTCGTTCCTCCTCCCTCCGCCCCACTCTTTCCCGCCCGTGCCCTACCCTCCCCTCCTCTTTTCGTCCCGTCGCCCTTCCTCTATCCCCTTCTCCCTCTCCCTTCTCCGCCCTTCCTCGTCTTCTCCTTGCGTCCTCATTCTCCTCGACTTCTCATTCCCCTCGCTTCCCCATTCTCCCCGCCTCCGTTTTCTCATCCTCGCTTCCTTATTCCCTGTCTTGCTCCCTTATTTTCCTCAACCCCCTCCCCAGCGTCCTTTCCTCTCTTGCACAGCATATCCTTCATTCATTACTGCCTCGTCCTCTCATCCTCTCTCGGCGCTCCCCCCCCTCCTATCGCGGGCTCCGCCGCACCCCCGTTACCAAACCCTTTATCAAGTTGGTCCAACGGTACCAACTCGCGCGAGTTCAAGAGCTCGCCGCTGATGACTTCCTTTTTATCCTTCCGCTACCTTTCGATCCCCGGCGGTCTTTCTTCCCCCTCTCGCCCTCTTTCCCCCCCTTCCCACATCCCCCTTCCCCTCAACAGGAGAGCTGGCGGAGGCCCAAGGGTATTGACTCGCGCGTTCGGCGCAAGTTCAAGGGCACGCCGCTGATGCCCAACATCGGTTACGGCAGCAACAAGAACACCCGGCACATGCTGCGCAGCGGGTTCCAGGTGTTCCGCGTGCACAACGAGAGGGACGTGGAGCTCCTGCTCATGCACAACAGGTACAGTAATTTACTGTAGGTTACCCTTTATAATCTAGTCAGGGTATCGGGGGACTTTTGAGTCGACTCAAAACTCACCCCGCTGTGCACAATAAGATCGACGTGCAATTCCAGCTATGCAATGCAAGGACCGTATTTCGCTGCATTTCGCAGACGAATGTACGATACTTCATTCGTCAAAACTCTTGATCAGCTCCTTCTACCTCTCCCTCTCCCCCTTTTCCTGCCAATTCCATTCCCCCCTGCCGCCTCCATCCCCGTCTCCTCTCCCCCCGCCCCTTTTCTCCCTTCTGCACCCCAGCCTCGGCCTCCTCTCTCTTCCATTGTCCTACCCTTCCTCTTTCGCGCGCCTCTTTCCATCGCATCCTCTTGCATATCCATGGTGACTTTTGAGTCGACTCAAAAGTCTTTCGCGCGCCTCTTTTCATCGCATCTTCTTGCGTATCCATCACATCCCGAGGGGTTCGTGACGTTTTTATTCGTTTCCCAAGGTTACGCTAGTGCGATGCCACTGTAGAATCTCCCCTTCTACAACCGATCGCCCCCCTATCGGTCCCCCCCATCGCCCCCCGATCGCCCCCCTATCAGCCTCCTATCATCCCCTTATCACCCCCTTTTTCGCTCCCCTATCGCCCCCTTATCGCGCCTATATCGCCCTATCGCCCACCTATCTCCTAGTGTTTACATTTACGCTTCTCGTGCCTCTTGAGTCGACTCAAACGACATGTCCACTCAAAAAGTTGGCTGTAGTGCGTAGTCAGTCCGCGAGAGGGAACTTCTGAGGCGCCACAATGGAATTTGGGCGCCTCGAAAAACATCCTGTACTGGTTCGCTGCAGTGCCTGTCAGTCGAAGCCACAGTAGAGTCCCCTACCGCCCAGGTATTCCCCAGAGCAAACGGTTAGGGGCCTGATTTTTTCAAGTGCACTAATGTTCATGTCCTGGTTCGCTGCAGGGCCTGCCACGGTAAAGTCCCCTACCACCCAGCTGTCCCCTAGTGCAAACGGTTAGGGTTGAACGTTTCATAAGTGCACTAAAACGTCATGTCGTGGTTTGCAGTAGTGCCATGTCAGTCCGCTAGTGCGAAGCTACTGTAGAGCCTCCTTTTTCCATGTTATCGCCTCAGCGTGTTTAGGGTTCGGGTTTCGAGTGTTCCCATCCTTCCTGCGAAACCCCACCGTCCCCACCACCCCATTCTTGTCTGCGCCCTCTTTCAGTCTAGGCACTCATAACACCGTCCAGCTTTACTGCCTTCTAACCGTCCGTTCTTCTGTCCCTGCTGCTCTCCCTGCTTGTTGTGAAAGTCCATGGCTCAGATTGCAATGCATCCCCATAGAGACGATTTGAAGACGTTTTTATAACAAGCCACGTCCCTGCCTGTGTCGCTGTTACCAACCATTGCAGGAAGTACGTGGCTCAGATCGCCTCTGCCGTCTCAACGCGCAAGCGCAAGGCTATCGTAGAGAGGGCGCAGCAGCTGGATGTTAAGGTGATCAACGGCAACGCTCGCCTGCGCAGCACTGAGGACGAATAGACTCGACACTGTTGTCTTGATTCGTGCTAGCTTGCAATGCATGCTTGTCGATGTGTATGCTCCAGAGTTGCTTGTAACTTCAGTTCTGTTACAAGTTTCTGTATCTGTCACAGGCAAAGTCCCAAGAAAGGCTGTGGTGCTTCCTGTTGGAATGGCAACACAATAGGTACCTGATGAGGTATTTTCTAGTTGAAAAAATTGCAAACAGGAGATGGAGTCTTGCTAGAAGCTAACGCGCGTCTGCGCAGGAGCGTGGATGCAAACGCGCGCGCATAAGCGACCTCGTTACCTAAACCCTCGTTATACTGAAATTCACCAATTGTACGATCTTGAGGGCAATAACGTAATGCGTAAAATGACAGCCTGTGAATAGTAAACAAATCCGTAACTGCAGAATACCAAGTCACTTGGGTAACGACGCAATGATAAATTCAGGGGATTTGATTTGCCCTGCAAACAGCCAATTGAATGCGGTAGTTGCCTCCCAATGCTTCTATGTCAATGGTCCTTCACACAGAACGACTGGGCCAAATCTGACCATATTCATTGTATTCTTCTCATGCCACGTGTATTGACACCATCCCACATCACATGCCTTATGCCAAGGGTCACGATGCCAGACGATATGCCTGATGCGAGGTCACCAGCTGTAACGTCAAGATTCTTATGCCTCGTCGTGTCAGGTCAACAGTGTCATGATCCTCGGCACTGTTTCAACTGCACACATTACGAGGTGTGGCGACACAATGGGGAGTGACATCATTACAAGGTGTAGCAAGCAGCACAACAGGGTGTTGCATCGTCACAAGGTAAGACTTGAGAGAGCAGGAGTTTCGAGCCAGCTCAAAACTCGAGTTACGATCCTCGGCAATTGCACAGGATCCGAGGTGTGGCAACACAACGGAGAGTCACATCACAAAAAGGTAAGGCTGCAAAGCAGGAAGGCAGACGGCCTTTCATGTGAAAAAGGCAGAGCATAGACAAGGCATATGCATCCGTTTGAGCACGCAACAGAACGCCTGCCTGTTTGATTTGCCCCCTTAGTCTCACCTCGTCTGGGCTGAAGTGCAGTATCATGCCGATCACAGGAATGAGGGTCGCCCTTTGAAAGGGCGTACGGACAGAGTGAGAGAGCGAGGGAACAAGGCCTCTAAAGGAGTGCCGGCCGGCCTAGGCTCACCTCGTCTGGGCTGAACTGCAGTATCATGCCGATCACAGGGATGAGGGTCGCCCTCTGGTCTGATTGGAGGGAAGAAGGGGCGGGAGGCAGAGGGAGCAAAGGGAGCGGAGGGACAGGGCACAGAGGAGGGAGGGGAGAAGGATGGGGAGGGGAGCAGGGTAGGAAGGGGGGTGAGATGGGGGCAAGAAGGGAGCAAGTTGTCTGGGCTGAAGTCACGTGTAAACACAAGTGTTTTGAGATGTCTCAAAACACTTCTGTTTACAAGTTGTCTGGGCTGAACTACAGCAGCATGCTGACCACAAAAACGAGCATCGCATTATTGTCTGATGGTGGAAACAGGCGTGAGAGGGAAAGAGGGAGAAAGGGGCAGGGCCCAGAGTGGGGAAAGCAGGGTGTGGGGTAGGGTGGGTAGGTGGATAACATGGGGCAAGAGGGGAGCAAGTTTTCTCAGCTGAACTACAGTAGAATGTTGATATCAGGAATAAGTGTTGCCCTCTGGTCGGATTGTCAGGCAGAGAGGGAGACAGGTAGCAGAGAAAGGAGCTGGAGAGATGGAACAGAAGTAACTATTTGTTGTCAAATGAAGTGAGCAAGAAAGCGAGCAAAGAAATAAAGTATCGGTTGTGTCTCAACAGGGATGGCGTGGGATGCCTTGTGTGATTGCAAAATCATACCTGTTCTGATAAGCACTTGTACCTGTTCTGATAAGCAGCTGCAGAATCACGTTCTTCAAATAAGTCATGTCCACCGTCTCTCTCTTCTGCGCTCTCTCCATGTTCCTCAGCTCCTCCTTCAAGACAGATTCCTGTAGTCGAGGAAAGGGAGGAGGAAGGGAGAAGGGAAAATGGGAGTAGGAGGGGTGTTGCTTTTGAATCATCTCTTCTGCGCCCTCTCCATGTTCCTCAGCTCCTCCTTCAAGACGGATTCCTGGAAGGAGGTTGGTCAGATAAGAAAGAGGGCAGGGAGGAAGCAGGGCGTAAGAAGAAGGGTCGAATTGAATGCACTCCTCTCTCCTGCGCCCTCTCCATGTTCCTTAGCTCCTCCTTCAGTACAGATTCCTGGAAGAGTGGAAAAGGAGGAGGGAAGGAGGGTACAGGATGGACATTCTCTCTCTTTTGCGCTCGCTCCATGCTCCTTAACTCCTCCTTCAAAACGGATTTCTGGAAGAACAAACGCGGGAAGAAAAGGAGTGAGGGAGCAGGGGAAAAGTGGGGGTTAGATGCATTAACTCCTCCTCTCTCCTGCGCTCTCTCCACGCCCCTCAGCTCTTTCGTCAAGATGGGTTCCTGAACGAGAAACAAGTGGGGAAGGAAAGCGGGGACATGACATGGGAGATCGGAAAAAACAGACTGTTTTGGATACCTCAATAACGACTCCAATGGAATACAGTGACGAAGGTGGGAGGTTGGGACATAGCACCCACATGAACGCAACAGAAGGAACCACCTGAATGCAACAAGGCACCTACCTGGACGCAACAACGCACCCACCTGAACGCAACAGAGCACCCACTTGAACGCAACAGAACACCCACCCACCTGCTTGGCTCTCAGCTGATTCTCCCTCTGCAAGTCTGTGATCTCCTCCTGGTGGTGACAGGGGCAAACACAGGCATTAGATAGAGATAATTACAATCTTGTGTGTTGGAAAATCAAAAGATTCTCCCTCTGCAGGACTGTAATCTCCTCCTGGTGGTGCCTGGGGTAACGTAACACACAATAGAACATCAAAAGGCTTGTACACACAAAAGAGGTGACTTGAATGATCTCTTTCCTAGCAAAATTGCAAGCACAGGGACACAATTGGATTACGTGCAATGAATCACAGAGAGGCAGGGCATTGGCAAGCATATCATACAGTATCGTATCATACACGCATGTATGTATGGATATCAGCATGCATAAATTGTACATTTAGTGTATTTTGTTTGTACCTGCAGTGCCTGAATGTGCCGCCTGCACTGTGCTACCTCCTCCTCCCTTTGTGCTTGCTGCCGCGCAAGGAACTGGATGAAAGGGTGAAGGGTGCGGGAAGGATGAAAGGACAACAAAGGGGCAGACGCTTAGAAAAGGGGGGGGGGGGGGGAAGACTACACTATGAAAAGCGCCTGCACTGTGCTACCTCCTCCTCCCTTTGTGCTTGCTGCCGCGCAAGGAACTGGATGAACGATAAGGGTGCAGGTGGGATGGAAGGAAGACAAGGGGATAGACGCTTAGAAACAGAGCTCAGGAAAAGGGAGATCAGAGAAACCTTTCCCTCCTCCCTTTGTGCTTGCTGCCGCGCAAGGAACTGGATGAACGTTAAGGGTGGGATGAAAGGTTTTAGTTGGGATGGAAGAAAGACAAGGGGCGACAGACACTTACGAACTGAGCTCAGGAAAAAAAATAATAATAAAAAATAATCCTCCTTCACATGCAACAGATCAGAGGTCAAAAGGTTTTGTGAATTCTTGAAAGCATTGAATTGACTGTTGCGGAGATGGAAATCAGCGCAGAGGCAACAGAGGCAACAGAAGCAACAGAGGCAACAGAAGCAACAGAAGCAACAGAGGCAACAGAAGCAACAGAGGCAACAGAAGCAACAGAAGCAACAGAAGCAACAGAGGCAACAGAAGCAACAGAGGCAACAGAAGCAACAGAAGCAACAGAAGCAACAGAGGCAACAGAAGCAACAGAAGCAACAGAAGCAACAGAAGCAACAGAAGCAACAGAAGCAACAGAGGCAAGAGGGGCAGGAGAGGCAAGAGAGGCAAGGCAGCCATGAGAGGCAAGGAGCCGGCGTACCAGGATGTGTTGCTCTGCGATCGCAGCCTTCTCTGCTGGGTTGTCTGCCAACCCCATCCCCTCTGGTGGACGCAGCTAGAGCGTGGCACGGCATGGCATGGCAGCAGAGACAAGAGACGCAGCAGAGGGAAGAGAGGCAGCAGAGGGAAGAGACGCAGCAGAGGGAAGAGACGCAGCAGAGGGAAGAGACGCAGCAGAGGGAAGAGAGGCAGCAGAGGGAAGAGAGGCAGGAGTGGCAAGGGCAAGACGTACCAGTATGTGTTGCTCTGCGATCGCAGCCTTCTCTGCTGGGTTGTCTGCCAACCCCATCCCCTCTGGTGGATGCACAGAGGGCATGGCATGGGTGGGGGGGAGGAAGGGGGGGGGTAATATCAGGGAGGTAAACAGAGGTGACGGAAAAAGGAGGTGAGGACGGACAGGTGATGGATGAACGACATGGAATGGAACTCACAGAAAGTTGTCTCTTCAGGAGACAGGTAATGAGAGGCGATAAACTCAGGGTGTATGGAGACGAAGTGACAAAAAAAGAAGAGTTGACCCAGACAACAAGGAAGAGGGAGGACAGAAAGCGAGGGCGAGGGGGTACGGACCGAGGGAGAGAGGCAACGCACCGAGGGAGAGAGGCAACGCACCGAGGGAGAGAGGCAACGCACCGAGGGAGAGAGGCAACGCACCGAGGGAGAGAGGCAACGCACCGAGGGAGAGAGGCAACGCACCGAGGGAGAGAGGCAACGCACCGAGGGAGAGAGGCAACGCACCGAGGGAGAGAGGCAACGCACCGAGGGAGAGAGGCAACGCACCGAGGGAGAGAGGCAACGCACCGAGGGAGAGAGGCAACGCACCGAGGGAGAGAGGCAACGCACCGAGGGAGAGAGGCAACGCACCGAGGGAGAGAGGCAACGCACCGAGGGAGAGAGGCAACGCACCGAGGGAGAGAGGCAACGCACCGAGGGAGAGAGGCAACGCACCGAGGGAGAGAGGCAACGCACCGAGGGAGAGAGGCAACGCACCGAGGGAGAGAGGCAACGCACCGAGGGAGAGAGGCAACGCACCGAGGGAGAGAGGCAACGCACCGAGGGAGAGAGGCAACGCACCGAGGGAGAGAGGCAACGCACCGAGGGAGAGAGGCAACGCACCGAGGGAGAGAGGCAACGCACCGAGGGAGAGAGGCAACGCACCGAGGGAGAGAGGCAACGCACCGAGGGAGAGAGGCAACGCACCGAGGGAGAGAGGCAACGCACCGAGGGAGAGAGGCAACGCACCGAGGGAGAGAGGCAACGCACCGAGGGAGAGAGGCAACGCACCGAGGGAGAGAGGCAACGCACCGAGGGAGAGAGGCAACGCACCGAGGGAGAGAGGCAACGCACCGAGGGAGAGAGGCAACGCACCGAGGGAGAGAGGCAACGCACCGAGGGAGAGAGGCAACGCACCGAGGGAGAGAGGCAACGCACCGAGGGAGAGAGGCAACGCACCGAGGGAGAGAGGCAACGCACCGAGGGAGAGAGGCAACGCACCGAGGGAGAGAGGCAACGCACCGAGGGAGAGAGGCAACGCACCGAGGGAGAGAGGCAACGCACCGAGGGAGAGAGGCAACGCACCGAGGGAGAGAGGCAACGCACCGAGGGAGAGAGGCAACGCACCGAGGGAGAGAGGCAACGCACCGAGGGAGAGAGGCAACGCACCGAGGGAGAGAGGCAACGCACCGAGGGAGAGAGGCAACGCACCGAGGGAGAGAGGCAACGCACCGAGGGAGAGAGGCAACGCACCGAGGGAGAGAGGCAACGCACCGAGGGAGAGAGGCAACGCACCGAGGGAGAGAGGCAACGCACCGAGGGAGAGAGGCAACGCACCGAGGGAGAGAGGCAACGCACCGAGGGAGAGAGGCAACGCACCGAGGGAGAGAGGCAACGCACCGAGGGAGAGAGGCAACGCACCGAGGGAGAGAGGCAACGCACCGAGGGAGAGAGGCAACGCACCGAGGGAGAGAGGCAACGCACCGAGGGAGAGAGGCAACGCACCGAGGGAGAGAGGCAACGCACCGAGGGAGAGAGGCAACGCACCGAGGGAGAGAGGCAACGCACCGAGGGAGAGAGGCAACGCACCGAGGGAGAGAGGCAACGCACCGAGGGAGAGAGGCAACGCACCGAGGGAGAGAGGCAACGCACCGAGGGAGAGAGGCAACGCACCGAGGGAGAGAGGCACCGAGGGAGAGAGGCAACGCACCGAGGGAGAGAGGCAACGCACCGAGGGAGAGAGGCAACGCACCGAGGGAGAGAGGCAACGCACCGAGGGAGAGAGGCAACGCACCGAGGGAGAGAGGCAACGCACCGAGGGAGAGAGGCAACGCACCGAGGGAGAGAGGCAACGCACCGAGGGAGAGAGGCAACGCACCGAGGGAGAGAGGCAACGCACCGAGGGAGAGAGGCAACGCACCGAGGGAGAGAGGCAACGCACCGAGGGAGAGAGGCAACGCACCGAGGGAGAGAGGCAACGCACCGAGGGAGAGAGGCAACGCACCGAGGGAGAGAGGCAACGCACCGAGGGAGAGAGGCAACGCACCGAGGGAGAGAGGCAACGCACCGAGGGAGAGAGGCAACGCACCGAGGGAGAGAGGCAACGCACCGAGGGAGAGAGGCAACGCACCGAGGGAGAGAGGCAACGCACCGAGGGAGAGAGGCAACGCACCGAGGGAGAGAGGCAACGCACCGAGGGAGAGAGGCAACGCACCGAGGGAGAGAGGCAACGCACCGAGGGAGAGAGGCAACGCACCGAGGGAGAGAGGCAACGCACCGAGGGAGAGAGGCAACGCACCGAGGGAGAGAGGCAACGCACCGAGGGAGAGAGGCAACGCACCGAGGGAGAGAGGCAACGCACCGAGGGAGAGAGGCAACGCACCGAGGGAGAGAGGCAACGCACCGAGGGAGAGAGGCAACGCACCGAGGGAGAGAGGCAACGCACCGAGGGAGAGAGGTAGGCCGGATGAGGGTGATTTGGCGAACCCTGGATCCAACATCCGAGAACCGGGCTGCATGAGGGAGGGGATTGTGGGGGGAGGGAGTCAATGTGGAGATGGGATAGGATAGGAGGAAGATGAGATAGGGGACAGTGGATGAGGGTGATTTGCCGAACCCTGGATCTGACATCCGAGAACCGGGCTGCAGAGTGGAGTGGAGTGTAATGCTGTGGAGTGGAGTGGAGTGGAGAGGAGTGGAAAGGAGTTGAGAGGAGTGCAGCAGAGTGGAGTGGAGTGTAATGCTGTGCAGTGGACTCACCGAGATGAGAGCTGGTTTCCTGGGACTGGCCGCTCCATCCATCCCAGCGGCACCCAGCCCCGCTATCTTCAACCCATCACCCTCCCCACCAGCAGCATTTACAGCATTGGAGTGCGGTGGAGTGCGGTGCAGTGGGTGCAGTGGACTCACCGAGATGAGAGCTGGTTTCCTGGGACTGGCCGCTCCATCCATCCCAGCAGCACCCAGCCCCGCAAGCTTTACCCCATCACCCTCCCCACCACCACCAGCACCAGCAACACCACCACCGGCACCACTGTTGGCACCACCACCAGCCACACTAGCAGCAGCAGCAGCAGCACCAGCACCAGCACCAGCGCCACCAGCAGCAGCAGAACCAGCCTGAGCAGCAATCAGAGCCTCCTGCAGGCGTGCAGCTTCAGCAGAGAGCCGCGCAATCTCCTTATCCTTCCCCTCAATCGCCTTATCCTTGGCCTCTATAGTCTTGTCCGCCATCTCTCTGTACGCTGAATGCTCCCTCTCCCCGGACTCCACTCTTCTCCTCAACTCTGTCTCTAGAGTTGCTGTCTGGCTGTCCGTCTGCCCCTTTAGCTTCTCCTCCTGCTGCCGCAGCTTCTCTGCTCGGGGGAGGGAGAGAGGATGAGGGGGATTGGATCAGGGGGGTTATCAGCCCAGTTGTCCCCATCACGCGCTCATGCATCTATTGCTTAACAGTCACTGAATTCCTCCCCGCTCCTCTCAACTCTCCTCGCCACCCAGCTTCCCGGTCCATCATCCGCCCGTGCATCTCCTCCTGCTCTGCGCTGCTGTCTACCCACCCTGTGCTGTTCTATACTCTACCATCAATCCCCCAACTAGCCCCCCCTCCCTTGCCCCCTCTTATCAACTCACCGCGCCACCCGTCTTCCAGGTCCATCATCCGCCCGTGCATCTCCTCCTGCGCTGCCCGGCTCTGCTGCCTCACCGCCTCCAGCCTGCCCGTCAGCTCCCGTATCTTCGTTTCCGCTTCCATCAATGCCACGTTTCTGTGTAATACGGGTGAAGGGGAGGGAGGTGGTGGGAAGATTAGGGGGGGGTATGGGGGGTCAGTGGCACTGCTTATGTGACCGCTCTGCTGCCTCACCGCCTCCAGCCTGCCTGTTGGCTCTCGGATTTTCGATTCCGCATCCATCAGAGACACGTTATAAGGAACAGAAATAAGAGACGGAATACAGCTGCTAGAGCCCCGACCTTGCAGGCAAACCGCTTAGAAAAAATGAACTGTAAAAAACTGGATTTGAGACTCTGAAAATAAGACTGGTAGGCTTCGATTTGTACGTGAGTCGAGCCGAGGAGATAACGCAACCTCCGTACAAATCCGAACCCTAGCAGTCTCATCTTCACAATCTCAAATCCAGTTTCTTACAGCTTCAGCCAAGTTTCTGCCTGATAAGGTTGCAAGGGAACAAAAGGGAGGGAGGCTAGGAAAGGGTTGATGCAAGGCCTCTGCTGCCCCACTTCCTCCAGCCTGTCTGTCAGCTCTCCCAACCCATCCCATCCCATGCATGTCATCCCACCCCACCCCACCCCACCCCACCCCACTCCACCCCACCCCATCCCATCCCATCCCATCCCATCCCATCCCATCCCATCCCATCCCATCCCATCCCGTCCCTTCTATGTACACACATGCACAACACCTTTCTCTCACACAGCCCACTGCCACCACATGGATTGTGTCTTGTTTGTGCACGCTTCATTCACCGCACTGCCATCTGTGTCTCATGGTCCTATGTACACACATGCACACCACATTAGACCCATCTCCACCGCATCTCACCGCGCTGCCATCTGCGTCTCATGGTCCACAGCAGCATCCTCCAAAGCCTTAAGCGCTCTGTCCCTCTCCGCCACTGCTGCTGCCTCTGCCCGCTTCGCCTCCTGTGATGCGTGGACAGAGGCAGGTGGTGAAGGAGGCAGGAGACGGGAAAGGCAAACTATATGATAAACGTCCCGAATATATAGACCTAATGTGGATGCTAAGTACGGTATCTGCAAATCCAGGACGAACAGGTTATAAATGTAAAAACGCACATTAACGTAACCGTAAAAACGTATGCAAGCACAAACGTAGTATCCATCTAAACTCCACATTCATTCCCACATTCAGTCCCCCACACTCACTCCCACACCCACCTTGATCTCTTCTTCCTTGCTCGCCATGGCATCTGCGTTCCCCACCGCTTCAAGCCCCTCCTCCCACTTTCATCCCTCCCTCTCATGTCACGTCTCCCTCTCACCTTCATACCACACACTCACGTGGATTGCCTCTTCCTTGCTCGCCATAGCATCGGCGTTCCCCACCGCTTCAAGCTCCTCCTGCTTCTTCTTCAGCATCGCTGCTGCCCGCACCTTGTACGCCGCCAGCTCATTACGCCCCTTCGCCACCTGGCATGATGTGGCATGACGTGGCGAGAGGTGGTATGGGATGGACTTAAGAAACGCAATGTTGCAAAAGATAAACACCGTAAAAATAAACGCCATTCTGTTGCATGGAATGGCATGGCATGGCATAGGCAGGTAGGCATGAGTATGGCATGAGCTGGGATGGGAATGGCAGGAGCTGGGACAGGGATGGCATGAAAACGCTTGGGCTGGGATGGGAGGGCATGGGCTGGGAGGGCATGGGATAACACAACGCCCATTTACCTCCTGCATCTGATCGCCGCCCACAACCCCACCCACCCTCCCTCCTCACCCCTTTTCTGTCTCCAGCCTTCCTCACCTCCGCCTGTGCAGCCGCCAGGTCCGCCAAAGCAGCAGCAACGGCCTTCTTCTGCCCCTCCACCTCCTGCTGCCACGCCCCCTTCGCCTCCTGCAACGCCACCTCCTGCATCCCATGACCCAAGGCCCTGGCAATCCCACTATCCTCCTCCTTCCATGTTTTACCCCGGGGAACCCTGTCTCACCCCCTTCACCCTCCCTTGTTTCCATCTCTCTTACTCCCGCCTCGACTCACCTCTGCCTGTGCCGCAGCCAGGTCTGCCAATGCAGCAGCAACAGCTTTCTTCTGCCCCTCCACCTCCACCTGCCACGCCCCCTTGGCCTCCTGCAACGCCACCTCCTGCATGCGCTTCCCCCTCTCCATCCCCTCCACCCGCTGCCCCACCGTCCCCTCCCACCCGCTCCTCACAGTCTTCCCCCATTTCCTGCAAACCCCGAAAAGCAGCAGCCCCGTTTCCCTCTGACTGACCTGAACCCATCCCCAACCCCCCTTTCCCCCCCTTTCCCAACTCACCTCCGCCTGTGCAGCAGCTAAATCCGCCAGGGCGGCAGCAACGGCCTTCTTCTGCCCCTCCACCTCCTGCTGCCACGCCCCCTTCGCCTCCTGCAACGCCACCTCCTGCATGCGCTTCCCCCTCTCCATCCCCTCCACCCGCCTCTTCAGCTGCCCCACTGTCTCCTCCCACCCGCTCCTCTCCTCCTGCAGCTTCTGCTCCAGCCGGTGCAGCTCGCCACGTGTCGCCTCCAGAGTGGCCGACAGCCGCGCCAGCTCGCCTGACGTAGCCGCCTCTACTTCCGCCAGCTGGCGCTCCTTCTGCGACAGCTGGACCTGCCCGGGTGGATAACGGCGGTGAGGGTGGTAACAGGGGAGAGGAACGAGAAAGGTACACATGTGGTTACTGCCACAACCTGTAACACCACTGCTCTCACCTGTTTCACACACTCCTCCCCACTCTCACCTGCTGTTGCAGATCTCAGTCCCTACAGGTGGTTACCCTGGCCTGTGACACGTCCTTAACACCCTCAGTTCTCCCTCTCCTGTAACCTGCAGCGCACTGCTGCCCTTCAGAGCCATATTCTGCTCCCTCTGAGGTGACTTTTGAGTCGACTCAAAAGTCACTTTGTCCTTAACACGCTCAGTTCTCTCACCTGCAGAGCACTGCTGCCCTTCAGAGCCTTATTCTGCTCCCTCTGAGGTGACTTTTGAGTCGACTCAAAAGTCACTTTGTCCTTAACACGCTCAGTTCTCTCACCTGCAGAGCACTGCTGCCCTTCAGAGCCTTATTCAGCTCTCTCTGCAGCTCAGCCGCGCGCACCTCCTGCTCCTTTCATTCCCTGACCGACCCTGACCCATCTGCAGCAGAATCTTGCTCCTACCACACAAACACCCCACTCTCACCTGCAGCGCACAGCTGCTCTCTAGAGCCTTATTCAGCTCCCTCCCGCTGCAGCTCAGCCGCCCGCGCCTCCTGCTGCTTCCAGTCCCCGATCCATGTGCAGCAGAACCTTCTTCCTACCATACAAACTCCTCCCTCTCACTTCCAGCAGCAGGGAGCACTCACCTGCAGCGCACTGCTGCTCTCCAGTGCCTTGTTCAACTCCCTCTGCAGCTCAGCCGCCCGCGCCTCCTGCTCCTTCCCCATCCGCTCCATCCGCTCCTCCACCTCCTTCACAGCCCCCGCCATGCGCTCCCGCTCCTCCTGCGCTGAGCTCGACAGCTCCAGCCACGCCTGCTCCTTGCCCGCTGCCAGCCTCCGCGACTCCTTCAGGTTATGCTCCTTCAGTTCCAAGGCCCGCCTCAGCTCGTCCACTTCTTCTTTGAGCCTGGGGAAGGGAGAGTAGGGTTCACGGTTCAAGGTTCAACGCTCCTCCTGCGCTGAGCTCGACAGCTCCAGCCACGCCTGCTCCTTGCCCGCTGCCAGCCTCCGCGATTCTTTTAAATTGTGCTCCTTCAGTTCCAAGGCTCGCCTCAGCTCGTCCACCTCCTCCTTCAGCCTGGGGAAGGGATCGGGGTTTCGGGTTTAGGGGTTTAGAAAACGGGCGGGAGAGGACAGCTCGACAGCTCCAGCCACGCCTGCTCCTTGCCTGCTGCCAGCCGCCGTCACTCCTTCAGGTTATGCTCCTTCAGTTCCAGGGCTCGCTTCAGCTCGTCAACTTTCTCTTAAAGCCGGGGATCAAGCCTGGGTCTAATTGCTCTCCAAGCCTGAGAAACCCTTCCAGCCACATGACTAGAGATCAACAGAGATACTCACGACGCGTTGGTCTTCCTCAGCTGATCCTTGTCCTTCTCAGCCGTCCGCTGCGCCTCTGCAGCCCTTAGAATACTACAAAGGACCAGAGAAACCCTTCCAGCTATGTGGAAGAGAGCAGCAGAGATACTCACGACGCGTTGGTCTTCCTCAGCTGATCCTTGTCCTTCTCGGCCGTCCGCTGCGCCTCTGCAGCCACCCCCTTGGCTCTCTCCAGATCCTCCTGCAGCGCCGCCTGTTGCTTCCTTTCCTCTGCCAGCTTCCTCTCTGCCTCCTCCTTCTCCTGCAAGGTGTGGCAGACAGGGGATTGGGTGGAAAACAGGGAACGGGTTGGGGTCAAGGTGATGAAAGGGCCCCTCTGCAGCCACCCCCTTGGCTCTCTCCAGATCCTCCTGCAGAGCTGCCTGCTGCTTCCTCTCTTCTGCCAGCTTCCTCTCTGCCTCCTCCTTCTCCTGCAAGGAGGAGGGGAGACCGAGGTGCATGGAGAAAAGGGAACGGGATGGGAAGAAGGAGATGGGAGGTTTCAGAGGCAACTCTGCCCCTGCCCCTTACCCTGCCGCCTTGCCTAGGTATCAGGCTTACTCAATTCACACATCCTACTGCCTCAAACCCTGGTGCGTCACATCACATCACATCACATCACATCTGTGCGTTCCATACCTTGGTCACTTCCTGGATTCTCTGCTTGGCGCGCTTCTGCAGGCGGTTGAACTTCCTTTCCAGCTCCGCATACTTGTCCTTTCCCACCTATATCCTCAGATATTCCATACCCTGGTGATCCATACATACCTTGGTCACTTCCTGGATTCTCTGCTTGGCGCGCTTCTGCAGGCGGTTGAACTTGCTGTCCAGCTCCGCATACTTGTCCTCCGCTGCCTTCACCTCTGCCTCCAGCTTGCTGCGCACTGCACCGCACCACACCGCACCACACCACACAGCACCACACCGAATGGTACACAGAACACATCACACCATGAGAAGCGAGTCAGAAGGGAAGAGCCAGTACTGACGCTTGTGGCATGACACTTTTGGCCAAGCACAGGCAATAAACACCGGATGTGCAAACCAGATGATCGAGACAGTAAGAGAAGGAGACGGAGCATTAAAGGAACTGGCATGATATGATACTGATAAAGCAGCAGGTGTGATTATGATGAGCGTGTTTTTACCTCTCACCAGCTTTTGAAATTTCTCACAAGTGGACAAACCCTTCTTACCTGTCGCCAGCTCACTCTCTGCTGACTCAGCCTTCCCCATCGCCTCCCCTGCAGCGCCCGCCACTCTGGCAGCCGCCTCCTCCGCCGCCACACGGGCAGCTGCAGCCTGCGCCAGCTCACCCGACACCCGCGCCAGCTCAGCGTTTGCCGTCGCCAGCTCAGCATTCACCTTCGCCAGCTCCTCAGCCTGCGCACCGCCCGACATTGCCAGCTGTTCCCTCCCCCTCTCCGCCTCCTCCCTCATCCTCCCTGCCTCTAGCTCTGCTGCTTCTACCCTTGCTCTCACCCCTTCCAACTCAGCAGTAAGCTCAGTTACTCTCTTCTCCCCATCCGCCCTCTCTGCGCCCTCCTTTACGCTCTTCTCCCTCATCCCCTGCAGCTCTGCTTTGATCTCTGCCTGTACCTGCTCGCTCTTCCTCTCCGCTTCCCTCACCTTCCCCAACGCCTCCTCCAACTCCTCCTCCAACCGCTCCTTCTCCCTCTTCACCGCTTTCAACGCCTCTTCCAGCTCTCCCACTCGGGCCTCTCCTGCCACAGCCCCTGCTGCCGCTGCTCCTGCCGCCTCTGCCCCTGCTGCTGCGGCTTCAGCCTTAGCAGCAGCTAACTCCGCCTCTGCTGCTTCCAGTTTCTTCCTCAACTCAGCCTCTCGCCCCTCCCACTCTCCCTCGTTCACCTCCAATTCTTTCACCCTCTCCTCTGCTGTCTTAAGCGCGCCTCTCGCCTCCTCCACTTCAACCACACCCTTTTCCACCTCCCCTTTCGCTCTCTCTTCCTCCTCTTTCACCCTCTCGAGTTCCACTTTAACACTCTCTGCCTCCCCTTGTGCTTTCTCTGCTTCCCCTTTAACCCTCTCCAACTCCTCTTTACCGCTCTCCACCTCCGCTTTCGCCTTCTCAAGCTCCCCTTGAAGCTCCGCCACCCGGCCCTCTAACGCCTTCCTGTCTTCGCCCATCTTAGCAGCCTCCGCCTCTCCTGATCCCTTCTCTGCTACCGCTTGCTCCAGCTTCTCCTTTAGCCCCTGAATCTCCTCCTCCTTGGCTTTAATCTCCGCCTCCTTCGTCCCTACAACGACATACATCTCCTTCTTTAGCTCCTCAGCCACTTTCCTTACCTTTTCACCCTCCTCCTTCGCCTCCTCAGCTGCCTTCAACGCAGCTTCCAACTCCCTCCTCAGCCCACCCACCTCCTCATCCTTTGCAGCAACGTCCTCCCCCAACTCCTTCACCCTCCCCTCCACCTCCCCTAACCTCCCCCTCACTCCCTCCAGTTCCCCCCTCACAGCCTCCCCTTCCTTCTCCTTCTCCTCAACCGCCCTCTCCAACCCCTCAACCCTCTTCCTCAATCCCTCCGCCTCTTTCTCGCTCCCATCAGCCCTATCCGTCTCTGCTGCAACCTGCTTCCGCGTGTCTAGAAGCTGCTGCCACAGCTCCCCAGCTTGCTGCTGCTCCTTCCCGGCACTTTCCTGGAAAGAGTCCAACGCCGCTCGAGCCTCCTCTGCTTCTCTCTGCGCTGCCTCTCTCGAATGAATCTCCTTTTCCAGCGAGGATTTGGCTGATGCCAGCTCAGCCTGCGCGGCTGCCAGCTGGTCTTTGAGGGAATCTGACTTGGCGGCGAGATCTGCCAGCTCTTTCTGGATGCTCTGGTTTGGTTGAAAGGGATTGATCCGATAAAGAGCATTCAATTGTGATATTATGGAAGGGACGTAAAAGTGTTTGTTTGAATGTGCTTGAGTTTGGATAACAGGCATGCAATGCAATGAAGGCACAGCAGCTTGGGGAGATCCAGCTGGGCGCATGCCCACGATGCTGCAGAGTTTTTTTGAGAATTCTCAAAAAAACCCTGCAGCTGGGCGCATGCCCACACCACACCTCTCACGTACCTCTCTGTCTCCGATGCAGCCTTCTGCACATGATCCACGGCCCCTTGCATGCCCCTCTATTTCTGAGGCGCCTCAATAAATTACTAATACCAGTGAACCTATGACTCATGCCCACACCACACCTCTCACGTACCTCCTCTGTCTCCGATGCAGCCTTCTGCACGTGATCCATGGCCCCTCGCATGCCCGTCAGCTCTTGAGGTATCTCGCATGCCCTCGCATACCTCTTCTTACTCATGCCCACACCTCACTTACCTCCTCTGTCTCCGAAGCAGCCTTCTGCACGTGATCCATGGCCCCTCGCATGCCCTTCAGCTGTGAGGTAAGGCTGCCGCAGCAAAGACACGCATGATACAGCGGAAGAGAGGGAGCAAAAAAGGCGTGTTACAATGAAACATCGATGATCATCCATTACGCATCAACAGTCTCGCTCACCATAAGATCAGACACTCAGAAGCCCACGAGGCGAGTTCTGAGACGTTAAAACTCAATTATCATTAGGGATGGTTGGTTAATAAAAGTTTTACCTGGCATTGAGACGTTTGAAAGTCTAGCACTGAGCTGTGAGGTCTCTGGAGCCCTAGTCAACTTTGCTTTTGCTTTTTTAACTTCGTTACTAGCAACCCACCTGGCAACTTCTTTCTTCGCTTCTGCCAGCTGCGCTTGAAGAGCCGCCTCTGCATCTGCTGCCGCCGCAGCTGCTTTAGCTGCTGCGGCCTTCGCCTCTTCCACCTGCCCTGTCAGCGCCGCCTGCGCCTGAAGCAGCTCCTCTGCCTGCGCGCCCTTGTTCGTTGCCTCACATCGCATTTTACCCAGTTCTTCCTGCGCCTCTGCTGCCGCCGCCTTGGCCTTCTCAATTTCCCCCTGAAGGGCCGCCTGCGCCTGAAGCAGCTCCTCCACCTGCGCGCCCTTGTTCGTCGCCTCGCATCGCACCTTCCCCAGTTCTTCCTGCGCCTCTGCTGCCGCTGCCTTGGCCTTCTCAATCTCCCCCTGAAGCGCCGCCTGCGCCTGAAGCAGCTCCTCTACCTGCGCGCCCTTGTTCGTCGCCTCGCACTGAGCCTTTCCAACCTCCTCCCGCGCTTCTGCTGCCTCCGTCTTGGCCTTCTCAATATCCCCCTGAAGCGCCGCCTGCGCCTGAAGCAACTCCTCTACCTGCGCGCCCTTGTTCGTCGCCTCACACTGAGCCTTTCCAGCCTCCTCCTTCGCCTTCTCCAGCTCCGCTTTGACTTCCCCCAGCTCCTTCCTGGAAGTTTCGACTTGCGCACGCAGCTCTTCCAGCGAAGCTTCCTTGCCGTGTCTCAAACCCTCGAGCTCATCCCTTAGCGCTTTAATCTCCGATTCCAACTTCTCCTTATCCCCCCTCAGCACTTCCCTCTCTTGCTCCACCGCAGGAAGCTTCCTCTGCAATTCCGCCACCAGCGCCTGCAGCTTGCTCCCATCTTCCTTCGAAGCTTCCAGCTCCACCTGAATTGCTTTCAGCTGCCCGGCCATCTTTTCCCCGTCTGCCCGAGAACCCTCCAGCTCTCTCCGCGCAGCGTTTAGCGCCTCCATCGCGCTCTCCCGCTCCGCCTGCGCGGCTTTCAGCTGCTGCTCCGCGCGCACCACCACCTCCTGCGCGCGCCGCTGATCCGCCTGATCGCTCCGCTTCTCCGCCTCTGCCGCCTTCACCCGCTCCCCCAGCGCCTGCAGCGCCTGCTGCGCCGCCGCGCGCCCTTCCTGCGCCTCCCGCGCCTCCCCCTGCGCTTTCCGCAGCTGCTCCTGCAGACCGCTAAGCTCCTCCTGAGTTGTCATCAGCGCGCCTTGCGCCGCCGTCCATTGCTCGCGGACCATCTGGACCTCCTCTTTCGACGCGCGAAGGCTCTTCTGAGCCGCATTTGCGTCATCCATGGCTTTCTTTCTCTCCTCCTCCGCTGATCTGGCCTGGTCTTCAGCAGCCTTGAGCTTCTCGCTCGCAACCACGTACTCTTCTCTTAGCATTTTCAGTTCCTGCTGAGACGCATTCAGTTGGTCCTGCAGCTGCTGCAGCGCCGCCGGATCCGCTCCTTTAGATGCATCTCCGTTAGAAGCTCCTGATTCCGCGGCTTCGGCTCGCTTTAAAGCCTCGTCCCGGACTCGTTCGGCCTCTTGGACTTTAGATTGAAGCTCCGCCTGCTGCTTTTTGAGAGCTAAAACAATCTTCTTTTTCATGGACTGCATCTCCGCTTGAAGGCGGGTGTTTTCCGCCTTTAGTTCCTCCGCGGACGCCATTATGGATCGATCGCCAATCGAAGGAAAGACCTTATTTTGTGCGCCAAACCTTAGAAATAGTAACTAGAAACGGTCGATTCCTCAGCTAATGCGATCTCCTGTTTGGACTCGGGAGGCTTGCTTAACAACTACAGGAAGAAGGAAAACCAGCGAGTTAGTTTGGCATTACCATGAACAAAGCAGATCTCTAGTGAGACCACGACTACCCGCAGAGATCTTCTCGGCTGCTCGCAAAATGCTCAGGAGCCATGGCTTCAGGCCAGAGCCTGCCTGGAGGAGGAATTGATTAGTCTGGAAGAGTGAACCAGATTGAAGTTGAGCATTTTGGGATCTATGGGTGTCAGAACGGGCTGTAATACGGTTTCCAAAGCTTTTAAAGGTTTTCAAAACAGCACGATTCGGTGCCAAAGTGTCACGAAACGTTTCCATGCTCTTCCGGTATACCTACCACGTAAGCTACAGCAAGAGGTTCCTCGCTCGTTGCCACTCTAGACCGTAACGCAACGATTTAAACCGTGGTTAGATTGAGAATCAAGCAGAGTGGACGTTGTTTGTTCCCCGTCACACCGACCTTCTAGAGAGTCCTCCACTTCAGTCATACACGTGCTACTGTTTGCGAGGAACTCTAGGGATGTGCCGACCGAGGCAACACTAGCCGCACATCGTCGGAAGCTGAAACCACGAGCGATCTTAACCGTCGAAAAATGTTCGCTGTGGTGTTCGCCTGACCAGTTTCGTTCGGCCCTCGCTGTCGCTCTCGGTTTGTGTTGTCAGGGAGGCTGTGATTGGCTGATACAGCATTACAAAATGTTTCGCGGGTTTTTTCCTTACGTTGACAATAACGGGTCAATCTGGCGCATGAGATACCTCAACTATCACTGTACTATCATTTACCTTACAGCACAGAGGGAATGTTGTTAGAGGGGTATTCCTCTCCCTACCACAGTCCCAACCACAGTCCAAGCCGCGGGCATATGGCTTGGGTATGGGACGAACCAGTCTCTCGAGACAGATTCACCCGCCGCCTTGTCCCTGCGCCGCGTCAGGGCTGGCGGGGACCTTGGGATTGGGTTTCATGGATGATATTCGCGGCTCGGCCCGTCAAGATTGGAGGGATTTCGCTCACTCAAACGCGGACACGTCAGCGCAGCCAAGCACCCCAAACCAAGGGAACATCCATCTCCAGTTGTGTTGTCTCCACTGTCCACCATTCAGCTGTTCACCCCCCTTCCCCCTCTCATCCATTTCGCCGGCCTATCAGGGATGGCAAGAAGAAAGAATTTGTCCTGCTGTTGTGCATTCCATCCACCATCCTCACTTCATTCAAACATTGATGCTTGTTTTGCGTGTAGGCAAGACAACAAGAAACCTCGGCCGCTATCTTCGCTGAGGGCTATCAATAAGACGTCAGTCATTGATGCTTATTCTAAACGTTCGCCTTTCGTGACTCCCACTCCTCTTCAGCTTCCAGAATGCACGTTAACAGAGTTGGTTTTTTGTCCGTGAGATGTGCTACTTCTCGACAAAATCACTCGAAGTATCTGATGGTTACTTAAGAGGTTAATAGAACCTCGTTACATTCATAGTGATAGTCTGCTTTCGAGCCGCCTGCCCTCTAATCCATTCTTCCGCTCCCATACGACTCGCATCGCATCGCTTTTAGCCGCTCGCTTAGACTACTTTCGCGTTTTCGATGCGTTCAATGCTGCCGCTCCCGTCTTCGCTCCCAGCGACGTAACTTATTTCCCGTTCAGCAATCCGGCCGCATAATAATATATCAGGCGCCTGTGACGTATGCCTTCACGACTTGCGCTGCAATACAGCCGCAAGTGACTAGAAGTTTCCCGCTTGGAGAAATAGACATTGTTTTAGAGGAAGCTTTTTTCTAGACTTCTGAACGATTTGCTCGGCAGTGCGCGGCTCCAAGGCACGGAAAACCTTGTTCGGAGGAGCAGTCAGTCGGCCTAACCGAGCTGGCTGCTCTCTTCCCGTTATCTCCGTGGGAAGCACTGAAATTTCCCTTTAACTTCATTGAAGGACAATGGTCGCAATCAATGGGGCCGACTCCCCGTCGCCTTCCCCCGACGCGACCGTGCTGCAAGTGTCAGTGGTTCAGGGCCGGAACTTGCAGCTTCCAGGCGGCGTGCAGGACAAAGGCGGAGCCACGGTGTCGCTCTCTCAGGGAAAAAACCAGGTACTTTGTTCCCGCCAATTAATTAGCTTTGCTTCCGAACCATGTAGAGCATGGCACATTGCCCGAGTCAGTCATAATTTGTGAGATAAATAATAAGGTAAGAAATATTTTTAGTACCAGTCGCGTGGCCTCGCACGATGTAGCACCATGATGGATATTCACACAACCACAATTCCTCGTACCGGGAACAGTCAAACATCGCGCAAATTTTATTTATCTGTTCCATCGGTTGCTCTTATTGAAACGACCAATGCTGTGCGTCTGAGACGGAGTGGCTAAAATCAGAATTCTCTCGCGTCTTTTCAAAGTAGACCTTAGGATGCAGACCCATGTCTCGAGCGGTCCTTTGGCGTGCAAACTTCATATTTCTTTCGCGTCTTTTCGACGTAGTTGCAATGATACATTCACATGCTTGGCTCGGCTAGCTCGAGATATGGGTCTCCCTCCTATTGCGCACGGTTGACACAGGTGAAGACATCTGCGAAGATTCTTGACTCCGTTTAAAAACGCCCTCAATCGCTCCGTTCTAAAATGCACCTGATGCAGGTGAAGACAGCAGCGAAGACGGGAGCGGCTCCCAAGTGGCTCCAGGACTTTAAGATTCCTCTGGACTACTCGCCTGGTGCTTCCCTGCCGCAGCCAGGCGACGTCGTTCTCCAGGTCAGATCCGTTCTCTGTCTCATATCTCAACTGTGTGACCTGTGCGTCATAATGACTTCTCCTTGGACTGGGAAGTCATGTCTCAACCTTGTGTCCTTTGCGTCATATTGACTTATGCTTGGACTGGGAATTCATATCTCAACCTTGTTCTGTGTTGTGCCTTCAGGGTAAATTACCCAGGAAAGGTGATTCTGGGTTTAGCTCGCGGGACAGTTCGAGGAGGTGCTGGCCAGGTGTGATTTGATGCGCTTCACAAACCAAGTGATAAAAGTGTAGTTTTGAAACGTCTCAAAACAACGAGGTGACTTTTGAGTCGTCCCAAAAGTCACCTTGAGACGTCTCAAAACTACACTTTTATCACGTAGCTAGCTCGCTAGACAGTTTGAGGAGTTGCTGGCCAGGTGTGATTTGATGCGCTTAACAAATCGAGCTTTTCTGCTGGCACTTCATGAAAGAATCTCTGCGCCCTCTCCCCCTCCCCCTCCCTCTCCCTCTCCCACGCACAAAGATAGCAATCAGCTCACCTCACACGGGAGACGAGGCGCTGGCCAGGTGTAATCTGAGGCGCTTCAGAAACCAAGCTTCTCAGCTCCCCTCTCCCGCTCCTCTTGCTCTCCCGACCACACACACAGATAGCAATTACCTCACCTGACACGGGAGACGAAGTGCTGGCCACGTGTGATGTTGACGTGGCAGATCAGCTGCAGGGCGGCACAGTGGTGCGCTGGTATCAAATCAAGGACAAGGACGGCGCTGGGGTCGGCGAAGTTTGTCTTGTTCTGCGGATTGCGAAGCCTGCCGCCTTGCGTCCAGGTGGGTTAGGGCGAGGGTGCTATTTTTTTTTTGCTCCCGATTCTTGGACTGTTGGCACCTGCATAAACCTCCCTCCAATGCTCCCGATTGTTCCTGACAGGTGGTGCTTCCCCCAGCCACCCCAAGAGCAGCGTCGCCAGTCAACTGAACAGAAACCATTCTGCAGCGGTCATTGACCAAACCACCCAAACCACTCAAACCACCGAAACCATCCAAACCACGCAAACCAGCAAAACCATTCAGACCAACCAGTCCACCCAAACCACCGAAACCACCGAAACCAGTGCTGGTGCTAACATCACCGGTACTGCTGCTGCCGCTGCTGCTGCTCCATCCGCCTTTGCAGCTGCTTTCGACGTCTTTGCAGCCCATGCCTCCACTGCTGCTTCAGATGATGGTGATGATACAGCTGCAGTTGCCACGGCTGCTGCCGACAGCGCCGATGATCCTGCTCCAGGAGCAGAAGACGCAGCAGCAACCAATTCTGAGCCTGTGCCTGAAGTCCAAATTCCAGCAGAAGCAGCACCAGCTGCTGCATCACCAGCTGCAACAGCAGCAGCAGACGCACCGCTGGCAGCAGCAGCAGGAGACACAGCAGCAGACACACCAGTAGCAGGCGTACCAGAAGACGCACCAGAAGATGCAGCACCACCAGCAGTTGCTGCTACAGGCGCGAGCACGGGCTCATCATTACTGGGCCGGCTGGAGAGGCGCAGCAACGTCCAGATCAGCAGGGGGACCGGGCTGGGCACGTCTGAATCCGGGCCTGAGAGCAGCACAGACGAGGCTGAGGGTGCAGCGTCTGTGTCTGATCCCAACTCGCCTCGTAGTGAGACGTCCCTAGCAGTGTCCAGTGAGGGGGGTACGGCTGTTGTGGGGCGTCTGGAGAGGCGCAGCAACATCCAGAGCGGGAGACTCTCGGCACAGAGCTCTGCTGAAGGCACAGGGGAATCCTCAGGTGATTCCTCAGGTGCTGTCGCAGCAGCAGGAGCAGACTCACCTGGTGCTGCTTCTGGTGATGGGTCACCGTCAACCTCCCAACAACAGCAGTCCTCCTGGTCGGGAGCTTGGCGGTGGGGAGACCGACAAAACAAGGGCAGCAGCTCAGACAAGGCAATGGGGTCCTCTGCGGGCTCTTTGTTCCAAGGCAGGGCGCTGAATAGCTCTGCCCGGCGGGCTGACGAGGCTGCGAGTCCAAAGGCGCGCAGCAAGGGGGGGGAGCGTTGATTTTCTGGGTAGTTGGGGACTTACTGGTATCGGGTCGAGTGGGAGTGCTAGCAGCAGGAGTGTTGGTGGTGCGGATGAAAGCAGTAGCATCAGCGCCATTAGCAGCGGTGGGAGCAGTGCTGAGATTGAGGACTGGGTGCCGCCGAAGCAGTTTCGTAAGGTTATGTCGATCAAAATGGTGAAGAAAGATTTGCTTCGGCAAGCGGGGAGCAGCCGGGCAGTAGTGACGAGGCTCAGCGGGGGGGTTGGAGGCGGTATTGGGGAGTTCAGAGCGACAGGAGGGAGGGAGCTGAAACGAACAGAGGTTATGCATGTGAAAGGGGGATCTGCAAGGGACGCAGGAGGGGAAGGAGCGGGGGCCATCGTTCAACCAGAAGGCGTTGGGTTTGGGGGATCAGCAAGGGTGGCAGGAGAGGGGCTTGGGGGGATAGCTAGGTCGGCAGAGGAGCGAATCGGGGGATCAGCTAGGGAGGCAGGAGAGACAGCAGCGGGCAGACTGCTTGGATCAAGCAGCCTGCCAGGGCAAGGGCAGAGCAAAGGGGAAGAACAGAGGCAGGGGTTAGAGAGCCCGAGCGGTCAACGCAGCCCTACAGTGGCTCCTATGAAGCCTGTTGTGCAGAGGAAGAAAATCAGCTTCTATCTGTCGCCTGTGATAGAGCCAAACGGTCCGGAAGAGGGTTCGACTAGCTCTGGGCTGGATCTGGGGGGAGGAGCAGCAGAGGCAGCAGCAGCGGCAGAGGCAGCAGCAGCGGCTGAGGCATCAGCAAAGGCAGAGGCAGCAGCAGCAGCAGAGGCAGCAGCGAAAGCAGAGGCAGAAGCAGCCGCTGAGGCAGCAGCAAAGGCAGAGGCAGAAGCAGCAGTTGAGGCAGCAGCAAAAGCAGAGGCAGCAGCAGATGCAGAAGCTGCAGGAGTAGTGGCGGCGGCAGCGGCAGAAGCAGCAGCAGAAGAGGCCACAGCAGTTGCCGAAGCAGCGGTGGCAATACAGGCCAAAGCAACAGCAGTGGCTGCAGCAGCGGCACAGGCAGCAGCAGCAGCTGAAGAAGCAGCAGCAGCAGAGGATGCAGCAAGATCAGTGGCTGCAGAAGCAGACGTATCAGCAGCGGCAGAGGCAACAGCAGCGGCCGAGGCAGCAGCAGCAGCAACACAGGTTGCAGCGGTAGCAGAGGCTGCCGCAGCAGCAGATGCAACAGTAAAGGCAGAAGCTGCAGCAAAAGCAGAAGCTGCGGAAGCAGAGGCAGCAGCAGCAGAAGAGGCAGTAGAAGCTGCAGCAGCGGCCGAGGCAGCAGCAGCAGTGGAAGCAGCAGCAGTGATACATGCTGTAGCATCTGCTGAGGCTGCAGCAGCGGCAGAAGCAGCAGCAGCAGCGGAGGCAGCAGAGGCAGCAGTAGCAGCAGAGGCTGGAGCAGCAGCGAAGACAACAGCAGAAGCTGACGAAGCAGTAGCCTCAGAAGCTGCAGCAAAATCAGAAGCTGCCAGTACAGAGGCCGCAGCAGCGACAGAGGCAGCAGAAACGGTGGCAGCAGCAGAGGCAGAAGCAGCTTCAGTTGCAGCAGAGGCTGCAGCAGAAGCAGAGGCAGCAGCAGAAGCACAAGCAGCAGTAGCAGCAGAGGCTGCAGCGGCGGCAGAGGCAGCAGAGGCAACGGCAGCAGCAGCAACAACAGAGGCCGCAGCAGCAACAGCAGCAGCAGCAGAGGCAACAGCAGCGGCAGAGGCGGCAGCATCAGCAGAGGCCGCCACAGCAGCAGAGGCAGCAGCTGAAGCAGCGGCGGCTGCGGCAGCATTGGAAGCAGCAACAAATGCAGAAGCTGCTGCAGCAGCAGAAGCAGAGGCAGCAGCAGCAGCAGCAGAAGCTGCCGCAACAGCGTTGGCAGAAGCAGAAGCAGCAGCTGCAACAGAGGCAAAGGCGGCAGCAGAGGCAGCAGAGGCAGCAGCAGCAGCACAAGCTGAAGCTGCATCAGCTGCAGAAAACGCTGCAACTGCAGAGGCAGCAGCGGTTGCAAAGGCAAATGAGACCGCAGCAGAGGCCACAGCAGCAGCACTGGCTGCAGCAGCAGCAATAACAGTGGCAACTGCGGCGGCAAAGGCATCAGAATCTGCAGCAGTGGCAGAGGCAGCAGCAGAGACGGTGGCAGCCGAGGCAGCAGTAGCAGCAGAGGCTGCGGAAGAAGCAGAAGTTGCAGCAGCAGCAGAAGCAAAGGAAGCAGCAGTGGCAGCAGAGGCAGCAGAAGCAGCAGTAGCAGCAGCGGCTGCGGCAGAGGCAACCGCAGCAGCAGCAGAGGCTGCAGCTAATGTAGAGGTAGAAGAATCAGAGGAGGCGGCAGGGGCAGCAGAGGTTGCAGCAGCAGCAGAAGCAGAGACAGCAGCGGCGGCAGAGGCAGGAATGGTTGCTGCAGCAGCAGTGGCAGAGGCAGAAGAGGCAGTGGCAGCAGCAGCCGCAGATGCAGCATTAGCGGCAGAAGGAGAGGCAGTAATAAAAGCAGGGGTAGCAGCAGCAGCTGCAGCGGAGGCTGCAACAGAGTTAGAAGCTGCAACAGCAGCGGAAGTAGAGGCAGCAGCAGCTACGGGGGCAGCTGCAGAAGCAAGGATTGCGGCTGAAGCAGAGGCAGCAGCGGCTATAAATGCAGAAGCAAAAGCAAGGGAGGTGGCAGAAGAAGAGGCAGTAGCAGCAGAGGCTGCAAGAACAGCAGAAACTGCAGCAGACGCAGCAGCAGCACCATTGGCAGAAACGGCAGAAGCTGCAGACGAATCGGAGGCAGCAGCAGCAGCAGCAAAAGCAGCAGCGGCGGCACTGGCGGCAGCAGCTGCAGAGGCTGCTAAAGAAGCAGAGGCAGCAGAAGCAGCAGCAGCAGAGGCTGAAGGAGCAGCAGAGATTGCAACTGAAGCATTGGCAGCAGCAACTACAGAGGCTGCGCAGGCAACAGCGGCAGCAGCAGCGGCAGAGGCAATGGCAGCAGCAGCACTAGCTGCAGCTGAAGCAGATGCTGCAGAAGCAGAGGTAGCAGCAATATTAGCAGAAGCTGCAGGAGCAACAGATGCTGCAGCAGCAGCAGAAGCCGAGGCAGCAGCAAAGGCAAAGGCTGCTGCAGCAGCAGAGGCAGCAGCGGAGGTTGCAGCAGCAGCAGAGGCTGCTTCAGTAGCACAGGCTGCTGCAGCAGCGGCAGAGGCAGCAGTAGCAGCAGAGGCGGCTGCTGCAGCAGAGGCTGTAGCAGCAGCAAAGGCAGCAGCAGCAGAAACCTCTGCTATCGCTGAAAACACTAGTGCTGTTGTAGGTATTCCACTGCCACTGCCATTGCAGGCGCTGCCACTGTTGCTGCCACTGATGCTGCCACTGATGCTGGCACTGGTAGCACCATCATCAACGCAGAAACTTCAGCAGCAGAAACCGCTGCTGCTGCTGAAAGCACCACTGCTGTTGGTGGTAGTTTCACTGCCACTGCTGGTGCTGCCACTACTGGTGCTGCCACTGCTGGTGCTGCCACTGCTGGTGCTGCCATTGCAGGTGCTGCCATTGCAGGTGCTGCCACTGATGCTGCCACTGCTAGCACCTTCATCACAACAGAAACGTCAGCAGTAGATATCACTGCTACCGTTACAAGCACCACTGCTGCTGCTGCTAGTTCCACTGCCACTGCTGGTGGTGCTAGTTCCACTGCCACTGCTGGTGGTGCTAGTTCCATTGCCACTGCTGGTGCTGCCACTGATGCTGGCATTGCTAGCACCATCATCACCACAGAAGCTTCAGCAGCAGGACTCCCTGCTACCATTGAAAGCATCACTGCTGGTGGTGCTAGTTCCACTGCCACTGCTGGTGCTGCCACTGATGCTGGCATTGCTAGCACCATCATCACCACAGAAGCTTCAGCAGCAGGACTCCCTGCTACCATTGAAAGCATCACTGCTGGTGGTGCTAGTTCCACTGCCACTGCTGGTGCTGCCACTGATGCTGGTATTGCTAGCACCATCATCACCACAGAAGCTTCCAGCAGCAGGACTCCCTGCTACCATTGAAAGCATCACTGCTGGTGGTGCTATTTCCACTGCCACCACTATTGCTGCCACTGATGCTGGCATTGCTAGCACCATCATCACCACAGAAGCTTCAGCAGCAGAATCCGCTGCTGCTGTTGGAAGCACCACTGCTGTTGGTGGTAGTTCCACTGCCACTGCTGGTGCTGCCACTGCTGGTGCTGCCACTGCTGGCGCTGCCATTGCAGGTGCTGCCATTGCAGGTGCTGCCACTGATGCTGCCACTGCTAGCACCTTCATCACAACAAAAACGTCAGCAGTAGAGATTGCTGCCACTGTTGAAAGCACCACTGCTGGTGCTGCTATTTCCTCCGCCACTGCTGGTGCTGCCACTGATGCTGCCACTAATAGCACCGTTATCACCACAGAAACTTCAGCAGAAGAAACCGCGGTTACTGCTGAAAATGCCACTGCTGGTGGCAGATCCAATGCCAATGGTCACTTCAGGTGCTGCCACTGGTAGCACCATCATCACCACAGAAACTTCAGCAGCAGAAACCGCTGCTGCTGTTGGAAGCACCACTGCTGTTGGTGGTAGTTCCAATGCCACGTCTGGTCTTGCCACTGCTGGTGCTGCCACTGCTGGTGCTGCCACTGCTGGTGCAGCCACTGCTAGCACCATGGTCACCACGGAAACTTTAGCAGTGGAAACCACTACAATTGCTAAATGCGCCACTGCTGCTGGTGGTAGTTCCAATGCTGCTGCCGCTGCTCCTGCTGCTGCGGCTGCTGCTGCTGCTGCTGCTGCTGTTGCTGCTGTTGCTGCTGCTGCTGCTGAAAACACCACTTCTGCTGGTGCTGAGACGGAAAGCATCACCATTACGGAAACTTCAGCAGAAGAAACCAACACCACCATGAAACCTGGTTCAGAAGCCTCATCACCAGCCGTTTCAGACGTTCCACATTCTGATGCTCGGTCGAAATCGGGCCCTTTGGATAAGCTAGGCATTCCCAAGAGTTGGAGCGGGACAGCACTGAGCGCCACAGGCAGCAGAGCAGCAAGTAGCACGTCTAAATCTGGCCCGCTCAGCCTCACAGGGGAACCTGTGGGTGTGGGAGAGTCGCCTGGTGGGGGGAGTTTCTGAAGGATCCCCTTGGAACCAAGGATCTCCTGGCAGTGGTTTTGGTAAATCCAGAAGTAAGGGGACAGTAGCAGGGGCAGGGGCAGGGGCGGAGAAGTCAAGCAAGTCAATGGCGTCAACCGTGTCTTCTATGTTCCGGTCGATTTCTCTCAACCCGTCGCGCCGCCGGGCGAGTGTGGGAGCGAGCAGCAAAGGAAGCAGCATTCCCAGCAGCAAAAGCAGCAGCAGCAGCAGCATCCCTATTGAGGAGGACACTAGCAGCACCAGCAGCAGCGGGGCGTCATCGACAGCAGCAGTAGCAGGAGCGACAGCAGCAGCAGCAGTGGCAGTTCAGGAGGCGCACTGACAGCAGCCCCAGAAGAGGGTTCGTTCATCCATTTCCCTCAAGCTTGGCTCAACTGACCTGCTGAGCAAGCGAGTGGGGCAGCGGAGGCAGCGCTAACCAGCCCAGGTGCCCAGCACAGGAGGAGGAAGTGGCTGTTTGGATTTGGAAGTGGGCAGAAACAGGGGAAGGGGAAAGGGAAGGGACAGGGGCAGGGGCAGGAGCAGGAGCCTGAGAGTCCCAGCAGTTTACCCAGCCCTATGTCAGCTCCTGCCACTCCGGCCGCCCAGAGGAGGAGGCTTAGCTTCTTGTTTGACATTGGGCGGCCGGTTTTGTCCCTGTGATAGAGCCGGATCGGCCTGAGGGACATCTCGACTAGCTCAGGGTTGGAGCTGGGGGGAGGCCAAGGGGTAGAGGAAGCGCCAGGCGAAGGGAAAGGGGCAGACAGAGGGAGTGGCAGGGGGGGCGGAAACTACAGGGGGAAGGGAAGGGGGGGCAGGGGGAGGGGAAGAGGCAGGGAAGGGGGAAGTGGGCAGAGGGGAGGTGAAGGGGCAGGGGGAGGGGAAGGGGCTGAGGGAGGGGACGGGGGGGAGCGAGGGGGGAGAAGGAGGGCTTGGCACTTCTTCTGGTGCTGTCGCTGAAGCTATGACAGAATCTAGAATTGAAGGGCTTAGCGTTGCTTACAGTGATGTTGCCGAAGGTAAACTGAAATATAGAGCGGAGGGCTTATTAGTGCTTCTTCTGGTGCTGGTGCTGATTTAAGACTGAGTATAGAAGTGAAGGGCTTACCTTTGCCACTGGTGCTGTTGCCGAAAGTAAGACTGATATAGAACTGAAAACGCTTAGCGTTGCTTCCAGTTGCTTTGCTGGAGCTATGACTGAGTATGGAACTGACGGGCTAAGCATTGCTGCTGGTGCTGGTGCTGGTGCTGGTGATGGTGCTGGTGCTGGTGCTGAAGCTAAGACTCAATATGCAACCAAATTTGGTGGCCTCTCTGGGTCCCAAGGCTGTGGTGCTGACGCTGTAGCTGCAGCAGCAGCAGTGGCGGCAGCAGCAGCGGCACAGGCAGCAGCGGCCGCATCAGAGGTAGCAACAAGAGGAGAAGCTGAAGCGGCAATATTAGAGGCAGAAGCAGCGAGAGAGATCGTCGCAGCAGCAAAGGCAGCAGAAGCGGCAAAAGCAGCAGCAACAGGAGAGGATGCAGCAGCTGCTGTGGCGGCAACCGCAGCAGAGGGGGCAGCAGCCGCAGAGGGGGCAGCGGCAGCAGCTAACGCGGCAGCAGCGGCCGCAGAGGCAGCAGCAGAGGGAGATGCCTCTGGAGCAGCCGAAGCTGCAGCAGAGGCAGAGGCAGCCGCAGCAGCGGGAGCAGCAGACGTGGAAGAGGCTTCAGCAGCATCAGTGGAGGCTGAAGCAGCTGAAACAGAAGCTGCAGCAGCAGCACAGGCGGTGGAGGCGGTAGAAGCAGCAGCAGCATCAGAGGCAGCAGCAGCGGGGGATGCTGCAGCATTTGCAGAGGCAGCAGCCTTGGCAGCAGCGGCAGCAGCTGCTGCGGAAGCAGCAGCAGAAACTGGGGCAGCAGAAGCAGAAGCAGAGGCAACAGAGGCGGCAGAAGTGGCAGCAGCAGCAGTAAGCTTCACAGCAATGGCGGAAGAGGCTGCGACAATAGCAGAAGCAGAGGCAGCAGCATTGGCAGATGCAGCCACAGCTGCAGAGGCCGCAGCAGTGGAAGAGGCAACAGCAGAAGCAGAAAGAGAGGCAAGAGCAGCAGCAGAGGCAGTGGCGAAGGCAGAGGCTGCAGAAAAGGCTAAAGCAGAGGCAAGAACAGCAGCAGAGGCAGCAGCAAAAGCAGAAGCAGAGGAAAGAGCAAAGGCAGAGGCAGCAGCAATGGCAGAGGCTGCAGCGAAAGCAGAAGCAGAGGCAAGAGCAGCAGCAGAGGCTGCAACAAAGGCAGAGGCTGCTGCAAAAGCCGAAGCAGAGGCAAGAGAAGCAGCAGAGGCAGCAGCAGCAGCGGAGGCCGCAGCAAAGGAAAAATCTGAGGCAAGAGCAGCTGCAGAAGCAGCAGCAAAGGCAGAGGCTGCTGCAAAGGCGGAAGCAGAGGCAAAAGCAGCAGCAGAGGCAGCAGCAAAAGCAGAGGCTGCTGCGAAAGCAGAAGCAGAGGAAAGAGCAGCAGCAGAGGCAGCAGCAGCGGCGGAGGCCGCAGCAAAAGCAAAAGCTGAGGCAAGAGCAGCTGCAGAAGCAGCAGCAAAGGCAGAGGCTGCTGCAAAGGCGGAAGCAGAGGCAAAAGCAGCAGCAGAGGCAGCAGCAAAAGCAGAGGCTGCTGCGAAAGCAGAAGCAGAGGAAAGAGCAGCAGCAGAGGCAGCAGCAAAGGCAGAGGCGAAGGCAGCAGAGAAAGCAGAAGCAGAGGCAAGAGCGGCAGCGATGGTGGTGGCAGTTCCACGCTCCCACGCTCGCCCTCACTCTCGCCGGCACGAGAGACCAGCAAGTGGAAAGAAGCAGGGCGGGCGGGGGAGAGGAGGCGGTGGAGGGGCAGGGGGAGGGCTGGTTGGGGGGGCAGGGCGGGCAGTGGTTGCTATTGCAGGGGGGCTGTTTCTGTTGGCGATTGGAGCTACCATTGGGAACTCAGGCCGGCAGAACAGAAGGCAGAAGAAACCTGTGTATCATGAGGTGCGTGGCGTTCTGTTCGTCTGGGGTGGGTTTTGTGCGTTTGGGATGGATTCTGTGCGGTTTGAGGTGTTTTCTATGTGTTGAGGGAGCTGCGGGGAGGGCTGGTTGGGGTGGCAGGGCGGGCAATGAAAGAGGCCAACCAAGAGGGGCTCATGGAAGACCCTCACTCACGTGATCCTTGCTTTTGAGTCGACTCAAAAGCAAGAGGGGCTGATGGAAAGACCTTCACTCACGTGATCCTTGCCCCTCTATGCCCTCTCTTCAGACTTCCGCCACCCGACGTCCCCAGGTGCAAGCAGGCAACACCATGTGCGGGTGGATGCAATGAAAGAGGCGAACCAAGAGGGCCTGGTGGAAGATCCAGACGTGAACCCTGCCTTCGCTCCCTGCCCTTGCCCACCCTGCCCTCCCTGCCTTCATTCCCCTCCTTTACCAAAACCAGGTGGAAGCAGGTGACACCATGTGTGGCATTGCTGATCGCTACTGCGTGCGTGTCGATGCAATGAAAGAGGCAAACCAAGAGGAGCTCGTGGAAGACCCTCACCTCATCCCTGCCCCTCCCTGCCCCTCCCTGCCCTCCCTGCCCTCCCTGCCCCTCCCTGCCCCTCCCTGCCCTCCCTGCCCTCCCTGCCCCTCCCTGCCCTCCCTGCCCTCCCTGTCCCCTCCCTGCCCTCCCTGCCCTCCCTGTCCCCTCCCTGCCCTCCGTGCCCCCTCTCTTCCCTCCCTGCCCCCTCCCTGCCCTCCTCTCCTCTCCCCCACAACAATCACTACCCAACCAGGTGGAAGCAGGCGACACCATGTGTGCCATAGCTGACCGCTACTGCGTGCGGGTGGATGCAATGAAAGAGGCGAATCAAGAGGGGCTAGTGGAAGATCCAGATGTGATCTTCCCTGGAGACCTCCTCGTGGTTCCCCCCAAGGAATGACGAAGCAGAGCAACCTCCTCCTCTTCTTCTTCTTCATTCCAACGTAATCCCCCGCTGCCTTTTTGCCTCCCCAAGAGGGGCTAGCGGAAGATCCAGACGTGATCTTCCCAGGAGACCTCCTTGTCGTTCCCCCCAAGGAATGACAAGGCTGCCCTCCTGCCTGCCTCTGCCTCCTGCCTCCTGCCTCTGCCTCCTGCCTCTGCTCCTGCCTCCTGCCTCCTCCCGCTCCTCCTCCTCCTGCCTCCTGCCTCCTGCCTCCT